CTTAAAGCTGATGTTGCTTTTGTTGTATTTGTTGTAATTAGGAAGGAGAATGTTCTCGGCCGACAATACCGGCCTAATCCTTGTGTGGAGAACCACAATAAGTGACAGCAAGCGGCATCAGCCATGTCATCCCTGGTGTGTAGAGAAGGTACAGGAGACTATTCTGTTTGTCATGTTTGATCCAAATCTTCATATTACACCGTGTACTTACAATGTGTCAGACGGTGGTTTCCTGGCAACAAATGAAATTGAAAAGAATTGTGAAACGCTGCATGTTTTGTCTTGGCAGAGAATTGATGAGCGTGAACTTGTGGGTGTACCCATCAACATGTTGCAGCTCCATCCAAACGGGCGGTGTCTGCTCATCCATGCAAAAGACAGTGTCCTGAGGGTGATGGACCTGAGAATGTAAATAAGACACTGGACAAAAGCTGTAATTACAGGAAACAGTGACATCTGTTCTGCTTTTTTAAGTATTGCTGCTGGTTTTATCAGCCATCACATTAGACAACTTTCCACAGCTGTAAGAAGGCTCTAAAACACAACGACAATAACGTTGGTGTTTGCATTTAATGTATCTGATCTTCTAGCTTGGTTGTGAAGAAGTACACCGGAGCCACAAACTACAGAGAGAGGATTTGCAGCACTTTCACGCCGTGTGGGAACTTCATCTTCTCCGGTAGCGAGGATGGGATGGCATATGTCTGGAATGCAGACACAGGTGAGGTTATCATGTTTGTTTTTCTTGTTCACTTGGTTATGGCTACAATACACAGAGTGGCTCCAGCAGACCTCTCTGTTGTGTCTTTTCAGGAGACCAAGTTGCCGTCTACTCTGAGCTCTTGTACCCCACTGCTCTCCACGGCGTGTCCTTCCACCCTCACGAAAACATGGTTGCTTTCAGCGCCTTCGGCCGGGGCCAGCCTGTCCGCCTGTACCTGTACGATCGCAAAGGTTTGTGGAAGGACCCGACAAGTGTTTGTTACTGCGGATGTGGCCCCTGAACAATCCGATACAGTGCTGTGCTTATTTTGTCCGCAGACCTACTGAAAGTTATTTCCGTCAGCTGAGCGACACCAGAATAAAAAAAAATACAAATGATGTCATCCTTTATCACACAGTTTCCCAGTTGGAGGTCCACAATATAAAAGCTGCGAGCCGATCGGCTTCAGCAGACACCAGAACCATGAGAAACACGCCCGACCCACCAGCGTTACAGGACACATCCTTGGCTTCAACCATGGATCAGTTTGCCCAAGCAACAAGACTCGCAATGAAAATGCAATGTGTGAAGGAGCAACTGGATTCAGTACTTGTAAATACTATCTTCTAATCTTCTATTACTTAGATATAAACACATCAAGAAATACAGAAACTGAATTTTTCCAATCTTGTTTTTAGGAGCCAAATCAGAGGCGCTCAATGTCTGGATACATTTATGAGCAAGGTAATTATTATGAAGCACATTGATAGCTGCGTCACATCTACACTAACCTGTCTCTGTATTTACATGGGGAATATTCTGCTTGCTCTTTGTTTGGTTTGCAGACAAAGGGAGCGTCGCTCACAGAGGGAGGGGCTTCACAATAGATTCTGGCACAGTGAGTCTGATCAGTGCTCCTTTGTAAACGCACCTTCATAAACACACCTTTGTATACTTGTTCGTTATTGAGGTCACAAATGGTGATGTAACCTGTCAAACCCTTCTTGCCAACAATTTGTTATCTAATCGCTTGGGATTAAACCAAATCTCCTATCAATTGCTGAGAGAGGAAACAAAACACCAAAATGTGTTATTATTGATAAAGTTACATTTTGATTAGCAAAGCATTACAGAACTGCTTTGCATTCGTGATTGGGAAATAAACCTGCTGGCATCATTATGTATTGCATTTGTTGTTAAATTCAACAACACTCAACAAATGTCTTTGCAGACGGGATTAAATGCATCGCTACTGCCTCCGTCCCTCCGGTCGCCGCACTCCCAGCTGCAGCACTCCAGTTCTCTCGCGGAGCAGCTTATCCCCCAGGCAGCTCTGAGCACCCAATATCGTGAGTGGCGTGCACTGTTTAAACCAGTGAATGCAAGGTCAAATAGTTCGCAAGATTATAGCTGCAATAAGTAAAACCCGTGGTGACCAAATGCTTCCAGCATAACGGTTTAAAGTCTCCTGAAGCATGTATACCGTACACAGAGACAGAGACGGGCCGCTTGTGACTTTCACTTGTGTCCGTAAGTGATTTCTGTTAACAATCACAGAATTATCTTGTAGTTGAAGATTAAATATTTTTTTCCTTTTGTTTTTTCTTGGAATTTCAGGGGGAGCTTCAGGACTACACACGGTAAGGCTGTTACGCAATATGTCACTTTTGTAATTTGTCATTGTAATCGAGTTTCTACCGGGCTTCATTTGTTCACCTGTCAGTGTTAAAAAGTCCCTTTTGCCCAATGCGTAAGTGCTGTATTTGATATATTTTCTTTTAGTCATAGAAACGTCATAAACTATGCTTAAGGAATACTGACCAGGAGAAGCTGACTGCAGTGAGGACAATGGTGTTAAAGACTCCCATTATCCCACACTACGTCACTAAGTCATCAAACAGCATCTTCTGCTGTTCTGATTGAGAGAGGCTTTCCTCCGTCAACCGAATCTCAACCAGATGAACGTTGTTTTACTGATTGGTCTAAAAGTATCGTTGGTCTAAAAGCTAAAGTTGCTTCTTCAGGATCTAAATGATGTTCTTTTCCTCCGTCAGAGCCAACCTGAGCACATATCTTCAGGCATCCAGGGGGAAACAGATTCTATCCCCGTTCAACAAGTAGTGAGTATCCGCTGTGGCTACGAGCTCAGTAGTACGTGTCCTCTCGCCACTCCCGCTCAAGCCCTCCACCGCCGTGTTCCTCCTCCAGGTCGTCTCGCTGTACGACTATCGAGCCAATCGGTCCGATGAACTGAACCTCTGCCGCGGTGATGTCATCCAAGTGCTGTACAAAGACAATGACACCTGGTGGTTCGGGCATCTGGCCAATGGGGAGCAGGGATATTTTCTAGCTTCTTATGTAGTAGATCAGAGTAAGTGAATCGGGATTTCTTTTTATAGACCCCCCCCCAAGTGGAGAATGTGTATGACTGAAAGATGAGTTCTTTTATTTCGTAGGAGATTTCGATGGAGAGGGGACTCAGTCTGTTGAGGCGAGAGCCACCTTGTCTGCAGGGACCGTAGAGCGGTCAACACCAACCAGGGTAAGACTCATGAAGAAGCGTCTGTCCTGGATTACAGTCCTATCTTCTTACATCACTAGGCCTAGTATAAATATAATATTGGTGTGGCTGTGAATTTATTTCTTACACACGTGACTGCTTTCATTTGATGATCAGAAACTCTCGTTCATCCTTTTATGGGCTGACGTATTCTTTCATACACTTTTGGATTTTGGGAGGAGCATCACTTTAAAGTTTACCCTTTTAAAGCATAAAATAATGTAAAATTATCTATAATTCAGTATCTGCTTGGTTGGCTTTCCGTATTGTTTTATCTTTTCTTCTTCCTGGCCTTTTTAAGGTATCTGCTGCAATCAGTTCTTCTGGGGAACTGAAGTTTCTTTCTGAGCCGACCCTTTCTGACACCGAACCAGAGCTGATGGATGCCAGGTGAGAGGCTCGTTGTGCTTTCATCCTCCCGACTACATTCCCAGGGAGTGTTGCTTTTCCATAGCAACAGCAAGACAATGCGGGCTTACACCTAACGTGGTATGTTGTAGCTTTAGAAGTAATAGATTTTGATTGTGAATGATGGTTTCCCGGCAGGGCTAGAAGGAAAAAGAAGGTGAAAAGGTCAGGAGTTGCCGCACGTTCGTCTCAAGCCACATTTTCAGACGCAGATGCTCCGAGGCGGACGAGCAGCAGCAGGAGGAGAGGAAGATCCACAGACAGGCCTCTCCCAAAGAGGCCGACCGGCCGGAGTAACGGGGCCTTTGAGCCCGACACATAAACGCACACATTGCTGTTTTCAGCCTTACTCTGTTTTATGTATTTTTAACATATTGTTTTTTTTAATACTTGCTGATGTGAACTAAATCTTTTGTATGTACATAATACAGATTGATCAATGAAGACTTGTTCAAAGAAAAATTCTAGGAATTCTTTTCCTATGGTTTACATATTTATAGACATAAGCCTAAATTGGCTGTTGTGTACACTTTTAGCCAAAGAAGGTATAGAAAACTACATTTCTGTAATATTGTATTTTATTTTCCTTTTTATAAGACACTTTTACAGAGCTATATACAAATACAGATTCTCTCTTTCTAAATGTTTAATCCCATGTAAAGTCCCACTTTTGATATGTAAAATGTTTAAATAAACATGCCTAAGGGATAATTTGATGTTTTCTATGTACTTGTCAAACAATGCAAATGAGAAACAAATTATTCTATAAATCACCATTTAAAGCCATAGCATGTAAAGATTTAATATTTTACTTTTTGACAATGTTATTATCTTTGGAATTTAAGATGCTAATAGCAAGAGAATAAAGATGTTTTTTGCAACACAATTGTTTTAGAATAAGGCACGGGTATGTGTTTTCATTCACATGTTTATTTTTGAATGTATTATTTGTGTAAATGTTGTAAAAATGATCAGTTAGAAAAGAATACAATATACAGAATCCAGTGCCAATGCAGTGAATGTGACACAATACTGCCTGTTGAATTAAGCATGAGGTTCCCTATGACCTAACATATGGCTCTATAAATTATACCAGGTTTGTTTGAATGAATGTGGTCAGCTGCTTTTGGCTCGCGTAACTCCAACATGAAGTCATGTGATTTAAAAAAACTAAGCTTGTGAGTACAGCTGATCTCCAGGACAAAGCTCCATTTAGTTTGGGCTTTCCAGTGGTTGACCTCCTCCATTCATAAAACATTCATTGATTCTTTTGCTCAATATAAAACCATTTAATTAAAATATCCTGCAAATTCAGAAAAATATACAGAATTGTTTTTAGGATCAAAATCTTTTATTTTATTTTCATAATTTCTTTTTACATTAAAACATTTCCATGACCCATACAAAAGCGTTACAATCTCTGCAACACCAGAAATATATAATTTACAAAAACATTTATAAACTGTGGTAACTTGGTAACAGAAGGCGAACAGTTCTCTCTGCATGGCGTCCTTCAGTCAGTCAGGAGAGGAGTGTTTTCATCTGTTGGTTGACTGTCTTTTGGAACGCTTCAAGTCAAACATAAAAGTACGTTCATGAAAAATCCAAAAATAAAAACTATGTATCTGGAATGAATGTGATCATCTTTACTTAAGGTGAACGATTACCTTTGGGGTTGTAAAGGTCGGCATAGGCAGTACACAGCAAGGAGAAAGGCCTGAGGACAGATTACTTTCAATTGTGAAATTGTTGAGAAAAGAGAATCACGCACTTTGTCCTCGATTAAATCTTTGTAGCATGGTTGACAAGCGGACCTGGAATAATGTTTTTTCTCATCCTTAATTAGCTCCCATGCAGGTAAAGTGGCAACTCTCACGGTCTCATGCTTGGAAATTACAAGCTTGGAAATTGGCCAAGATGCCATTGTGTGCACAAGCAGCTAATGATTTACTCCTGATGATATGGTCATGAAGTGGAATCTGGAATCTTTCAGATCACAGAAAGACGAAGGGAATGTTCATAAGCTGCTCAAAGCGATACTTACACCCAAAAACACCACGCCTCCGTGGATTGCAGCTGCCCATTCAAAGCTCAGGTTTTGCGTGATAAGGCCACCCACTATCGGCCCATAAAACATGCTTCAAAAAGAATCAAAGGTCAGAAAACAAAGTACCAACCAGTAAAATGATTGATTTAATGTTTGTCTTTTTAAATTAATATTTATGCTACGGAATTTTGGGATTCTGGTAAAAACGAGATCTCACCCGGCCGACCAAAATGCTCCAAAAAGTCCAGACACCATTCCAAGAGTGCTGAGGCCCTCATCATATCCGTGTTCACTACAAAGAAGAAGCACAGGTGTTACACCTGGCACTATAGACATAAATAAATATAAACGTGTAGCAGCATAACATGTGACGCCACTCACTATGCACATGTGATGATCTCCGGGAAGGTGGGGATCACCGTCATGCCCAGAGAAAACCCGATTACAACAAGCATGAAGACCTGCAACCACAGCTGGCTACACATACGAGCACACACGCAAAAACACCCAAAGACAATATAAAGTTAGTACTGTTAACCTGTAACTGTTTAAGAGTTACCTACCTACTGAGTACTGCTAGTGTTGGAGGAAGGACTAAATTCAAATCACAGTGGATGAATACTCCATTTTCAAGTTTGAATCTTGTGATATCTCATGATATTTCTTTTTTGGAATAAGCGCTTTAAAATACAATGAAAAGCTTATGTCAATTTAGAGGGGGAAGTTGTTGTTTTCAGACTAAGGCCAAGTTAGATCTTTGGCTGTAATTCTATATTAAAAAGGACAGATGATAATAAATAGATATAATAGAATACAGACTGGACTGACTGATGTGGATACATCCTTTTAAAAGGTCTCTGTTACTTTCCACCTTTACCACATGCTCACCCCTGGATGTGAAGAAAAGGGACGGGGCCCAGCATAACGAAGCCAAATGCTGTGACGGCACCTCCTGTCACCATGAACCAAGACCTGGTGGACTGATGAAGATGCACACACACACACACACACGCACACAAACAGGAGATTTAGTTCAAAATGTCCAACTTACATTTGTGAAAGAACCATCCACGTTTGCCTTTACACTCACAGGATATTTATCGCTGATGTAGCCAATCAGCGGTGACCCCAGGCAGTATGGCAAAGACAAGCCGAGGAAGATGAGTCCCACGAAGCCGGCTGAGAGATTAAACTGATTAAAGAGAGGGAGAATGTGTTCTACATGCAGCAACCACAGTAACCTTCTTTCTACAGTAAGTTGACTTCATCACAAGTCAAGGAACTACCTTCGCCATGGCAAACAGGGACAACGTGGCGTCCAAGAAGCCCAGACCTGCACTGAGAGTGAATATCACATAGCAGATCAGGAGGATTTTCACTTTGCTGAGGAGCGGAAGGAAGGAATCCTTTGAGGGTTCTGCTTCTGTTTGGACACAAGCACAGAGGACAGCCGGCAGTTACAATACGACAACAAACAAACAAAAAAGGTGTATTGAAATGAAACACATTATATGTTAAAAATACTACCAATGCTCGGCAAGACGTATATGTTGAAAGGAACCATAATTAGTAGGAAACATCCAAGAAGCATAAAAGGGACTTCGTATCCAAAGGATTGGTACAACCACCCTCCGAGCGGTGGCCCCAGAATAAGACCCAGTCCTGTGAAAACCTCCAAACAACCCTGAACAGAGACAGTTGCAGCACTTTAAAACATGGAAGAATCTGCACAGTTTCTCAGCCTAATGACTTTGACTGCACATGCCAGAAGACAGTTTTTATTTATTTTCAATGAGACTGGGAGAAACGTTAGGTACAAAACAACCCCAACCATAATGCATTTCTTGTTTTTCTCGTGATTCTAATGTCCAAACAACAAGCCAATAGCACAGGAGTTGTCTGCACTCACCAAGACAGTTGCCACATTGTTTGGAAATATTTTTCCTGTCATGGCAAAAGTGGAGGTCATAGCCGCAGCGAAGCCCAAGGCGTCTATGGACCTCACAATAAAGCAGATACTTATGAAAGCGGCTCCCGCAGGAGCACGGTCGAGTAACCTGCAAAACAAAGATAGAAACATTGAAACAAATGCACACTGACGAAGATCCAAATCTGCATGTAGACACGTTCAGTGGAGAAATACAATATGCAACATTTCCAATACAATACTGAGCATTGTGGAAGGCTCCGTTATTAACCTTGCATTTATAAAAAGAACGCTCAGCCATCATTGCCTGTGAAGGTCAGGTGTTAGTCTATATATTTACATTACTGAGAACAAATCCCACCAAAAGAGCAGCAATGTCGGCCTCAGTCTGTCTCTAAGTGTTGTTTAACTTTCCCAACCTCTCTGGCGCTCTTCATCCCTACGGAAGATGTTAATCTGTGTAACAAATACAGCTTGTGTTCTATGGTCTTTGTTTATTTTTAGATTAGTTGACAATAAGTATACAGATTGTTTATGTCATTATTCTGCAGCCAAACAGCTTAATTATAAAGCCCAATGCCTTATTTTTCTTTGGTGTTTTCAAAAGCTCTAAAAGACGTTAGGATGACTTTGTGGTATGAGTTGGGTTGTGTGTCTGTGGTCATCGTTTGTCGTTAACGGACAGCAGCACAGGAGCAACACTTACCCGAACAGGATGGTGCAGCCTGAAGACACAAAAAGGCCGGCCACAAGCATGAACTTTGCGCCAATCTGGACGATCTGATACATCGACAATGACTTAGAGAGTTAGTCTGCATCCGGAAAGCGAGCCACGCTTCAGATGCTGAGAGGAAAATAAGCCATATGCACTTACATATTTACCCATGATCAATGAGCCAATTAAATTGCAGACAGCGTAGCAGCCGAATATGAGGCCAATGACCGTTTGACTGGCTCCCTTCTTTACTGCCTGCAGGGAAACACACGTGTTAGGTCTTCATTGGACTGAGGGGAAACAACACAGTCTAAGTTACATAAGCAAGGACGTGTGATGTAACGTTATTGACGCAAAGCCTCGCTAATTGTACAACATATTGATGTAGCTAACGAAAAAAATAATGCATTAATGTCTTATTATTACTGCGTCATATTTATTACTGCACTGCGGCCTAACCTTTGCTCAGCAGTTGTCAGCTGACCTCACCTGAGACCAGTGAGTATAACTGAGTCATTTACTGGCCTCCAGGGAGGGATGTCAGGCCCGCACATGATCACACATTCATTCCACTCAGAAGACACTTCCACCAACGCTACTCTTCAGACTAGCAACACACAATTGCTTGGAAACAGACGAGGAACCCCTGGTTTTGGTTTCCAGCTGTTTACTTTAGGTTTATCATCACCAAAACAAGTCCCACTGAAATAATGTTAAAGTTTATTAAAATGTTTTGAAAATACAAAAAAGCATTATATATGAGTCAGCAGACTCAAACGTTATACCCTGTGTTCCAGAGCTGTTTTATTATTTTTTTATGGAGATAAAAGCTCTCTCAAAAATTTAAAACAGCGAGTAATAAATGGATTATAATTGTTGCAACCGCATTGTTACCACACAGAAGGTTTAAACACCAGCCAACGAGATAGAAGTTCCTAATAATGCTACCTGTCTCTCCTTTAAACTGAATAAAATCAATAATTAACCATTATTAATCTAAATAACTTCTCTGAACAGTGACTTATATAATGCTTAAATTTGTTGTTCTTGTTATGACCGGTCTTTCAATGAGCAAGGGAGCTTTAGAATGGGAAAGACCCTCAAAATAACATGAATAGATAAAAATCACAGGATTTCCTGGAACCTGTTCTCTAATCCATTTTCCGTGGGGGGGGTGGGGGGGGGGGGTGAAAAATTGACCCAATGTAAGTATGTAAAGTTTACTTTAGAAGAAGTAGCAACCGCACTTTGACTAATTGTCAAATTAACTCAGCAGTTTTGTTATTGCATGTGAATCAACTTTTCATTCAAAAGACTGAATGTCTACTTTCAAAATCTACCCGGTCTTGCTTTAAGAAAGCTACTAGATAGAAACCTTCCATAAATTCAACTTTATAAAATATCACAAGTGGTACTCAAACAGCTAAACCTGTGTTATTAGTATACTATTATTATTTTTTTCTCACCTCATTGGGGAAAAACGGGCCTAATATCGAATAGCAGATCATTGAACTAAAGTTGACAGAGGCCATCGATATTAAGGTGAGAGTCTGCTGTCTTGTCATCCTGGTGGGAGGCCGTGTTGTTTCAGCTGCATTGCTGGTATCTGCTGTGAATAGAGAATCAAACCTCATACACTAAATAACCGGATCAGTTGAAGGTAAAGAACCTCCCAGTAATCACGGAATGCTTCCCATTCAAATGGAGGTTAACGTTATGGGTTAAATCAGCTGATTGAAAACACCAACAGCAACTGATTAGACTTTTCTGGAAGTCAACCAACCTGTTTGCTGAAGGTCGACTGGTAGCTCCATTTCTAAACGCTCAGGTCCTTTCCAAGCACGCAGGACTGAGATTCCGACGGTGACGTAACGACACGCAGAGGGAACTTTTAAAAACACCAACCGAACACAATCAATCTGCCCCGGACTGTGTGGAGCCGCAGAGAGCCGCCCAGCGCGCAGGGTTTCCTCAATAAAGTTCACTTCAACGTCAAATCACACAGAAAGCGCTCAACAAAATAAAAGCCCCGGCACTTCCGACCTGCACAACTTAATAAAATGCTAAGATTAAATCTTAGTATGAACAACGGTGCTTTTCTTCACACAACATTTGAGTTTGTGTACCATAGTTTGTTTTTCAAATCATTTTCATCACATTTAATCATTTTAACACAAAAAAACAATTAAACCAACACAAAATGCAACACTACTTTTAGGATTTATTATCTTAATCCATGGGTTTACTTGGTTTAATTATTTTACATATACATTGTTTGTTTGTTTGTTGCTTTAGCGTTCAGACATACATACGTACATGCATGCAAACATAACGTGATAAATCTTTAATAAGTCTGCCTCCTTTTTTTGCAGAACCACAGTACTTTTATGGATTCCTTTCCATAAGTGAAAAAAAAAGTGCTGAAAGAAGAAGAACAAACTATTTGGAATCATGTACTTTTATTACATTTTGGCCCGCCATTAGGTTCATGTACAACTATCGTCACATCATATTTGTTTCCTTCACAATACAAGAGTTTTTCAGTCAACCAACTATTCATTGGGCAGTATTGTTGACACACTGTCGCTGAAATCTCTAAAGCTGCATTAAAGGAAAAGCTCTTGAATGAAAACTCTCTGTAGCCTCTCTCAAAATACATTCTTCATATACCTCAAAAACATCTTCTTTTAGCAAATGGCCAATGTCAAAACCACCTTGTTTTACCGAAGAACACAATATCCTTTCCACTTTTGTTTCTTAGCACCAAATCTAAATGAATGTCACTCATACTGACTGTTAATTGTAACAACTTGTGAATGAATTGTATTCATCACCTTTGTAAGCTCATTGTTCTCCTTTTTTTTTCTTAGTTGAACATCAAAAAACCCTTGTTACCATGTAAAAGCAAAGGTGAAGTACAAAATTACTAAAAGCAGCAACATAAGCTTAATTGTCCAAGCGTTTAATAATGTCAAGTAATTTACTAAATACACAGTGCAAGCAGCATTGTATTTTTCTGTTGCACAAGTACAACACCAGTTCTAAGTAGCATTATTGCACACAAGCTCTATATATCTAAAGCGGCACTGGTTTCCAAAAAGGCAAACTACTGATGTACGTAGCAGCGTCATATACACCAAATGAAAACAACACAGAGCCAACCAAGTTTCAGATTATCTGAGAGGATCTCAACGCTTATGCACTTTTTTATTAGTGTGGATGACATCTTTTCTTTTCTTCCCCACTATCTTATTTCAAGCCAAAAGCATGTAGACTATTTGGCACATATAAGGTTACTGTAGACCATTACTCAAAAATGTAAAAAAAAATCCGATATCCGATCACAACAGCATTTGCAGTATTGTGGCCAAAATGATTGGATTTACTATGTTAATTGCACCGATTTATGGAGGTGTCCTAAATAGAAAATATACAAACTATGATAAACTGCGGTCAATAGTTACGGAATGAATATTTTCTTCTACTTGATGTTCAGCAAATTGAAAATGATTAAATAGTGATCAAAAAAATACTCAAATCAATATTTAACAAATAGGCTTTGAATTAAGAATGAAGAGTCAGAACAATCAGTTTGATATTCATAATAAAACCATATAACTTTATGGATAGTTTAACTAGACTTATAGTAAGGTCCAGACATTGTATGGCTAGTTGAACATGTACTGTATTTGCAACTTCGACAGCCATTGTTAGTATGGATGGAGGTATTTTAATTTTATATTTTTTATAAATATCACAAACATAAATCAAATATACATATAATTAGCCATCGTTTTAAGAGGGAAGGGTCTTTGGAACCACATACGGTCCTAAACCTCCACACTGCTTTTAAAATCTATTTCAACATGTACCTTATAAACCTTTTGATGATCCAGGGAAGGTCCATATTTTTACTACACTATATAACATCTGAATAATAAATAGAATTAGCTAGTGTACATTCAACATATGAACTAAAACTGATGGAAGAACTGGTGTAGTCTCCATCATCCTTGACCTACACTGGTGTTGCAACAGACTGATTGCAAATCATCTGCACGTGCAAAACCATCTTTTATGTTAAAAAGAATCACCACAACATCGACACTCTCGCAGCTTTATCCCCACACATTGGGGGGTGCTCGGCAAATGTGGTTTCTTTTCAATTGATCTATAGCAACATAAAAACACAAAGCCCTTTCATTTAAGCCGTTGAGTCACGTTGGCTAAAGCAACAGCAAATGCCTGCACTGCTGAGAAAGGATACTGGAAATCCAAGATGTAGCCATTCCCATCAATTCGACCGAACTGCATTACCTGAGGATGACGTTTGAAAAAAGCATGAGTTAATCAACACATCTTATATGGCTATAACAAAAAAAATGATTGTCCAATTTTTCTTTAGAATTAGAATTATTATTATTATTATTATTAGAAACTAAAACGAAAATATTCAGAACACACACATTACTTTTGAAAAACCTTTTTAGAACTTTCAAATAAATAAAGGAAAAGCTTAAAAAGTGTGTATGTAGCAAAATGTTCTGTAAATCAAGTGAAAGAGCCAATCACTAATGATTTAAAATAGGAATCATTCATGACTTCCTATGTAATTACCTGTCTACCGTCCAGCTCAATTTGAAAATTCTTTGCCGATTCCTGTGTGACTCGTCCTCCAAAATCGAGCTGGTACACCTGGGTGGCTTCATTCCACAACGGTTGTTTATTGGCCATAACGTAGACGAACCCTTGGCTTCCCAAACTGCGGTCCTCTCTTTCATTGGCCTTGCGGCACTTTATCTCCTCCAGCTCACTCGCCATGCGCAGGCTGCGCTTGTTCTTCCAGCTCTTCTTGCTGCTCTGGTTCTGGTTCATGAGCTCGTCGCCGCTGATGAACAGCTCCGGCTCGCTCTCTGAGCTGTCCTGGAACTCGGCGGTGGTCCGGCTCATCTTCTTGGTTTTGTTGAGCTGCTCTCTCTGCCCCTTGGGCTTCTTTTTCTCTCTGCTGCCGAGCCTCGGGCTGGATATGAGAGTGTTGAAGTCGGAGAGCGCGCGCCCCTCCTTTCTAGATTTGCCCTCGGAGACGGTGGTCATGTTGGCTTCCTCGGCTCTGCTGTCCAGTCTTTTGCGGCTCTTCTTGTTGAAGCGCTCGGACTCCTGCGGCACAGGGCTGTCGTTCAGAGAGGACGGTTCTAGAAAGTTGTTGGCGCACTCCGCGAGATCCTCTGTGGAGGTTTTGGACGGCGGTAGTTCAGTGGGCGGAGGAGGAGGAGGGAGAGGCGGTGGTGGGGGAGGGCCAGAAGGAGGAGGTGGCGACAGGATGGGCTTCTCTAAAATCTGATGGGTTTTGGTCGGGAGGGGAGGTGCGGGAGGGTCTTGCATGGGAGGCGGGCAAGGGTAAGGGTTCCAGGGGTGGAGGCTGACCGGGTGCAGCTGAAGTCCTGCACATGAGCTGGCCCCTGGATACATTGGAGGGAGGGGGCAGCAGGCCAAGTTAGCGAGACCTGGAGGGTAGCCTGGTGGCAAGACCAAGTTGGGCTCCTGCTGGGAGAAAGGGACTGAGCCCACCACTTCACTCGGTAGAGGGTTCTGTAAGGTCTGCAGTGGAGGACCAGTGTGACTCACGCCCGGAGGAAAAGGCGAGAGGGATATCTGGTAGCCGGATGGGAAAGTAAGAGTACTCGTGGTCTGGCTGGTTGGAGGTTTAGTCGTGAGGACAAACGGTAGCCGAGTCATGTCCAAGTGCTGAGCTTGACCAATGATGAGCGGAGGCGGCTTATGAGGTGCCGGCGGAGGACCTAACATTGTTTGCTCTGGAGTGAGCCAGAACTCCTCCGTGGTGGAGGGGTCCCACTGGTAAGGCGGAGGGCGTTTGACTGTCAAACTGACATCGCCGAGAGTCAGCTGACGTACGGATTTCTCAAGGTGACAATGCTGATTCAAAGTCTCATCTTCGGTAAAGGCGGAGTTGACGTACACCGTTCGGTCCCTGCTGTTGTCCACGGCACTCAGCAGACTGTAAGGCGATTGAGAGCTCATGGGTGAGGTGCTTTTGGAGTGCACGATAATGGTGCTGTGATGCGCTCCTTTCCCCGGTGGAAAGTCCTGCCTCACCACCGTGCCACCTGCGATGCCACTGCTCGTAGTCCCCCCCCCACTAACACTGACGCTGGTGCTGCTGCTGTTGCTGCTGCACTGTGTGCATGTGTACAGCGCTGTGGGCACCCTCGATTGGTAGGTAAGCGCTAGGGCACTGTTCATTTTGGCCTTGGTGGGGAGGGTTCTCGAGCTTTCCATCATCTGCGGAACTTTAAGCCCCACGTCCCTTCGGTCGCGGCGTAGAGTGGCGTGAATCAGGCTGTTGTCGATTCTCTGGGGAGGAGGAAGCGTGGCAGTCACTTGATTGGGCGGATCGGGGTAAGGAGGAGGGTCTCCACTGGGTATTGAGTATCGGGGGACAGAGAGACGACTCAATGTCGCCGAGCTGTAAGGAAGCTGAATTTTTTTATTCTCAGAGGACGTGACCTTGAGCGTGGCCGAGCCTCCGATGCCGTGGACAGCATACGCGTTTTGGTTGCGAACGAGGCGCCTGCGTGGTCGACAAACCTCCTCGACGTTGCCACTGCTGTCAAAGGTTGTGATCCTTTCGTACCCCAGAGGTGTCGGGTACTGTAAAGTGACGGGGTGAAGCAAAAATTCGTCCTTCTTCAGGCAAAGGTCTGACGACAGGACACTTGGGCTGTCACAGTTTGTGACGAGGGTTTGGGGCGCGGCGGCGGCGGCTGTGGCCGTCGCCACGGACACCGCGGTGCCCGGGTAAGGGGGAGGAGGATTCACCTTCCTCATCTGAATCTCCATCGTTCCATCCATTTCACTGAAGGGAGGTAAAGTCCGCGGCAGACTTGGCTTAAGAGTGTGTGTGTGCTCCCCTCTGAAACCCGGCTCAGTGGTTGGAGGTGGAGGCAGGAGATGAATCTGGTGCAACGAAATGGTTGGATAGCCGGACGGGGGAGGGGGCAGCGTCATCTGCATCTTCAGCTGCTGCTGCATCTGTTGGTGCTGCCTCTGCATCTGCTGATGTTGCTGCTGGATCTGCTGGTGCTGCTGCTGGAGCTGCTGCTGCTGCTGCCTCATCTCCTGGATCTGTTGGCGGATCTGCTGTTGCTGCTGCTGCATCTGCTGCTGCTGCTGCTGCATCTGCTCATGCTGCAGCTGCATCTGTTGTTGCTGCTGCTGGATCTGCTGTTGGTGATGAAGCTGTTGGTGCGTCGGATTTTGTTGGAGTTGTTGGTGCTGCTGAACCTGGTGTTGTTGGTGTTGTTGCTGCTGCTGTTGGTGCAGCGTCTGCAATTGCTGTAGCTGTTGCTGTTGCTGCTGTAGCTGTTGATGTTGCTGCTGTAGCTGCTGCTGCTGCAGCTGTTGCTGCTGTAATTGCTGCTGTTGCTGCTGTAATTGCTGCTGTTGCTGCTGTGATTGAGACTGATGATGGAGCTGCTGCTGCTGCTGCTGCTGCTGTTGATGATGATGTATTTTCTGCGTCTGCATCTGCTGTGACTGTTTGGAGGGCAGTTGGCGAGGCTGCTGGGAATGAGACCGTTGCGCGTGAGGCTGCGGTGGGAGATGGTGAGGTGGAGGTGGGGGAGGAAGAGTACCAGGAAGGAGAGGACCCATCTCCAGCCCATTGAAGATCACTTGACCAGGGTTTGAGTATCTACTTTGCACTGGATATGGCGATGACGCTGCATCCGGCCCATGATCCGTAACAGGGACAGAAGCTGCTGCAGCTGCTGCTGCCGCCGCTGCGGCTGCAGCTGCTGCTGCTGCAGTGGCCGTGGGGTTGGTCAGCACATCAAGCTGGATGTTCTGATTGGCCAGAAGAGACTGAACCAGGCCGATGCTCTGAGTTGGAGACATTGCCTGAGCCGGGCTGTGGATGGGAGCAATGGGGATGTTGACGGTACAGGGTGGATTGTCTCCCGCCACTCCAGATGGTCCCATCACTTTATGGAAACACAAAGGAGAATTGCGTAAGGGACTTTTAGTACAAAACATTGCCATATCTTATATGGCGCTTAATATTCAATCACACCTGGTAGGTCATCCTCATCCTCACTGAAGACGTTGGGGTTGAACACAGGCAGGCTCATGAAGTCATGAGAAATCTTTCGCACTTCTGGAAGGTAGATTGTCATCTGCCTTGGTTGTAGATGAAGCAAACTTGTCTTATAGATGACTGAAATATAATAAAAGTCATGGTGACTGTTAAACTCAGTTTAATCAGTTAAACTTACTGATTTGTAAATGTGGCTTTTGTGACATTTACCTGCACCAAGATTGGCAGGGAGAAAAGTAGCGAGTCCGACGATTTTGAATTTGGTCCCCCAAATGTTGGATGTGACTTGAGCAAGGTAGTTGTGCTTTGAAGCAGTAAACATGAAAGACGGTTATTTTTATGTCAGGTTAGATATTTCTGTTATGATATTAACATTAAAGAAGTTAGAAATCTAGGTCAAATATTTATTTGAGATTTATTGCTTCTTTCATCTCAAATTCACCATTTACCAGAAAGCCTTTTGAGACATATGAATGAATTGTAAAATAGAGACTACTTAGACAGGTACAACCGTATCACTAACGAACAGTGTTGGGAAAGTTACTGAAAATGAGTATTTAGTTACGGTTACTAGTTACTTCTTTTAAAGGTAATTGAATTACTTACCGTTTACTGTGTATCAAACGTAATTAGTTACTTTACTCTGGAAAGTAACTTTTAAGTTACTTTTATGTCTGCTTTTTAAATGTAATGAATATGAATAGTACTGAACAGTCAAGCACAAAAAACATATTTTTTAGACCTATTGTTATCAACAGGGCAACAGCCTTCAAATCAAGCAATAGTACAAAAGTCCTTTTTAATACTTAACTTAATACAAAATAACTGTTTCAGGCATTTGCCTGAAGGCAACTGACTCAACAGTTGACAGGATGCATCATCTTCAACATAGCGAGCAATCAATCTATTCAGCTCTGCTCGGCTCACCGGCGGCACTGCAGTCCGTGTAAAGTGGAGCCCTGGTTGTTTGCGTGGAGCGGCGCCTGCAGCATCCGCGGGGCAGCGCTCTTTCGTCATGATCGACGCGATGCTGTTTACGTACACGTACGGCGACTATTCTGTGACACACAACGTTTGGTGGCCTGTTTTGTGCTGACAGGCAGCTATTTACTTACTATTTGCCGGCCCTCCGCTTCGCGTCACAAAAGAAAGTAACGCGAGTAACGAACTCATTTCAATTTCAGTAATTGTAACTGCGTTAATATATTTTAAGAAATACTTCGTTACATGCTCGTTACCGCTAAAAGTAGTGGAATTACAGTAATGCGTTACTTTGTAACGCGTTACTCCCAACACTGCAAACGAATGATGCAGCTTCATACCTCTGTGATCCCATCCATAGAAAAGTCTCGACGTGTCAGACTGGGAGACCGAACTGGAGGCTTTTTCATTGGTAACCGTGGTGATCGTTGGCCTTCCTGATTGATGCGTGAAAGTTTGGGGGATTTTCTTGATTCCAAGTTCATCCTTTGAAACAAAAAGAGAAACAAAGCTTTCTATCATATTTTGCTTTAAATGTGGTTCAGTTCATGTTAAAGTGGATGAATCAGATATGAACAAAACTAGCAAGATGAAATAGCATGGGGTAGTTATGTCAAAATAGGTTTTGGTGACCTGTTTCCTCGAGATAACTTTGGGGACTTCTTCCCGACCCACTCGTCGCTCAACTCAATGTCACTGGAGTCCGAGCAGTTACAGCTGTCAGCGTATGAGATCATGGGATTCACACACACCTCCTCTGGAAGGAATAAAACACACACAAAACAGCACAGTTCAGTTTGAAACGAGGTCCTCAAATATACGGATACCAATCTGCCACAGACAATAACAACGAAAGTAAATAAGTAAATAAATAAGCACGCCCAGGTTTGACCACGGAATGAACGTGACCCTGGTGCTCACTGGTCGTGGTACAGGCTAATTCCTGTACTAGGCCTCAGACTCTGTTACATCAGAGAAGGACAGTCATCACTAGAGTCCGTACTTATTCTTACACAAGGTGAATTATACACAGCTATTTTAAAATAAAGAACCACGCTCAGATATCAAGTCAAGATAACATGGTATATGATTTGACCTTGACCTTTGGGCATACCATTAGCAGTGTGTTTTTGTGCTTTCTGCTTCGTTCATCAGTATTTCAAGAGACCTCTTTACATTTTCCTGATTCTGTTGCTAAAATCGAGGAGTAGATCATACCACATGTTTGTCTGTTCAATATAAATCCAGCAGCCTGCCAATTTGCATTGCCTGGCATTGACACTAGAAGCAGTGGGAAAAAACTACCCGTTAAACAAACAGTGAAATAAAAAATACATTTCCCAGTTAATATCCTGTGTGTTGTCTGTCAATACGTAAGAAATACTGTCATGCTGATTTGCAATATTCCAACATTGAGCATTGGTGGTTTCAATCTTCTGGCTCTCATGTTTTGCATATAGACGTCAGTGACATCAGTCCTTTCATTTAACTCCTGGCAAGAAAGCATGTTTCACACAATATGTGTTTTTTTCAGTTAACTATAGATTGTCTTTCAATTTTCCAACCTAACCCTTTCTTTATCCAGCCGTGTAGATAGTTTAGCTTCATCAACTGTTAATAAATAATGGCGATTTTGAGATTTCTCTGGAGAATCCTCAGACCTCCCGGTACAATTATTTTACTTGAAAAAATTGATATTTCCAAATAAATGACTTTATAAGGTCTATGCCCACCTGCTTTGCTGTCCATTTTTGGATCCATAATGATAAACTCAGGCCGTAATTTACTGATGCGCCTTCCTTTGAGAATGGGCACCAGTCCTCCTAAATATTCCAGGTATAGCGTGTAGCAGGGTCCGCCTGTCTCAGGGCTGTCCTCGGCCCTCTTCATGGTGCAGTGGAGCCTCTCGTTCCCAGCTGTGGGATAGCTGACAAAGTCACGGATGTTGTTGGGGTCAGGGATTGGGGGCTAGAACAGAGAGGAAAGAGCTGTAGGTTTTCTGGACCTTCAAATGAAAACACGTCTTGATCAGCAGTTTGGCATCATCAGCTACGGTCGATTAGACGCCAATTATAATTGTCACTACACAGCAATGATAAGTCAGGGATCAGTGCACCTTGATGGTGGGTATAAACGCAGTAGTGACATAAGAGCAGAGCAGCGAGGGCATGTTCAGTTTCCCCACGTCTTTCTCCTCTCGCAGGGCGCTGGCGATGCCCTGCTGGCATAAAAGTTGTAGGCTGGCCACCCTGTGCTCCACACGCACCACGTAGAGGGCCGGTCCACATGCAAGGAAGAGACGAGAGTCTCTGTGTCCCCAACAGATGGTGGTGATGGGTCTCTGAAACAATGTTTTTGACCCCGGATAATTAGTACATTTTATTTCAAAACCATTTTCTGCATCTTACTTTTGCAATTTTAACTGTAGAATATCTAACTGACTGATCTAACATGCACTAGATCCCTCCTTCCATTAGGGACTCACCTGCGCTGGTGTTTCCAAAGTGTAGATGTGCTCTCCTTGGACATTATAGAACTTAACGAGGGCGTTCCTCGTGACGGACGAGCAGGCAGAGTCGACAGGAAGCCCGTGTCTCTCCATGCCGGCCACAGCCAGTAGGTCTCCCTGGGAGCACCATTGGGCCTCGACATCTATACAGTCACGGAGTCCAATAAACCTTATGGGGAATATGATCAACACAATCGATGCGCATGCTCGGGACACATGGACTTTTCATACCTTTCAGCCCTGAGCGGATTACGGCAGGAGAGAGGTCGTCATAGCTGTTCATCAAACTGATATCTCCTGATAGGAAGGTGACTGTCAACAAAGGCTTCACTCTGCGCACTTGCAAGAACAGAGAAAAGTAAGTTTATTAGCTTTTAACAGCCAACACGTGGTAGCAAGCTGTCTTATCAGCAGTGAGGGGTGATGTTTTTTTACCTAAAGGCAGAATATTGTCATCGGAGTCGGTGTCGCTCTCTGTGCTGTCCTCAACCAGGAAGTCTGGGCAATTCCAGGACATGCTGACGATCCCGTCGGACTCGTGCAACAAGACGTGGGCGAGCATTCGTCCGTGACAGTCCATCACTATAACCTGACCGTCTGCTGTACCAAACAAGACCTGCGGGGCATTGCATATTCAACCTCAATGATCAAAATGTGCTGGAGCATCAAATTCTAGGCCGAGGAGCACCGGGAGGAAACTCATTATATACGTTGTTTTATTTTGAATATGAGTCAATCAAAGGAAATAATCTCACCCCACGTGTCATTTTTAACATTCGTCCAGCTTAACGCTTTCTTCTTCTTTTTTTTTTACATCAAACTAATTAAATAGTACCAAAGGTTTTTCCTACAAGTTGGCCCAGGGAAAGTGTACCTGCTGATCATCAGGCGTCCAGATGCCACAGGTGATTTGACTCTCCAGGTTAATCTCTGAGGACCAGTGTCTTTGCCCGCTGACCGAGCCAACCAGCACAAAGCCATCCCGGTACGCGATGAGGGCTTGAGTGCCATCATGGGACCAGGTGAAGTCACTCACCTGGACGGAAGACAGTTTACCCTTCAAGCTGTTTGTGTATACATACAGGACGCTGTCATCAAAATACCATTAGTATGATTTTTTGGGTATTCAAGAGCATTACCGTTGTCATTCGTTCAATCATTTGTAAGTATATGTAGCAGGATAATAAATCAAGTGTTTACCTGAGCTCCTCTGTCGTTCACCAACTCTACAGACCACCTCCCTTCATACTGGATCCATACAAAAATACCTCCTTCCATATCACAGGTGGCCAGCTTCTGAAAGGGTTCATTCCAACGCACCAAGACAACCTGCGAACAAACACAAAGACTATTTTATTCTGCAAAACCCAGGAGGCGTTCTGCACAAAGGAACATTCGTGGTTAATATCAGTGTCGGTACAAGAAAGTCACTCAGAGTCCTTTGCAGCTGAGAGGAAATTTGCCCACGGCATTCCTTTAAGAACCTCCCTCAAGGAGTTTCTGAGTTATTACTGTCACCACAACGGGACGGAAGGACTGGGAGCACAAATACATCACGCCGCTGGCCACTGCTCTCACTGGCACAGAGGCATTCAAATATTTATTAGACAAAGCATGCCAAGGTAAATTTTTACATCTACATCAGCTTCTACATTTTCTCTTTACATACTTATTTTTCTTATGTGATATACATTGCGTATCTCGTCCAAAAAGTCCAAAAGCTATTTGTGATTTTATATCTCAATCAATTACTTGCTTAACTTGCTTGATAATTACTGTTTCAGTATAATATTCCATTTTTTTCCGTCTTCTTATGTTGTGTTTTATTTGAGGTTATTCATATGCAAACGTTACATATTCACAATATTTTCTTATCATCCAAGACAGGAAACAGTGTTATGGATAAAAAGACGGTTGTGTTTTGTTGGGTATGAAATTGCTTTTCCGAAAGTCTTTCAACAGTAATAAAAACATATTGATATTGCCAGAGTCGAGACCAGACCTCGCTGTTGTGTCCGCGCAGATTAAAGTTGATTCTCTGCGGCGTGCTTCTGTCCCTCCTGCAGTGACTCGATGTAAACGTCACCCCAACAACTCCTCTTCCGTTCCCCGTGGCGAGCCAGCCCTCTTCGTAGTAGCGCCTCCGGCACACCGGCTTGTCCTTTTCACTCTTGGGTACCCGGCCCTTCCACGAGAGGCAGAGGATGTTGGAGTCGCTGCAGAGGATGGGACCGTGTTCCACGGCGGCCAACATTCCTACTGAGTGACCAGGCTGGTGGGGAAAGCAGAGGAACAATATTGAACTGTTTGGTTTTTGTAGGAAATCAGATAAATTGACTTATATTGACTGGCTTGTGTTGATGTTCAGGTGCCTGCTTCTCGCTCCTTCATCGGAGTCTCAGTTTGTGCATCTGTCGTTCCATTCATTCCCTGCCAAATCATTAGGGTTGTACCTGTCCCTGCCCGTGAACATATACGTAGATATATAACGCCGCCTCAACAATAAATTATCCCACTTCCTCAACTGTCTGTATTTGCTTCCTTCGTTCACAATCTCACCCTGGAGACGGGTTTGATTGCTAGTTTTTCATTACCAATAACAAGAATGGGGAAAAGCTTTGTGGGAAGAAGCACATTAAACAAACCATTAAACACATGAGATTGAAAGTTAATTCTCGACCTTGGAATGAGTTGGTGACAAGAATAGTCTCACTTCTTTGGAACTGGTGTCTTCAGAACCTCTGCTGGCGGAGACACATTTAAAAAGGCCACTAAATGGACCTTCTGGTAAGATTGTTTTTCCAATTGCCGTCACCAGCTGAATTATTCACTTTTGAGTCATAGTTTTTAAAATCACTAATACACCAGAAAGGTCCGAATCAGCCACTAATTGGACCTTGTCGTGAGATTTTTCTGGTACCAAGATGGATTTAATGTTAAAACGAAGCTGCCTAAAATATGAAAAGTTGCCTCCATCATTATTCATATAGGCATCTAATGTGAAAGAAAGCAGGCGTGCTGCTTTCGCCGTTTGAGACATTGCATCACTTGAGTGAACAGAGTGAATCACTAAGTGTGCCCTTATACCAGTAAAATCACCATGGCTGCTGCTCAAAGTGTTGTTCTATTATTCACCGTGGAGCAGCTCCAGGACTTGTCGCGAGATGACATCATCATTAAATTCTGTCTTTGCTTTGTACAGTATGGCCGTTTGGTTTTTTTTTTTAACCCAAAATGCATTTTAATGCTTGTTACAAAACTGTACTCTGTTCATTTAATTATTGCTATGACTGAATGCGTAATTTCCAACCATGCCTGAACAAAAATTCCCAAAGGACTTGTTTCTATTTTGAAGCAGAACAAGCTAAATTATCCATTAAAAATCTTATTCTAAAATCTCACTGTATTCCCTTTCATCTTTCTCATTTCTTGTTTCATCTCTTCATTGAACCTGCATTATGTGAGTAAAAGACCAAAACCCAAGATTCAAGCTTTTGGCTGAACAACTCGGTGAAATACATAAATCATTTTTTGAGCTACTTTTAGATCACCAATAAAAATTAAATGAAGTCCTGTGAATACTAATAATATTTGGCTTCAGCGAAAGTTATTCCTGACATTTGTGAGTAACATAAAATGTAACAATATATTATAAATTAGTAACCTGGGAAAATTATGTATGATATGAAAACAAATGTCAACGTACCTCATAGTTTCTGGACATGTTGAGTTAGAAATCCTCCATTGATAGTGTCCATATTTCCATTCAGAGGATGCATTGAAGGGCAATGGCTGCTTTGCTCCTGGAGCTTACAATAAAATATATGAGCAAGTAAAATGCATCGTACAGATGTTTTCCAGCTCTACACCTTATTTTTTTTTAAATCAAACACCTCTGCACTTCAGAGTTTGACGTGAAACGAGGCTCCTTTGATGTCAGTGGCCCACCCCATCTCTCCCCGATGTGGCTCTGAACAGTCGTTTCATCCTGTTAAAAGGAAAAAACACCGTTATTCAACAACGACTAAGATCACGTAAGGGAGCGGCAGAGAGGTGCATCTTGCTTAGAATAGCCGGTCTGTCTTTCAGTGCATCAACCTTGAAATCCACAGTTTCTGCTCAGTCTCTATGCAACAGTAGCTGCATTGTAGATGAGGACACAGTCTCCATGGGTACTGACACTGTCCGTTTCTGCTATTTTACGTCAAACGCCAGAACAGCGAGTCAAGGATGTGGATCTAAAAAAAAAAAAACGAAACGTATTCTAACGAAGATAATGAGAATGCATTAAGTAACCTTTCAATCAAACCACGGTTTACACTTGGAAGGACGAAGATCCCCAGCCTCCGGTGGAAAGTCCAAGTTAAAGCCCCGTCATGCGCTCCCCGAAGGTTCCCTCACTACATTAAACGTGACATCAAGTGCATTTCCCATTCAAAGGCGTCCTGGAGACCATCTGACCGCATGCAGCAGTCTGAACGAGCCACCGACGATGAGACCAATGAGCCGCAGGGTGCAGGGAGGAAAGGGTGGTGGTGGTGGTGGGTGGAGGGGTCAATAACTGCGTTCATCAAAGAGGTGACACGGACAGACGTAATGCAGTTGGACGCACCGTACCTGACACCCGCCGTGACCACAGCCGTCCAGATGCAGCCGCAGGCGCGCACAGTGCGGTCGTGTTTCCAGCCGCTGCTCCGCTGGCGCACTTTGGGGTTGTGGCTTTAAACCGGGTTGCCATGAGGCAGTTAGCACGGAAAATAGACCCCGAGCTTCCAATCCCGGTGAAACGAATGCGCCTACACACACACACACATAACGCCCGCCAAGGATCCCCGATGGTAAGAATGTACAGTTTAAACTATTGTTTGGCATATTCTGGTATGTAGCCTGGTCCACACAAGCCACTATCATAAAAAACCTAGAAGAATTGGTGCTCGTCAAAGGAGGGTTATAATAATAATGGCAACCTTGCTCGGCGCACCCAATCTGTGTAATGTAAATTGAACTGACATTCTTAGCACACAAACTGAATGCGATGAATGTTCTCATAACTGACAGAATGTTAAGTCTCATAAATTAATAACGTATACCCTTCCTGTATTTCCCAAAGCAGCCTATGATGCCACAGACTCGCTGATTATAAATAAATAAACTGATTTCTGTTGTTTTATTCATGCACAAAAAGCCCAAGCACTAGAATGGATATTAAATCTTTATTGTGATATTAGATAATATATAACACTTTTCTCTTCTTCATGTGAACAGATAAAAATGCCTCAGGCTATCTTCAATGTATGCATGGTCATGAGATGTTCTGCAAAAAACTACAGAATATTAGAACTGCAAAGATGAGTCGATTAATTGATCAATCACTTGACTCATTCTTTGGAGCATTTTACATCATTGTAAATTAAATACTTTTTTTGTTGTACTTTAGGACCAAACGGCTTAAGAAGTTATTTTTGGCTCTATTCTGAGATATTCTGCAGAGATAAAAACAAAAGCATTGAGCGATAAACTAACATGAAGAATTCTTAATTGTGAAAGTTTTCATTAGTTGTACATCAAAACTGTGACAAAACTTTTTGTAAATGTTCTGACAAATAGCAGCGCTTAGTCACAAACTCCTGTGTAATCACTGAAAGATGTCCCTTATTTTCAGTTTCTCTTGTATTCCTACGCAGAGAGATTCAAGTGCACGTCTCTTCGAAAGCGCGGATGACGCTGTCGTATGCAGGAGGGGAAGTCTGCGAGGGCAGAAATCCTTTCAGTCCGTTGCTGCCCAACCAGAAGGAATGTCTCTTGTTTGGTACAAGGGCCGCTGAATCCGACGAGTTTGAAGCTGCAGTGTCCTCGGGCATGGTGATCAGAGTGTCCTCTCCCATCTCCAGGCCGGCCCTGCTCCTCTTGGGCACGGGGCGAAAGGTGGAGCTCTCCACGCCCGGCTTGCTCCCCAGAGGGCCCACTGGCTCCAGAGACGGCTGTCTGTAGACACTCAGAAAGGTGCTTCTGTAAAGGCCCAGCTGGTTGCTCGCGGCTGTTTGTGAAGCGCCGGATCTCTTTTTGGAGCGCCTGGTGATCCTTGCGGTGGCCTGGCGCCGGGATGCCCAGGTCAACAGAACGTAGACCAGAGCACCGAGCAGCAGGCCCACGAGCACAGACAAGCAGAAGGCTAAAATCATGTTGTCTAGAAAAGGCAAAGAAATGACTGCAGAGTGTCAGAGAAGGGGAAATACTGTGATACATTTATTTGGTGCAGTGCGAGGAGGAATGCGTTGTATTGTTCTAAAAATGGGAAATATTATCTCCAAGGACGGTCATTTCTTTTTGCAAGTCAAGTTAGGAATAGAACGTAGCATTGACGAGGAGCGGTTACATAAAGTACATCTTTCTCTGTGCCAGATTGTTTCAGGGATTTTGTTTTTTTATTGATTTGCTATTGCTGGACGCTGCTATACTGGACAGACTGTTAGATAACATCTTACATCACTCCTGCGTGTGGGCTCTCTGTCTAGGTATAGTATCATTGTGTTCAAGCACAAACTGAAAACACAACTTCACTTTCCATCATTTGATTTTCAAGTTCTGGATATTCATTAACTTTTCCACAACCAAGCAATTTGAACTGCTTTAAATAAGACATGAACAGGAAAAATATAAGTTAATAAAATACAGTAGCAAAAAAAAGTTTGTTTTAGAAACGTGTTGTCAAATATGTGGTGCATATTTACTGATTTTTACGTGAAAACTTTTGTAATGATTGAATAACTATTGTCTATCTGCATCTTACAATACGTTCCTCTCACACAGCAGCTTTGGGATACTAGATCTTTAAAAGAAACAAAGACCTATACACTCACCAAGATTAAACGACTTTAGTATTTCCAAAAGGGGATGTGTTTCATTTTGTGCCATAATTCCACCATGAGCCGGTGTTGGATTCCACCCCGACTCCGATCGGACAGACGAACACTAAGCTATTTCCAAGACGAGCTTTCTGTTCTTTTCCTCCCTCCACAATGTTTGGTGTGGCGGAAACTTTGCTGTCGCGCTTCCTTCCCATTCTGGCTTTAAAATTAGCAAGTGCATTGCTTATCTGTGTGGGACACAAGACTGGGAAACAGGGTTGTTTCCTCCTGCATCATTTCCTTGGGATCAATACACTGTGCAGACTCTGCTGTCACTTTTACAGTTTAATAGTTTTAGTTTGTTGTAGACTTTGAAAATGGTTGTTAAAGAGTTGATTTGATTTAAATGGTTAGTTGTGGGCTCTTTCTGTCAGACCTTTTTCTTTTTGTCTTTCTCCAATTCAGTAGATGCAATAATTCATTTAATTTTTTTTTAAAGATGCCTGTGTGTGAGAGTGGAAGCGTTTCTGTCTCGCACGTCACAACATATTTTGAACCGTTTAATGGGACATTAACCTAATTTAGATTATAGCAGAACAACAGGGGTAGCACCACTGCTGCACACTGTGATGATTTGAGTGAATTACCTAAAATATATCTTAACCAACATATAAAAATACTGTGAATTTTAATAGAGAAAACTCTTTGACAATTGTTCCCAGTCTATGCAAAGTGATTGTTAGACTGTACTAAACGTAAAAGAATAGAAAGGTGTAATTTGTAAATTATTAAGTAGGAATTTAGCACAAAAAAACTGCTTTATTCAGTTATGTAATGCCGAGTTTCGTGTGTTAATTAATATTTGAAAAGTTAAATACAACTGCATCAAAACCTTTCTAAATAAAATCTTACTTCTGACGTAAAAAGATTTGTGTTTCCAAGTGTCTTGACTAGTTCCTGGATAAGCTGAAGCATGAAAATCCAGCCATCCAGTAAAGTCTGCAGGATATCAAGCTCTCAGTCTCCATGGGGATTTCCTTCAATTGTTACACTGTTCCCACTTCTGTCCTCAGAGTCTTCAGGCTGACATTCTGCAGACTGGGAGAAATCATACAAATGCACATGCGTGTCTCAAACAAATCCAGCAGGTGGCGGTGATGTACTTGGTTCCACGGAGATTCATTTGGGAGACTGCATCTTTGAGCATGTCACAACTAGTCTGTATTAGAAAGACAGGAAGTTCACCAGAAACATCTTACAAGACATAATAATAATCATCAACCTAGTGGTGTCATTTGAGGTCTCAACTGACAGTATGAGGGGGTCTTGTTTAGTGGGGGTAGTTTTAATAGGCCTGTGTGGTGTAACAGTGAGAAAAGCACAGAAAAATGGAAGTAACAGTGTCTGAACTCCGTTTAGCTCTTTTGACTTCAGGATCCTGATACTGTGCATAAGCTTCCTTGCCGGCATTTGTACCACAACACTTGTGTAGAGGAGCCACCGTAAGTGTTGATAGTAACACAATAGTAACATAATCACATTCCCGTTTCTTCACACCTGTTTTTGCCAAAATGAAGCCAATTGTAGCTGTGGTAGTAGGCTGAACATCTCACTCAAAACTCACTAAAAACCTCCTTATTACTATGAGTATCTGCATTAAGGTCCTTCCCCTTGCACACAACGGCTGTGACAAACGAGGGTTTAGTTTGAAATTAGAAAGGATGTCAAACTACTTAGTTTGATTTGAACCATATTCTGCACTGGGTCCTTTGGTGTGTCTGTTTAAACTGCATTGACTACACCCTCCCGAGGAGAGAACAACCAGCTGGCAAGTACAAACCCTGTCAACCCCTTAATGTCACGTCAGGTCTCAGTTGACGCTTCTTCTGCACACACCGAATTCATGCTTTTTTCCTCAAATATGACACATTTCATGTTGCATGTATTTAATTTCCCATTAGTGTTATCGGGACCTGGTTTGTTTCTTTATTTATTAGTATCAAGGCAGATTTGCACAGATCTTTTCTAACAATCTTCATCCTCGGTTCATTCTCAATTATGAAAATCTTGACAATAAACTCAATTGTTTTGATGTGTATGCGACTGACTGCAAATGACGTGCTGGATATTGAGTAAGCCCTACACCCTTAATCTTTCAGAAACTCCCTAACGTGTATAAATGCAGACTTCCTGGTGTGTCTTTACAAATTAATTGAGACACACAAAGGAGGGAACTTCCTGATTCAATTAAGAGCTCCAGCTCAAAAGACAGAGCATGCTGCTGTTGAGTTTCCCTCAAAACTACAGTTTCATTCACATGGGACGTCAACGTGAGGTGGAGGGAGAGGGACACTGACAATGGGGGCAGCGGGGATACCAGGGATTCCTCTCTGTTCACCCCCATAATGACCTCTTTCGTTTCTAAAAACGAGGAGCTCTGGACTAAACATTTAGGTTTGTGCTGTTCAGCGAGCCGCGTGCACCTCGTCTTCTTCTTCTTCTTCTTCTTCTTCTTCTTCTTCTTCTTCTTCTTCTTCTTTTTTTATCGTGCGGTTACAAACCTCTCACGCCACCGTGTTTCTCCGTTTCCTATAGCAACGAGGCAACACACACACACACACACACACACACACACACACACACACACACACACACACACACAGAGGCACACAGGGGCACTTCCTCTGTAAAGTTATCCTGCCCGTCTGCAGTCCCGAAAGTGGTAAGGTGACCTGACACCGTGATGTTTGCCCGTTGGTTGGAACGCTTCTTCCTCCTGAAGACTAAACACTGACCGTTAGTCATTTTGTCACCTTGTGACGGTTTCTGGCGAGCTAGTTTTAATTCGGTGTTAGCTAAGTTGTAGTGTCTTTAACGTCCTCTCCTGTTAACGTTACATAGTACATCATTCAAATGCAGGTGTGTAACTTTTTATTTTAGTTTGCGACTTCGCGACAAATAAGGTGATGATGGGATGCGCCGGCGGAGGGAAACGTGTGTGCCTTGCTAACTTAACGTTAGCTAACTTGGACACTTGTGCTAGTTAATTAACGTTCATTCATATTTCCTCACTCAACGGGGACTTCCTTATTTGTCGTCCTTAAAGTGCTGTTGGTTTCATGTATGAGGTGGCAGTTTGCAGGCCAAGAAGAGATGCAGTTTCACTCATTACACATTATGGTTGCCTACTTTTGTTACCTTTGTGCGGCTGTATTTCATATTTCATTCATATTTGTGTCTTTCTGTAAATGTCTTATTGGCCCTTCTTGATGATGAACTGATGATATGAGATTTGGTCCGATACACAGCATGTGTCTGCATCCTCGACCAGTAAAGTTTAACCTCAGTCTTGTTCGTCTTGTAAGCAACTGATGATTTGAGTGACACTTTTGTATAACAGGAAGGCCGAAATGCTTAAGTCATCTTCCTGTACTGTTCTTCTCTTAGAAGTGAATCATAGGGGTCACAAATAACATTAAAATCGACAGATGTTGTTGATTTTATTAGTTGCACCTCTGCTTTTTGTACTGTAAGTCCCATGTGCCACATTAATTATTCATTGTGAAACATGCGTGTCATGTAGAAGGGTCATTTTTTTTCTTTTTTTACTTGTGAAAATCTCCGGAAGCAAACTGTCTTGCTTAATAAGATAAGATAAGAACAAGATTGCAACCGAGGGGTAAAAATGACATTGAAGCGCTATACAAAGTAGAATAAATTATTTAAATATTAATTGAAACATGCAGATTGTAGTATTTCAATGTATGCCTTCTAAGGAAAGGAGGGTGGTCATTCAACATCATGTCCTTATGAACAAAGAAAACAAGCTCAAGAATGAATTGAATTGGTAACACTCTCTTCACATGCATCTCTTTTTCAGGCAACGACAGGGAGAAGTGCTTCTATTGGACAGCGAACCTGCTGTCCCTGCATGAAACCTGAGCTTGGATTGGACCTGGTCCTGCAGTGATACTAGAAAGAGAAACAGAGAGGAGGGCGAGGGAGTGGCAGAGGGGATGTCCCACTCAGGACGTCTTTGAAGGATCCTCCGCCATCAGCGTCGGTGACCCACCTTTTTCACACAGCTGCAGCGAGACAGCATGGCCTCGCCGAGGAACTTCGGTCGGTCGTCTGTGGACATCGCTAATGTGATGCAGAAACTGCAGGGTGAGTGTCCTTCTTTTGCATCGGCTGGCTCACGGACAAAACGCTCTCTCCTCCTGCGCTGCTGCACAGTAATATTGTGCTGATTTCCTGCCTGGGCTGCGGGCCCGTCTCAAGTTAGCTTCTGGATGGAAGATCCTCACATGCACGTGCTTGCACACACTCATTTGTTCACATCTTGCATTCAGGCTTACACTATGAATTAAACTGTTATTTATTATCTTTCCATTAACAAGCTTTTTTTTCCTTGTGTAACTTTTTTTTGTTTGTACTGTATTAGGGAAGAGTTATAAAAATGTTTTCATACTTTTTGTTTGATACTTTAAGACTGTGAAATATGTGTTACAGTCTTGCACTTGTTGCTTTTGAATGAATAACAGACTCACACATTTGGGTTATTAGATTCATGTGCGCATGGTATCTTGGATAACTACGTTTACGTTTTCTTATTTGAAATTATAAAATACCTGTTCAGTCTTGTGATATGTTGTGACGTAATTGAGAAGTTTCTCAGAGAAACATGATTATTTTTTTACCACACGGAGCAGGTCTCACCTTTAATCTGATTTTCCGTTTGAAATTAGTAAACTAGATTAGTTTTCACGTCATGTCTCTATTCAAGTAGCATCAAGTCACCTTGTCACCAATTCGTTCTACCTTAATAGACCTTTGTATAATAATTTACAAAGGTCTATAGAAGGCTTGATGTTTTTAAATCTTGGGTTGAACGTTACCCCTTTAATTGTGTTCTTGCTCTTTCAATCAGTTTAGGGATGAGCCGCAACATTTCATCTTATTCTAGACATGAGATGCAGAGTCGTGATACATGTGGATTCATGGTTGCACAGACAATGCATTGAACAGAACTAAAACCTGACACCCTTTCTGCCCTTGGTTAGACAGTAGATCGATAGCAGGAGCCTCTTTTTTTTGTTACAATGGCTTCACACCACTGGCATGACTACACATGTGTGGTCAATTCTGGCACCTGCTTCCACGCAGTTTAGGTGCTTTTCTGGTCCACAGTATACCGGGAAATGCGACACGCTGTACCTCGTTACCATAGCGACTGCTATGGTAACATTGCGGTTGTGCCAACGCAGCACTGTTCCCGTTCTAGAGGGACTTGGTTTCACAGTTACTTTCATTCACTTGATAACAATAGATATTATAAGCACAAGGAGGGTGAAGTGTGTCACGACAAAGAGCGCCTTACATTTAAATTTCTTTGTTTCACACATTTCACACATTTTGAGTCCCTCACACTGACTGCCTCCCTAAAAGATATAAGCTGATGTTTAAGTCTCTTAAGGTAGAAATTTACTCGTGTTAAGGGTGTGTGATGAACACAAAAAAACCTGTTATTACTGCTGCTGAGATTTCAATATGCATTTTTAGGATAATAATAGTAAAACAATATGATCATACATTTCCCCAAAATTAGTAATTAGTAATTTTGTAACTACATTGGGGGAAATTCACCCGAACTGTGCACCAATGGCATTATCTGCAAACAAAGGGCAAACCACTATTGCGTGTTTTGTGATAGGAAGCGGAACCTGGTGTGAGGTCACATCTGGAAGATATTGTGCCAGTGGTTTTAGATGCTCTGTAAATGGCGGGAAGCAAGCCGGTCCGGCTCTTGCACTGTTAATCAAATGCTGCTTCCTGTCATTAAAGGCATCCTGCAGGCACGGTCAATGCAGGCTCACTTTGACCTGAGCAACGGTCCATCTGGGTGGATGAATTATGAACAGCAAAATAGCCTTGTGAATACATGTATCTATTGTCTAAATGTATCAACAGCTGATCGAAGAGAAGAAACTTTACTCCTGTTTCTACCGTCATAATGCCATGTTTATATTTTGTGCTTGATTTACACATCATAAGACCAAAGAGTAAGAACACCGAGTGGCCTTAAACACGCTCAGGGGACGTCTGTTAGTTGCGCGTTGCTCTCATTCCGCTGGGGTTTCTTGTGGGTTTCAGACTAGTTCAGGCAGTGTCTCAAACAGGATATGAAGAAATTAATAAAGAAAAGCCTGTTAATGTTGGTATCTTTTTTGCTCATTTATGTCACTCAGATTTTGTCTGATTTCTAGTAATGCTATATTAAATGTTAAATCGTTTTTAGCCTCTTTGCTTCCTGTGATAAAAAGTTTTTAGCATCTTTGCTTCCTGTGATAAGTAATCAAGTGACACAGCATTAAAGGGGAAATCATTATGGCAGCAACATCATTTTCTCAATAAAAATAGTGATCAAAATACCCATCAAACGTCTTCCAGACTTGTTTTGCCTGACCAACAAGTTATTCAGTGTAAAGTGAGACATAGTGAAACCTCACATCCCAAAAATAGCAAACAATGATTCAAACATCAAGAGAAGCTTCCCTTTCACTTTCTGAAAATAAACTCCAGTGCCTCTCTACTGCAAGACTGCAGCTTTGTTGTAAAAGGTCACAAGCGAAAACACGCTGAATACAGATGATTAGAAATCTGCATTCACCAAGAGGGTGAAGGACAGACTAGCATGCATGTTGTCAGCTGAAAGAGATGCGTTTGCTCTACAGTGTCAGTAACAGCTGCCACCTCACACCAAGCCAAGCCGCTGAAGTTAGTGTGTACGACAAAGCACATCTTGTGTACCTTCCTCATTTGTCATCATTTCTTGTGAATATTAGATTAGAAATGTGCATGTTGTTTTGAAGAATGGGGAACAACTCCTACTTTAAGTTAATCTTCAGCGTCAACCAACTGAGAATTGACGGCTAGAGAATCATTTCTTGTCCTGCCTGATCGTTGTTGGCCTGACAGAGCTGAAGTACGGCTAAACACAACAACAAGTGAAGGGGCTTTTACGGTGCTCCCGGGTGGCCATCACGCGCCAATGAAGCCAAGCACCTACACTACGGTACTGCCAAAGGTTTCGTCTGTCCTAAGATCACCTTAAGCGCTCCAATACTCATGGATTGCGGATGCTTTTAGCGTTTGATGCTTTGCTGGTGTTTGTTGCATGGGGCTATTCACTTGTAACTGCCACTTCGCTCCCACTACATCTAGCTTAATTAACAGTTGGCTTCGACATAATGACTCAACGATGGGGAGGGTTTCTTGGCTACATACATTTATTTTATTTCACAAATTGATTTATCTGAGACTATGGACAGCTCCTTAATAGCTAGATTTGAGACTGAGCGGGCTTGATTTAAAATGCAGGTGTTACGTATCACACCCTAGTAGACTCTGATGGAAACAAAACCACATCTTTTCCTTTCCAGCAGAGGATTGTTCCTGGGTTGGTCCTATTTGGCACCAGACGTTTAGAATAGCAAAAGTAAAGGCCTAAGTTTAAAGGTCATAGCTTGACACTATTCTGAACAAAGAAGACAAAAAAAAGAAGCAAAGTAGTTTTGCAGCTTTTAGTCACTGTCCTGCTGGAGGTGCATAAGCATTATTTTTAAGAATGTTCAGAATAAGAAACAATTATTTGCCAAGTATGTTGGACGTACGCGGATATTGTCATGGTGGGTGATGCAAAAAAAGATAAGAAAGAAGAGCAGCAGTCATGGTACCATGAAAATACTCATTTCTCATCTCATTTTTAAAGAGAACAACCTACTATTAAAATATAGGTGGTAGGATGTTAAAGAAGTTCTAATTAAATATTCTAAAATATAATAAAAACATTTTTAAATGAATTATAGGGTTAATCTTTTTATTTTAACTTTTTTTGCTTGGACTTAAATAGTAATAAATGGGCATTTATTGCAATATGTTTCTAGTGGATGGTGGAAGTGTACTGATTTTAACCTTTTACTTGTTTTATGTAAAAGGGAATAAAAAAAAAAAATCCATTTTCACCAAAATTCCTTCCCTGGGGGCTATAGAGCAAAAATAATAGAATCCCTAGTCTGGGCCTATTTTTAGTATCTCAGAAAAGCTTTTAGTATTCTAGTGGTCTTAAAAGAATAAAGGGATTTTTCTGCAGGAGATGATGTCATCAAATACTGTGCTTATTCACTATTGTGAGTTATTTTCAGAAGAGTGGAGTAGTAATAGAAAACTGGCTTGTGAAAGCTGAAGTTGTTCCAGTAGGTCTGACAGGACAAAGACGTACATGCTTTGGTGCTTCAACATGATACTGTGTGTGAAGTGGGAATCCCGGAGTGGGTGTGTCTTCTTTGTCGTCACTATAGCATTGACACAGACGGAGGGAGCAGGTGGTGGATGTCATTCACCAGCCTCAGCATTAATTATTGAGATTTCTTTCACCATGGTGAGCTTAGGGAAGCAGTCTCTTAATTTCGTCTGGGCTATTTAATCAATAGGCCTACTGGGACATCTATTTTTACCAGCAAAAAAAAAAAATGGGAAGGGAAATTTGACAAATATTTAATAATAACCTAGGAATTTGAGATGCTTTTTAACTGTCAGACCCACGGACATTTAGGCAAATTTCATAGGCAAACACAGGTCCATACACACAGACAAATCAGGATAATGCAGCCAAAGCTGTGACATCACTGCCCCCCCCCACCGTGCTGATTGGTGGAGCCATGCTTCTAGCTGATCTCTCTCCAGCGGCAGCGTATGATGATACACAGAGGCAGTGCAGCGGGGGCTGTGCACATCCTCACAGGCATGGCTCCTCTGGATGGAAAAAACACAGCAAGATGGAAGGATGGGATTGTAAACGACCGGCTCCGTTAGGGTCTTCCTCTCTGCCATCTGTGCGTGTGTGTCTGTGTGTGTCTGTGTGCTTGTGTGTGTGAGAGTGTCAGGGAGGAGGGGACGTTATCCACACAGCCTCCAGCAGCTCTTTTGCTTCCACCGGGGAAACCGGGCAGCCAGATCCGTTGTGCTTCCTGCTTGAAAGGGAAAGGAAAAAGAACAGCTGTGCATTTTTTTGTATCAGTTTTCCAACGCAGATTTTGTTTCCACATGTACATATATGTACCCTGGAACTGATGAAAGGCAAAAGGAGAGAGCCGGAGAGTGGGGTGTAGAATGGCTCACTACAAGGAGGTATCTGTCAGAAAGACTTCTTTAAATCTGGTGACTGGATTTTTTCAGTATCTACGTGGTAAGTAGGGCAGCAACATCCTCCATCTCTCCTCTGTGTGCACATACGTAGCTAATCTGGGATATAACTAGGAAATAACAGATGCTAATGGTGTGTAGGTGAATCTACATGTACTAGTTACAGTATCGTGCTGCACAAACACAGCTGTATGTGGACTTCATCTGTGTGTGTGTGTGTGTGTGTGCCGTGCTTCAGTAAGCATCCCCTGTGCATCAGAAAGAAGCATTTGCCCGCGGGTTAACTCCACGTCTTTGCTCCCTGTTTAGTGGTCGCATTGCTTCCTTCGACACGTGACCGCTGCCTATATCTCTCAGGGTGGGTGGTTAAAAATGGCCACTCTGTGCAGTGTGCAGTAGTAGCCTACCGGCATTCGTGACAGGGTGTTAGAAATCCGTCCTACACGCAGCAACGGCACCACTTTCGCAAAGAAATCAATTGTTTGGTCTTACTTGCTGCATAATGCATGAGGCATTGTGACTGAATATATTATTAGACCACAAAGGAGGCGGGAGGGGGGTGACCAAAACAATCAACACAGGGATGTGAGATGTGTTGGCAGAAATTGTCTCCCCACTCACTCTCTAATCTCCTTTGTATGACCTCTTTCTGAAAGCTCCGGAACGTCACTCATACGAGCACCGCCTAGCCCGTGTTATTCACGCCGCACACGTCTCACCGTTACCAAATTTGTTCTTAGTAACATGTTCGGTGCAGGGTGGCAGAAATGCTACTCGACACACCCGAAGCAGTGTAAAAATGACGTAGCATGAGTTTGGTAAAAGTTCTAGAGATTAATATTTGATGGGTTTTACGATTGTGCGGCAGTTTTAAACCCAACTATATACACATCTAGAATCAATCAGCAGCCACTTCTTAGGAAGAGCAAATCTGTGACCTCTGATCATCAAGTATTACTCTGAATTTACTGTCCGCATTTGGTTGTGTGTCCTTTACGTGTATCAGCAGCTCCTGTGCTCACAAGCGTGTGGATTAACAGTCAACCGTCTTTGTGTCTCATGTGGCGTCTTTCGTGTGCTGCATTCACATGACCTTTGTGCCTTTCATTTTCAGATGAGCAGGAGGCAGTGCAGAAGAGAACCTTCACAAAGTGGATCAACTCTCATTTAGCGAAGGTAAGTGTGGATTTTCGAAATGTGCTCCGCGATTTACATTGGTATACAATGGAGGAACGAATGAGAGGTTTGTGATGTTTTACTGGTAGTCATAAGGATGCAGCTTCTCTCTGGTCCTGTGGTATTTCAGGCTACTTACCCGTCACGTCCCTCTGAAGGAAACACACTTCAAGATGAGCTTTGCCGTCTCACCATAATAGACCCCTAATAACACCACTGAAAAGATATAGTTACATTTGTCCAGTGTGTTAAACCATCTTGCTTGTTGAGCATTTGAGATCATATCATGTTATCATGGAAAGTGGATCTAATGATGGAGAGGGAACACGCAGTAGAATAAACCTGAGACTATTCTGGTCACTTCTCATGGTGTCGTGCGAAGCGTCAAGAAGAGGTCTTGCTGCTGGTTGCTTAGTGGGTCGAGCTTCTGTACCACAAGTGTAGTGGGTTCATGCGCACATTATTCTTTCTGTGGTGTATCAGGTGTGTCTGTGCCCGCGCTGTGTGTGACTGAGTGCGCGTGTGGGTGTTTTGTTGTTTGTGTGAGTGTGTATTCGTAGACGGGCTTGGCAGGGCTAGTGATGCTGTGTGCAGATGGAGAGCAGGAGGGCGAGGACAGTTCCCTGTAGGCAGTCGTTTGCTTCTAAATGTCAGCCATGTAAATTACACCGCTAACACATTTTAAGCTTAAATACTGGATTAGGTCAGACTGTGCATTAGATTATGCACAGTGAAGAACTGCTCAGAATTCTGATTACGTACCGGTGTTTTGTGACTGTATTCACTGATGACACAGCGGAGTGTTCAACTGCTAAGCCGCCGGGTTTAAGTCTGTACCCTGGCACAGAGATTTGGTTTTTGTTGAGCCTGATCTGCCTGCACATTACTTCAAAGCGTGGCTTCTAAAACTCAGCTATGTGATGGGCCGGAGCAGAGAGGCTGTGTTGGTCTGTTCGTCATTGTTCATGCACTGCACTCCAGCACTCTCACTGTGCATACTAATAGGACTAATGTTGCATCATGAGAGAGCTCCAACGGTGATAAATGGAAAGAACAGCTTTTTGCATGACTGATGAGGCTTATAGAGCAGTAACATTTACAGACGAAAGCGTTCTTCCAATAGTTTAGTGTGTTTGAGTGAATTATGAATTCAGCTCTGAATGCATTGTGTATTTTCTGAGCTTAAAGTTGTCAGTGTGACAGCTGTTTCTTTTTCCTCTGAGTTTGTATTACTCAGCAGTTTTTTCAATGGTTTTTAGTTTTCTCACGTGATTCTGTGGCTCAGTTAATAGATTTTCCAGGGTCAGGAGGACATAGGCTATATTTGCATGACTGTGCAAATTGATGAAATTAAAAATAATACATGTAGTATATATATTTGTGTTTTTTAATCTAGTGGCACAAAAACATGACTAAACTTTTGTGACAGTGAGAAGAGAAGTGTACAGAATAACAGGACAGACGCTTGCCTCTTCACACTGCTTTGCCCTAATTAGGCAGCCAACTGCATCCTGTCATGGAATATGTTGAGTTGTGAAATGACCTGTATATGGTGCCAAATAAAGAATTCCCATGGCAAGTTTGGCTTGTAATTAAAGCTTCACACTGCTGAATAATAACACATTTGTTTCCTTTGCTTATACCGTAATGGTCAGTAGTTTCTAACGCCATCATTCAACCAGAGATTTTATAGCTCTGTAAATGTGTGGATATGATATCAGGAGACAGCCCCCATTAGGGTTAAATAAGTACCATTGCCTTAGGACCGGGCACCAGGCCACTGCTGAGGGATAGGCACCATCTTCTCAGCCGCAGGGAGGCTCTGTGGTTCTGTCTAACAAGCCTGTTTCTCACAAACTCCTCATCCCTGCCAATGGACCAGAATACTAATATCCTTTCGCACTAAAAATGTAACCGTGCAACGTTGCTGCTTCTATAGATGCATTGGTTCTCAAGACTGATTCATTTGAATTAATGAATGTTTTCTCTCCTCCAGTACAAACCACCACTGGAGGTTAACGACCTTTTCGAGGACATCAAAGATGGGGTCAAACTTTTGGCTCTCTTGGAAGTTCTGTCTGGTCAAAGACTAGTAAGTAATACCCATGACTTGAAATAAATTCTACTAAGCTATGAATGCTTTGATTTACGTCCTTGATTTAAGTATGGATTTAAATTAAGGGGATCAGACACCGTGTATGATATCTGCATTGAATAACCAATATGCAAATCAAGGCATGCTTTTGTTCTGGGTCGGCTTCACTTTAATTTGTACACGTATCTGGGATTCCCTATATTATGTAAGGCTCCATTCATGTCATGTTTTGAAAGTGTGAAACGGCAAACACATTCTCTAAATATCTCACAATAACCGCTGCGTCATAAAGATTTAAGTTTAACATAATTATGAGCTGAGCCCCTTCACTAGTCCCTAATCCTATCCTGAACGCTCAAACCGGCACTTAACCTCAAAAACACAGTGCAACAGCTATTTGAGGTAATGAAAGCCTTCCAAAATGTCCTCATAATGATCGTATAAAACCAACATATCAATACAAGCCCACACACACATAAACACACTGGTCTAGACTAATAGGGATTTAGTAATCAGACCTGTTTTGTCATCTGTAAAGCTGTTACTCAGCAAGTGATGGTTGGTGGTGAATACTGCCTGATGCTTTTAATTGCTGCTTCCAGAAGTTGACCTCTGTTGTTTTCTATCAGCCCAAAAATTCACTTAGACGGTGTTGAATGTGGTTCTCGCTCAGGTTTTAAAGCACAGGATTACTCTTAAAACTGCTTCGACACATTTTCTGTTAAAAATCCTGCTAATATTCTTTCACTATTACTACTACTACTACTACTAGTAACTTAAGCTAATTTGTTACAATATTTCAAAGCAGTAAATGGTTGACTAAAGATCAGCTTTGTGTAACATGGCATTCCCAGCCAGCTTGATTCTTACTGTGTGTCCACTGTGTCTTAAGCCCCGGGAGCAAGGCCGCCAGCTGAAAAGGATCCACTGGGTCTCCAACATCGGCACAGCGCTCAAATTCCTGGAAGGCAGGAAGGTAAGCGTTCAGTGATTTCAACATGTTTTGAGGTATTTTTCTCCACAGTTAAATATCAGCAGTGTCCTGTCATAAAGAAGTCCAGAGTAGGGTTAAGAACTCATGAGAGATGGCAATTAATTAAATATTTGTCAGTGTGCATAAGGCGTGCACTATACTCAGAGAAGCAGCAGATAGAACATAACTCCTGGCTCTTTAAAGCCTGTGTCCCACTTTACATCTGGGCTCCCTGAGGACGGAGACTTACATTGTTGTGATCTCTCTCCCATCACGTGTGCCTTCAGTCTGTGTATCGAGGATCCCCGGTCAGTTAACCGCCCTGTGTGATCACATACTTGCATTCTTTTCATTTGCACGTTTGGATACATTTCCGTTTCAGTAAATGCCGTCATAACGAGTTTCTACTGACATGCATTGTGATGCATTTTGACTAGAACACTGGTTGCTGATGTGTTTCTCCACAGTTCTGAGCTTATTAAATGTAAAGATGTAAACATGAAAAATAGAGGCACTTCAACAATGCACGGTTTCCTGTATTGTGGTATCTCTGCTTTACCTAAAATGCCTACTCAAACACAATTCTCTTTTTTTCTTCTGTGTTTGTCCACTGGTTTGCTTTTCATTGTGGCTGTTTCTGCCTTCCTGGTTGGGCTATGTTACAGTACTGACCTGCAACAAAGACCTGACCTGAAACCTTCCATTTTCTTTTAATATAATGGGAATTCTGGGAGTTTCTGGGGGTGAGAAAGCAAAATAAAGCTTCCAGAGCTATTTTCCATCATAATTCTCTGCTTTGTTTTCTGTTTCAGATCAAACTTGTTAACATTCATGCCACTGACATCGCCGATGGACGACCATCAATTGTCCTTGGCTTGATATGGACCGTCATCCTCTACTTCCAGGTAAAACTTAACCCTAAATCCTGAAAGTTTGATAATAAGCTCTCACTCCACCGTGAGTTGATGCCCTCCACTGTAAAAAGTGGAACTCACTGGAGGGATTGTGTCACGTCCAAAAATACTTCCTTTGTTCATGTTGCTATGGTGACAGATCCTTTTCTCCATTTAGATTGAGGAGTTAACCAGCAACCTTCAGGCCTTGTCCAACAGCAACTCTTCTTTGGAGAGTTTAGCCAGCTCTGAAGCAGGAAGCCCTCCCATGAAGCGGAAGGGGGTGACAAAGTTTCAGGGCAATGCCAAGAAGGCCCTGCTCAAATGGGTGCAGTGCACAGCAGCCAAGTATGTCACGTGAAAACATTTGTTAACATGGTTGAAGATACATCCTCTATGCGGTATATAAAACATTAGATGGATAAGATTAAGGAGGTGATGTTTTTGCATTACAGAAATTGTCCCGTATTTGTTTTTCAGGTATCACGGAATTGAGGTTAAGGATTTCGGTCCGAGCTGGCGCAACGGTGTTGCGTTCCAGTCGGTGGTGCACGCCATCAGGCCAGACCTGGTGGACATGGAGGTGGTGCGGAGGAGGAGCAACAGGGAGAATTTGGAGGAAGCCTTTGCACTTGCAGAGAATGAGCTGGGTATTCCCCGCCTGCTGGATGCAGAAGGTGCCCTCGATCTTTCCTTTTGCCTACAATAAATATACTAGTGTCGTAGTATTAGGACAAGATGGCCTTAAATATAAGTGTTAAACAGTTGAGTATTTGGAAGTTTGTCCTTGTGATTGTCACATAAAAACAGCAAATATACTGTGTTTTCTTCAAGGGGGGGTGCAGTAGTCAGGCCAACGGTTCTGTCGACGGGGGGGATAGTTGGTGCGAGGGAAAACACTGTATAGTTTTATTGCGTTTAGAGCGTTAGCATTTGTGATTAATTGTGTGCTGAGAATGACTGCAACCCTCCTTAGGAAGGAGGAAGTGAAGCAATCAGTGGTACCTCTGCAGCCCTGTCGGCACAAGAGCCACGATACTTTAATGCACAAACATTGGCACTGAAATGTCTAAGCTTTTACAGCCAAAGCTGGAGAAGAAATAATATACATATACAGTACATCAAGCTCTCAAGCATGCAGAGTGTTGTCCTCTTGAGGACAAATATAATGCATCTGTTGTATCTGTCCTTTATATCTATAGGTAGGAAGTGTTTTTTTGCCATCTGCTATTTTTAAAATGTGTAAAATGTTTGTGTTGCTCTGTAGATGTGGATGTAGACAAGCCAGATGAGAAATCCATCATGACATATGTGGCTCAGTTTCTCAAGCACTACCCAAACCCACACCACTCTGAGACTGATGGACAGCAGGATGAGGTACTTTGTTTATAACATTTGTATATAATCGCATATAACCAGTCATACATTGGCGAATATGTGGGACAAATATTGTAATACTACTAAAATATGTTTATTTCAATTATTGAATTACAAATGTTATTGCCTGACATATTTCCCATAAATGTCCCAGTGCAGTGGTTCCCTAACTGGGGGTCCGACAGGGGAGTTGCGCCTTCTTCACCAACACAGCCACGACAGTAAAAAAACAAAAAGCAAAAGCGAGACTGACATGAGATCTTTACATGCGACTATGTTACAGGCTACAAGCGCACAAGCATAGTAAAGAGGAACAGAGAGAGGAAGAGGGAGAGATAGAGGGAGAAAGATAGAGACATGGTTTGAAAAACTTTCTTTTAATTGTGGAAATATACTTTTTTGCGCTGTTCTCTTCAATTTTTATATTTGAAGTAAATGTACTTGAAAATATGCAAAAGTGCAATGTATATACACAACACTTTATTTTTGATATTGCAATTAATTCAAACCCAAAGAAGGAACAGCCCATTTTTGGGGAGGGAAGGAGAAAGGGGGGGTCTCTATAACCCCTACAAGGGGCCCTGAGAGAAAAGGTTTGGGAACCACTGTTCTGGTGCATCACCATTCACAAAGAATGACTACAGGAAGAGATGAATGATGATTATGCTTGATTTAAACATGCTTTCACTGCTGTTGTGCTTTGTTGTCTCACTTGTCATTTTATCACATTAAACTCTCATCATAGCATGAACACAGTAGGAATATTATCATCCAAATTTTGCTTTTACGTCACCAAACTTTCCTTTCTCCATCTACTTATTTTTTGTGTGCACATTAAGCTGCTTCTTGGCTCAATTCCCACCTTTGCACTGTCAGTGCCAGTACTTCAGGTGAGCGTTTAGGTCATAGTGCTGCATGCTCTCTGTCTGGAGTGTAATCACGACTCACGCTCTTCCCATTTCCGATCCACTTTGCTTCTTTTTTCCTCCTTGCTATTCTAATATATTTTGTGGTGTGTTTGCATCTCTTTGTGTGCTTTGCTGCTTTCCTGGATAGTTTGGCCCCCAAGATATAGAACAAATGCTGGAGGTATGTTTCACTAAATTAACAGATAATCTGACGTTTTTAAGAAGAGGCCTGTGTCCAAACCCCTCCTCTTTCTTCCGTGACTAAAAGCATCTAATCTTTGCTAAGGAATAGAGGTTGGAGACAAAAATGTGCTTCTTGAATTTCAATTTAGTGCATGTTTCTCAATATTTTTGTTCACAATCAGTTTATTCTTGAGACTCTGAGCTGTCTTTTCCCTGATTGTGACAGAGAGAGGAGCGGAAGATGCTGAGAGAGCTGAAGGTATTTCTAGATCAGCTGGAGAGAGATGTGCTGCAGGCACAAGGAGCAGAGGGAAACCTCACTGACAAATATCAGGTGGGTCAGCCCTGGAAAGTGAATCCTTCCATAACATTCTGATGTGGCAAAGACATTCATCAACTCTAACTTTACCTTTTTCTTTTGCAGGCATTCAAGAGCTTCCGTGTACAGTATGAAATGAAGAAAAAGCAGACGGATCCGCTGCTGCAGCCAGTCCACAGAGACGGGAAGCTGTCCGTGGACCAAGCTCTGGTCAAGCAGGCGTGGGACCGCGTGTCTGCCAGGGTAATTGAACCGCAAACTTCTACATAGCATGAAGAATTTACGACAAGCCACACAGAAAGGACTTCTTCTGACAGTGAATCGTACCCAAATTAAAGAGAACCTGAGGATGGATGATACATTTTCCGTTTTCCGTTATTTCTCTTTATTATTTTCTGTGCTCAAAAATTGTATTGCCACAGTGAAGGTGTCATAGTGAGAGAAACGATACTCAGGGTACCTCTCATCACCGAACTGACTGAGTTGAGTGGGATGGGAGCGCTCAAACAAGAGGGTAGGAGACAGGAACATTCATTGCTCATCGGGCAGTTTGCTCCACTGGACATGCACAAGTCATCTAGACTGGCATAAAACTCCTTTGAGGTCTGATTGCTTATGGACATGTGGAAATGTTTTGATCAGCGTAGCCTCCACTGTGGTGGGATGTTGTTTTGGTAGAGTGTTTTTTTAATGGATGGCAATTGCAGCTGCTGGACTGGCACATCCATCTGGACAAATCCCTGCCTGGTCCTCTGGGAGTGATTGGAGCCTGGCTGCACAGGGCAGAGATGGCTCTGAGAGAGGACATTCCCATCCAACATGCTCATGAGGAAACAGCCAATGTTCTGCACAGAAAACTAGAGCAGCATAAGGTAACACAAGGAACCTTTGAGTTTAAATATGTATGCTGTACCTGATGTACCATGCCATTGACCTGGTTGATGTCTAAATCGTTTTACGCACAGACGGTTCAAATGAAAGTCAACGTAAACAAGATGTTATGTAATTCGATTTGTGCAGGAGGTTTTAAAGAACTTGGAGTCGCACAAACAAACCTTCCAGCAGATCCACAGGGACAGATCAGTGAATGGGGTTCCCGTCCCTCCTGAGCAGCTGCAAGATATGGCTGAAAGGTAAGACCTTTAGCAGAATGATCATATATACATGCTATCTTTTTAATTCATTAGATGCACAGTCTGTTTTAATTAGTCATCAGTTTGGTGTTTCTATTCGTTTATAATCAGGTAAAACATTTTCCTGCCTTTTGTAAAATCAAAGCAAAAATAAAAAATTTGGTGAACAATTACTCTTTGATTTGCAGGTTCAATTTTGTGTCCACGTCATCCCATGCCCACTTGATTAAACTAGAATTCTGGGAAATGAAGTATCGACTGATGGCATTTCTTATGTTGGCTGAGTCAAAGCTCAAGTCCTGGATAATTAAATATGGAAGGCGGGACTCTGTGGAACTCCTGCTGCAAACCTACCTTGTAAGTGGAAATTATTGGTGCTGTACATGCGGTATTTTAAAACTTGCTGTGTCCACCAGACTTTTTAATCTCAAATGAATGTTTGCCTTTCTGTTCCAGACTTTTGTTGAAGGCCACCAGTTCTTTGAGCAGTATGAGGTCATCTTCACAGGCCTCAAGCAAGCTGCGGAGGTTTATGTAAAGTCAGACAGTTCAAGTAAGATTCTTCTCTGTTTCACTGCCAATTATAATTTTATGCAAATATATATATATGTATATGTATTATCTGTATATACTGAATTCATACATCTTTTTGGCTCATGGTAAACAGTCTTATTATTGATTTCATGTTACAGGGTCTAAGACCTGTAACAAAGGTAAGTCCAAATACAGCCCGACGGCCTTTAAATCCTTAGCTTTGCTTGTCTTCTGAGCCGTTTGTTTCTGTAAATGTGGGCCTTCACTTTTAATTTCTAACATCTGCAGAACTGAAAATTTATGATATGGCATTATGCATGAAAAAGTAACCATGATTGCATCAATTGAATGCTATGGCAGCATGATCTTTCTAACCTAACAGACTGTAGCATCAGCCTAGTGACCACATACCAGTAGTGGACATAATCTGTTAATGTTGTACATGTTAGTACCATATTGGTTTCAACAAAACCAAACTTGTTCCATTATTAACTTTCAGTTGATGAAGCAGAAGGGGTAAGTAAATTCCTCGGTGAGGCCACTTGTCAGTGGAGGAACCTGGCTTTGGAGGTGCGCAGTGTTCGCAGCATGCTGGAGGAGGTGATCACTAACTGGGAGAAGTACAGCAGCACAGTGGCATCTTTGCAGGCCTGGCTGGAGGACGGGGAGCAGATGCTCAATCAGTCAGAAAATTCCAAACGCGTAAGTACAATGACAGATACTAGAAATGGTAGATGTTGTCATTTGTAATACACAGCTCGTATTTGTGCTGCTAAACTGTATGGATTTTGGTAACAAAGGATTGTAGTCTCTGCTGCAAAGATCTTTGTTTCCCTTTCCACTTTTAGGATTTCTTCAGAAATCTCTCTCACTGGATGCAGCAGCACATGGACATGAACGATGCTGGGAACTTTCTCATCGAGACATGCGATGACACAGTCTCACGAGATCTGAAGCAGCAGCTTCTTCTGCTTAACGGGAGGTGGAGGGAGCTGTTTGTCAAAGTCAAACATGTAAATGTCATTTTAAAAAAACGTCAACCATCAACTTAAGTTTTCAATTAATAAAAAATGGAATGAATGATCCGCTGACTGTCTTCCTCTGTTTTATTGGCAGTATGCAAGAGCAGACGAAGTAGATAAATTGAGACAAGACTACCAAGATGGGATTAACACTTTGAAAATGTTCATGGATGCAACCGATGAGAAGATGAATGCTCCTGTCCAAGTATCGTTCCTGAACGTCAGGGCCTTTGTTCAGGATGTTGAGGTAAGCTGCTGATTTGCTTATCCTCTAGACTTTTTTCAATCTCTCTACTGTGCCAATTATACTTTATATCCCAATTTACTGTAGGAGGTCAAGCACAAAGTTCCAGCAATGGAAGCCGCCTGTAAGGCAGCGAGCCGCACTGCTCAGCTGTTGGCCAAAGACACTCCACAAGAGGAAGTTTCACAGATGATGGCTGTGATGGCCTCAATCAAAGAGCAGCTGAGCAAGGTATGTGCATCTATTTATACAGTGTGTCATTCACTCGTTTGGATTGATTTTGTGTGTAAATGTGTTTTCATTATAGTAAAACAAAATATATAATCTTAGCTATAAGGTGAACAAAAGCCTAATACATAAATATTGTAAATAATTGTTTACCTTGCCTTTTCTTTTTCTTTGATAAAAAGGCACGGCTGCCAATTTGCAAATTCCATGCAAATGATACATTTAGGAATATGGAAGGAATATAAAAGAAAGTTGATTGCTGACATGGTGTTAAAGTAGAAAAAGTTTGATATTTCAAAAAAGAGAAAAAAACGACCAGTCACACGTGATTCACTTTTATCAACATGCTCTCCTCCAATCAGGTAAGGGAGAGGTGTTTGCCTCTGCTGAGGGACTCCCAGTCTCTATTACCTCCACTGGAAGAAATGGAGAAGAACATCACAGGCTTCTACCAGGCTCTGGAGAAGGCCAGTCATATCACCAGCACCGGCGACCCTGAGGGACCAGTAGACTTCAAACAAAACTGCCAGGTAACTAATGCAAGAGTCTCAAAATGTGGCCATCCCAATTTTAGGTACATAGATGAAAACATTTCATAACATACATACCAAGCATACTTGGGTGGTCCCAATGTTTTAAAGTGAAAAGCACGGCTTCAAGGTAGGAATAAAAGACTGACACTCTGCCATTGAATGTTGCAGGAGCTGGTGACCTTCACACATAGCTGTAAGAAGTGTTTAACAGCCATTGAGAGAAATCACCAGACCATCCAGAAAATAATGAACAGCAGTAACACCCTCCAGTACATGGACATGAGTCTTCTGCAGAAAAGAGTAGCAGACCTGCAGTCCTCCTCACAGGTACACTGACTGCAAAGACCTGTCTTCATTTCTGTTTACCTTTTAGGACTGTTTTGGTATTAAAAAAACGTATTTGTGTTAAGGGCATGATTAAGGAATCTTCAGAGTGGAGGAAGCATGTAGAGGCCAACAGCTGCCTCATGAAGAGGTTTGATGAGTCACGGATAGAGCTGGAGAAGGTGCTTAAAATGGCACAAAACTGCCTGACAGAAAGAGGCAACCCAGAGGAGCTGCTCAAGAAACACACAGTAAGACGGCGCCCTGTGCAGGATTCACAATGTATACCGTGTAGTTTGTGTCCTGGCTCAGAATGGAACAACTCAACAGGGAAAAAGTTGAAGATAATAATTTAATTAAATAAGACATGGCCCACCTGTCCAAAGTTTTATTTACAAAGTCTTTCTTTTGTTGCAGGAGTTCTTTGATCAACTGGATCAGCGGGTCCTGAATACTTTCCTCAAGGCCTGTGATGAGCTGACTGATATTTTGCCAGAGCAGGAGCAGCAGTCGCTACAGGAAACCGTCAGGAAGCTGCACAAACACTGGAAGGTTAGGTCCTTGACTTGAATAGTGTAAAGTGCAAAGATACAGCTCCAACAAATTATGACATATTTCTATCATTTTATGTCAACTATGTCAACTAGATAATTCGCCAAAAGGTGTGTTGAAACAAACTTCCCAAACCGGACTGAATCTGGCCTCGTATTTGTTGTATTTCTCATTTCACAGGATATTCAGTCGGACGCCCCCTTTCACCTCCTCCATCTTAAAGTGGAGGTAGAGAGGAGCAAGATGATGGTGCTGTTGCAGGAGTGCCAGGCGGAGGTGACCAGGGAAAACCGCCACCTGGCCAGCATGGGGAGCGAGAGACTCGTCAAGGAGCACAGGGTGGGCACGGAGTGACTGGCTGGGTTTATGTATGAGGGTGAGGGTGGCGCGTGGAGTAGAGAGGTGGACCGCGAATCCTACCTGCTCCGTGTTGAAGTGTCTCAAAAACCTGTCCTTAATCACCAGTGTTCTGTCATTTTACCTTCACTTACATTACTGAGTAAACAGCACAAGCTCTCTTGCTTTTTGATTGAAAGAGTGAAATCCCTTCATTCATGACATGGCTTACAGCACGAATTATAGCCAAATAATTGTGTTTTTGTTTTACTTTAGGCCTTTTTTAGGGAAAAGGGCCCCTTGTCCATCTGTGAGAAAAGGCTGCAGCTGATGGAGGAACTTTGTCAAAAGCTCCCTGAGGCAGACCCCGTCCACCAGACGATGCAAACATCAAGAAAGGACTTCTCCGAGGTCCGGGAGGAAATCGAAAACACCCACCAGAAGTTAATGCAGCACCCAGATAAATGGAATGAGTACAACTCAAGGTGCAGTGACTATTTATCACTACGTAATAAATACATAAACATTTCATATCCAAAGCAATAATGTTTCAATCATTTTATTTATTTGAGATGAGGAGAGAGAGTTTTGATAGATTTGGTTGCAATCAGCTTGATAAAATAGAAAACAATAAATAATAATAACTCTTGGGCGGTAGTGTAAGCTCAGAGTCATGTATACCCACAAAATGATAGAACAATACATTTTAGCCACATTACGCACAGTCCTGCTTCCCCTTTCTGATCAGGTGTTAAAACCTTTGGGCTGTAAGTTGAAGATAAGTTGGTTTGTGTTTTAAAGCCGGGCAAAGGTCCAAATCTGATGAATGTACTCTTTTTATCACAAGCAATTATTTTGTATTTCTTCTCGAGTTTGACGTGAAATCTTCCCGTCATGGTGTGAAACAGGTACGCTGAGCTTTCCTGCTGGCTTATATCTAAGGAAAGTCAACTGAGGCTGCTGAGAACCCGAGCCAACGACCCCAGAAAATATGGCCAGGTGAAGGCTACCATCACGGTGAGTTATTACTACTTATTCGGGGTCACTTGTGATGTGCTATTAGCTTGCCATTGTCTTTGCTAAGAGGAAGACAGAGTCACATGACGCAGATGACCACAAGGGCTGTATAACAATATTTTCTTGTGTGCAGGAGCTGAGAAACGATGCAGAGCTACAGGAGGGGAATCTGGGCTGGTTGAAGGCTCGCATAGCCGTACTTGTTGAGATCTGTGCTGACAGCGATGCCCAGATGCAAGGAAGTACCCTGAGCAAGCTCTCCACTGATTTTAAGGGGCTTCTTGCTTCTCTCGTCGAGGTAGGGTCCAGCTTTCTTGTATTTTAGTACGGCCCCAGTCATCATATCCCCTTCAGGGAAAGTCTAACCTTACACACTGATACACACACAGATACAAAAATATTGCATTAATATATCATTGTATGTTACAGATCAGTGTACCTATAATTTATTGTTAAGATCTATGTTTGATTGCACTTAACTGGACATCCGCTGAATACAAATAAAAACATCTGACATTTTTGGGGGTTTTGCTACTATTTTACATGATTTGAATTGAAATACAAAAGTTTTGTAATAGGATTTAAACATATCTGTGACCAAAATATTACAAAAATAATCCCTATATTTTAATTCTGTACAGATGCTTCAGCTGTATTTTTCTCTGTATTTTATCTCTTCCAGGCTGAGAAGATGGTGCTGGCTGTGGGCGACTGTGTGCAGTTCAGGGAGGAGGTACAAACTATATTGGATGACCTCCTTCAGGGGCAGAAAGAGGCTCAGGCCGAGGTCACCAAAATACTAGACTGTGCAACTGTAAGAGAAGCCCAGCAACTACTTCTTGTTCACCAGGTACTGTGGGACATTCGAAAAATATGAATTCATTTTCAGAAAAAGTCTTCAACTTTGACAAATTTGAGTTAACTTTGAATCACTTTCGATAGATTAACACTCTGATTTGTCTTCCTCGCCATAGCAACTGTTAAAACGTTTGAAGATGAAGAGAAAGGATGTCCAGCAGCTCATCACCAGAGGCCAGCAGCTCCAGGCTGAGGAGGGATTGGGAGAGACTTTGCAGTCGGACCTGCAGACTTTAGAGAACACGCTCGGCAAAATGGAGCAGACCATGGATTCACAGGAGCAAAGCCTCGAGGTAAGCAGCGTCACGAAGGCAGTGACTCCGGGGCTTAGTTAAACTCTAAAGACTCATGCTCACGTTTCCTTTTGCAGCAATTACTTGTTGAACAGATCAGAATTGTCAGCCTCCTGTCACTTCAATTTCACTTTATCAATTTATTTATTTGTTCTGCTTATCAAACATGCTTTTATGTGTATGTTTGACATATTTTTGACGAGGCCTCCTTTCATTTATGCTGCATCCCTGTATAGGTGTTGCAATTCTGCATTTATATATGCTTTTATATGATAATATATTATTTTGTAGAATGTAAACTTGCCCTCGAACTCTACCACTTATCAAAGTTCATTCATGTGAGTTGGCCCTTATAAATAAATGAACTAGGTCAGACTTTCTGACCACGTTGTGGACAGAAAGGAGCTTGGGTATATGGAGGAGGAGAGGGATCCTTGTTGATGCCGTTGGCTTTTGCGATGCAGCATTTGTGGAAACTTGTCCTGAGTGGAGAGGGAGGTTTGATTGATGTTTTTGCTGAAAGGTCTCGCCCTCCGAGGCTTTACAGTCATACAGAAGACAGTGATGCTGCAAGTCTGTCCACTTGACGGTAATTTATAGAATGTAGACAGGAAGGAGGCGAGAGTCTTGAAATGGAAACTTTATTTGTATTGTGTGCGTTCAAGAGAAGGCACTTTGTATCCGGAAGGGAAATTCTCGGTACAGTGAACAGCAACATATTGGATTTTTCGTCCCCCGCTGCAGCACCCTGGGGCAAAGTGCTTGCATAACATAAGCTGCGCTTCCTCTGTCAATGTGCCTCATCCGCCTTGCTGATGAAGCCAAACATAGTGATGTCATCTGCATATTTAATGATGCCACGTGACAAACAATTCTGTGTAACTGTGTAACAAATATTTCAATATTGTTAATTGTCTTCTACACCTTTTGGATCTGCAATACTGTGTTTTGTAGATGAAGCACTAAATACATTCGATTTGCTATCATTGATTTGGGGGCATTGTCCTCCACAGGTCACACTAGCAGCGTGGCAGGAGTTTGACAGCCAGCAGGCGGCAGTTCACGAGTTTGTAAATAAGGCGCGATCAACAATGGACAGAGACCTGAACTTCAGCAGTCCAGAGAGCCTGGCTGTTGAACTCGACCAGGCCGGGGTACGTCTAGTTTGGGTTAATTATCTGGCTTACTCTCAACTATTGGAAGTATATCAGCCAAATGGAGAATATGAACCAAACATGTTTCTTTTTTTAACAGGTGTTGTTGAAGCAGTGTGAAGCCGAGGCCTCACATATGAACACTTTGCTGAAGAGAGCAAAAGAAATCCAGCTTGGTCCAAAAAACAAGACTCTGCTTTTACAACAAGCTTCTTCCCTCAGTGGCCAAGTGGACAAAGTAGAGGCTAGTCTCAAAAAAGAGTAAGACAATTGATTTCATTTTTTACAAAGAACAATACAACACAATCAAAATTAACTGACACAATCTCAAGGACCCAAATTGGGTAGTAAACCCAATTATAACTCTGTTTATTACTGTCTTATTCTCAAGATTTGTTTGTAAATAACGTAAACAATTCATAACGAATACTCTTGTGTTCCAGTGTCGAGACTCTGGAAGAAATGAAAGCTCAATGGGATCAATTTGGAACTGGGTTGGAAAACCTTTCTTTGTGGATATCTGACAAGGAAAAGCAGCTGGATGTACTGAAATCTTCTCCTTTGCCTCTTGAGCATCAGATCAACACCGTAAAGGTATACGGTTTTGTATTATAAACTCTCCTACCCGTTTTGTAGTGATTTAGATTGCAACTGTTTGGGGAAGTTTAACGGGCTGCTGTAGTTAAAGCCATTATAGGCACTAACCTCCGCAGTGTAAATATGACGGAGCCAGTGCCTTTAACAATTTCATTACACTTTACCTGGAATCTTATATTTATTGATTGCTTTGCACCCTTCCCTGCATGCCCAGGCTGTTGGTGCAGAGCTTCAGGAGCGAGCTTCGGTTCCTTGTCAGCTTGAGGCAGATTCCCAGGCACTAGCCCAGTTTGTATCTTCAGGGGAGGCAGCTCGCATCAAGGCCCGTCTGACCCAAATCGGCAGGTACTGGGAAGAGCTGAAGGAGAGCATACAACAGCTAGATGGACAGCTGGAGGAAAGCTCCTCTCACCAACAGAAGTTCCAAATTAGCCACGAGGAAGTAAGTAGGCGTATGAACAGATATATATTTTTTATTATCATGACAGTACACACAATAGCATTTAAGGGAGATATGGGCACATTGTTTTCTTGTTTCTCTCCCAGGTTCAAGCGTCTCTCACTGAGCTACACGCAAAACTGGAGCATCCCATCAAATCATGCACCTCCTCATCAGAGACCTACAAAGCTCTTCAAGACCACATGGTGTTAAATTGCTTTTACTTTTATGAAATGCTCTAATCAATGCTAATCAAACAAATAATCTACATATCAAATCTATTGCAAAGCTTAAGAAAGCGCCAGCTGTCATCCAGCTCACAGATGATGCTTTGTAAGTCACCTTTTTGTGTTTTTGTTCTGCAGGATGTCTGTCAGAATCAGGAAAAGCTGAAGGGAGCCTTGCTGACCTTGTCAGCTGGTGCCAGGAGACTTAGTGACAAAGAGCAAGCGGAGAGGATTATGACAGCGCTGAACCACACCTATGACCAAAGTGTCCAGGAAGCAAAAGACAAACAGAGCACTCTGGAAAACTTGCTTTCTCTTTGGCAAAAGTAAGCTCTCTCTAACAGATGAATTGAACATATGCAGGATTTTGGTATAATTTCAATTAAACAACGCCAATATAAGAATTGGATTACTGACTCCACTTGTAATAAAGCACAGCCAGTAGTGTAAAATGAATCAACTGTGTTTCTATTGATGTGTTTCAGGTATGAGAAACAGCGATCTAACTTTGTTTCCTGCTTGGGGAAAAGTGAATCCGCAAGCAAACCAGAGAGTCCGTATCTTTCAGCTGATAAAGCAAAGCTCCGCACAGAGCTACAAGATTTGCAGGTACAAACATACTCTCATAGTTCTCCAAAATCTCAAACTGAGTCTTAACCCTAAAAATATTTGCAAAAGATAAATAAATGGTTAAAAATAGGATGAATAGGAACGGAACTTTTCCCCCACAACATGAAATATAAATACCTCACACATATATCTATACAACACTCAATGTAAACAATTTTCTTAAGCAAAATGTGTTTCTCTTGCAGGCCTTCCACTCTGAGGTTCAGGTCCTTGAGCCTGCTCATGCTGAATTGTTCTCTTTGGGGACTTCTTTGTGTCCGACTGCACCAGAAGAGAGAGTGAAGCAGCTGAAAGACGAGCTGGAGACCCTTCAGAAGAGACTTCATGTTCAAAATGAAGTCCTCCCCCAAAGGTAAGAAAATATCACACAAAATCCCACTGAGATGACACATGCTGTTGCAGTGAACTGAAGCGTGTTCAGCAGTCTGTCCAGCTTTTATTACTACAGTTTATCAAACAAAACAAACATAAATGTTTGGGGATTTTCAAAGAGGTGAAGTTTGAGATAACTACTATCTATGTGTCATGCATAATAACTGAAAGCATTACTAAATGAACAACCAGAATTCTAAATATTCATGTCAGGTGTTCCAGTTGCAAAATGTAATATGACTCAGTAATGTAAAATATACTGCGTATAGAATACCAGTAGATTTTAGTATGTATGTAAATATCCTGATGCACTTAAATAATACACAAAAAATGATCACATCGGTGTGGCGGAAGCAGAACTCAATCGCAGATTTCCAAACAAAAGTACTTCTTTCTAATATTTTTTACCTCTGGATGGACAAGTAAAGGGAATGTCAACCTGAAAACTGAAAGAACAAAGCTCTTAGAGATGGTTGCTTGGCAGTGTATGTTTTGCAATTAGTACAACTACTGTTTAAATGATAAAACTTCATGTTGAAATAATTCAGTTTCAAATACAGTAAATGTCGTACTGTGAACAAAATATTTGTGGTGTCTGCTTAATGAGTTTGACAATTTTATGTCTTTTGTTTTGGACCTTCAATATAGAATATATACAAATGTTCTTTATGCACAATACACAACATATTGCTGATATACAGTGAAATATAGTAAGAGAATATCCATGTTAAATATTTGACTGAGAAGCACACGGTACAAATACCAGTTAAAGGACATAATGTCTCGGCATTTTGTTCCCCAGAATCAAAGAGGTTCAGAGCCACCTCTCGCTGTTGGAGGAGTTTGACCAGGCCCTGCTCAAATTCTCCCAATGGGGTGAAGCCATGCTGTCAAATCTGCACTCAACTTCTCAAATCAACATCGCCCACCTGCAGTCCGCCACCAAACAAGTAAAGGTCAGAACCACACAGGCAGTGTTTGTCGCGTTCCTACTCTGAGCCATCCGTTGTCAGTTAGACAACGAATATCATCTTGCAAAAGCTGATCATCTGTAAATCTCTTTTTACAGGAAACCCAGGTGTCCTTACAAAAGCAGTCCAGTGTGAGACAGAGCTTGGAGCAGCAGACCGAGAAGCTCTGTCAGTTCTGTGAGCCTAGTGATGCACAGCTCCTCCGCAGCAGAGCAGACAGCTGTCTGCAGCCCTACCTGGAGGCACAGCACATAGCTGAGCTCCAGTTAGAGTGCCTTGAAAGGCTCGAGGCGTTTCTGCAGACTCACGGTGTGGCTGCGGGGGTTTTGCAAGGTCTGAAGCAGACTGTGGAGGGTGCTGGGAGCTGGGACCGTGGAAAAGTAGAGGAGCTGCAGCAGGAGCTCTCCACTATTGTCCCAGACATTAGCCGGCTGGAGACTCTAGCTGTCAATCTGGACAGCAGCCTCTGCAAAAGCCATCTCAACATTGTTGCTGAGGAGGGTTCTCGTAAGTCGTGCCGCATGCTGGCTGATTCACTCAGCGCCGAGCTGGATGCGGTAAGGAACCTGCTGGGTACTAAGCAGAGTGAGGCAGAGGCCCTGGGGTCTCTATGGACCTCATTTAGACAGCGGAAGGAACAGCTTCTCAAAGCTGTGGAGGACATTGAAGAAAAAGCCGACCACCAGAGCTTCAAAGAGCCCAGTCTGCATACACTACAGCAGAGGTAAAGCATTTGAGATGTTATCAAATCAGTACTTCTGTTTTGTCGATGCTCTTATGAAACATTTGAGTTTGACTATTAACATAGTATGCCAGAGCCGTGGGTGGTGTAAAACCATGTTCTACAGCAACATGCTATTCTTCTGTTTCAGGCTGCGGTTCTTTAATCAGCTGGAGGATGAGCTACAGTCACACCAGCATGAGGAGCAGTGGCTGAGGGACAAGGGCAACCAGCTGGCCCAGAGAGATGCAGAGTTGGCTGGGGAGGTGCTGAGGGAAATCAGTCTGCTAGAGACCACATGGGACGACACCAAGAAGCTCATCACGGAGAGGTGCTTAAATAGTGCTAAAGGGTCTTCCATGAGTCAGGCAACATTGCATTATCAAAAACAAACACAAAAAACTGTGAGAAAAAAAAAGAATGATTAACTCTGTTATATAGTTTTATTGTATCTGTGTTGTGTTTTACGCTTGAAGTTGATGTACATAATCCTTAATGGACAAAACACCTATCTTTCCCACTTTGACAGACAGGAGCAGTGTAATGTCCTAGTTGGCCTTATGAAAGAATACCAAACACTGAAATCCTCCATCGGCAGTGTTATTGAGAGCACGGAACCTTTGGTTGAGATAAGCTCTGTTTTGAAGGACCACGAGGAAACCAGGAGGTCACTAACCAAGGTCAGATCGAATTATAAATCAATCTTTTTGTCAATTTTTTAAAGTCAATTTGTTCTTACATCCAGATAAAAAGCTACAATGGTTTCATATTTATCATTGGTCCTGACACTTAAAAAATGTGCCGTACCTTCCCCCTTTGTAGCACGAGGCAGTAAAGGTGGAGATGGCTAGCAAGCAACATGAACTGGACCAGTTTTCCAGTAAAGGAAAACAACTGGTGATTGAACTGAAGAAAGTTCCTGAGTGCCACGCTGAGATGATGAAAAAGGACATGGAGACCCTTGTTGACCAGTGGCTGGATGTGAGTCTGACCTCAGTAATTTGATTTGATGCATCATTTATGTGCTTTTAACAGTTGGTGTATAATAGTGGAGGGCTATGGCACAAAGGCGTAAGCTAGGCATTGGCTACTTGGTCGAAGGATCAATCCATTGCTCATTTTGTTTTCATATGGGATTCTTTGGCAGGCCTCATATGTACAACCAAACACAATTCTCTAGAGCTTTGTGACTTGTGTTATGTTTCACCAGCATTGCAACCTAATGTAAAACATGGAAGCTGTTGAAGGACATAATTTAAGTCCACTCTATTAAGTTTGCTTCCGTGACTTAAACATGTGTGATTGCATCCACTTGTCAGGTGTCTGAGAAGATAGATGATAACATTGATCACCTGAACCAGAGTCTGACACTGTGGGAGGATGTACGTAAAATCAGCGAGGACACTGAGATCTGGGCAAGCAGCTGTGTGATTGAACTAAACGAGAGCCTGAACAACCTCAATGACAGTCAGAAGGTGTCGGCCAGGCTCTCCATTTTACAGGTATGATCTCTTCATAAAACCTGGTTATAATAAGTTTAATCTACTGGGTACCTTTTTTAGAAAACACAAAGCGAATGTTAATGCACCAAAGACATACATGCTTTTCACATATCCACAGGCGGAAATGCTCGAGAAGGAGAAGAGACTTGAAACCTTGCAGAGCAAAGTATCAGAGCTAAAGAAGTTCAATCAAAGTCAAGAGACACCCGCTAAATTACAGGTACTAAAGATTATTTAATAATATTTGTTTTGTTTTCTAGTTATACAGAATCTCCCAATTGGAAAATTATAAGAAGCAGGTCCTCCTCTTCATTATAAATATTCCTAAACCACAAGCTTTTATTATGCATTCATCAGGTGTTGGAGAATGACCTTCGTAAAAAGATTAGCACTGTTCAGAAGCTGCACGAGCAGGCCGGGGGAAACCTCATGGACTTCACTTCTCAGAAGACACAGCTGGAGGATTACATCTCCCAGATGTCTGCATGGCTCAAAAGTATGGAGGATTCTCTTGTTTCTTCACCAACTGGATCAGATCCTGAGGACATCTGCAGAGTGAAGGTGCAGCCTCAATAACTATGATATTGTCGGTGTTTCATATAGGCAGCCTTTTTATTTTACGGATCCCATCATGAGACTTATGGAGGAAAAACAAATTAACATTTCTAAATGTGTTTTAAAGGACCTTCAGAAAGAGCTGCAAAATCAGCAGGGGAGCATTGACTCCACGAGGGAGAGCCTCAACACACTCTGTCGAAAATATCCCTCTGAGGAGCTGGCTGGTCTGGGTTCAGCTCTCACTGACCTCATCAAGACTTATGAGTCTGTGAACCAGCTTTCTGCCAGGACGCTGGCATCTCTGCAGAACTGCCTTCAGCAGCAATTCAATGGTGAGAAATCCAAAAAGCTCAATGAAATCTGTAGCTTTACTAAGTAGCCACTTGGTGCGCTTGCTTACGTGCCACACAATCGTAATACAGAGGTTCCAAACATGTCAAAACAGCACAGAACATGACCTGTTTTTATGACTATGTCAGTAGCCTCCAATATTATTTAACATATTAAATTATTGTTTTTTAATGGAAAGCTATCTCTCATATACAGTGGTGGTCAAGGAGTGTTTTAGGAAGAAATAGCTTGATTGTATTCAGCTTCTGTGTGAATCACACCAGATATTTATCTTCCTTCCTCTCTGCCCCTTCAGATCTAGTTCAGGAGTTCCATCGCTGGCTTTCAGAACAGAGGGAGATTGTAAAAGAGTGCTCTGACAGGTCTGGAGACACTCAAATTGTCGAACGTAAACTACAGAAACTGAAGGTAAAAGTGACAGCCCAAAGGAATTGCTATTCATTTAATTAAAATATTTAATAGGAAATGTGAACAATGAATTGAATAGCCCAAAAAAAATGAGTTACAAAAACAAAGCTAAAGAGATGTGGGTTATCTGTCAGGGCGCCATGGACCGTGTGGAGGAGGGTGAGGTACGACTCACTCAGGTCTGTGAGGAAGGAGAGAAACTCCTACTCCATCTTCCCAAAGCCAGCGCTGGGCAAGTCCAGCAGCACCTCTCCTCCATTCAGCAGGACTGGGACAGCTTTGTGGAGCAGTGCAGACAAAACCAACAGATTTTGGAAGACAGTGCATCGCTCATGAAGGGGTAAAAGACTACTAAAGAAGTGCTATCAAGCACTATGTTATCCCAAACGGTTATTCAGTATTGCCTTGTAAATTCTTAGGTTTGAAGGTCGCCTTAAGAAGCTCCGATGGTGGTTGGAGCACATGGAAAAGAGGATGTCCACAGACATGCCCGAAGCCAAGCAATGTGGTCCTGAAAAAGCTGCGCTTGAGCAAGTGGAGGAATATCAGCAGGAAGTGCTCAAAGAAAGGTGCTGAATCTGCTCAAAGTCTGCACTTACTATGAAAAGAAAATACACACATCAACACACATCATTTTCCCACCAGTGTCACCAAACATCTAGTACTATCAAACATCTAATTACTCTTTCTAGCTTATTTAAACATTTACTTCCTTCCATGCAGGGATTCGTTCGAACGTCTAGGTCAGGAGGGCCAGGCGCTGAATGAAGGCGGGCGAGGCGATGGCAGTGAGACCAGGGTGTCAGCACAGCTGCAGTCACAGCACCAGGCCTTACTGAGGCGCGTGAGAGAGAGGCTGCGCAGCTGCCAGCTAACTTTACAGGAGCAGCAAGCGTTTGAAGATACGTTGCAGACTACCTGGACGTGGCTTCACAGCGTCCAGGAGCGCTTGGCTTCACTCAACAGCACAGTTGGCAATAAAGAGACTCTCGAGAAAAGACTAAGTCTTGTTCAGGTCAGTAAATATCTACCTGAGTTATTGTGCTTTGGAATACAGTGTTTTCTGGGCACATTTTAAAACGTGCTATTTTTTATACATGCAGGATATCCTGCTAATGAAGGGCGAAGGTGAGGTGAAGCTCAACATGACTGTAGGAAAAGGAGAACAGGTCCTGAAGCACAACGGAATGGAGGGACAGGAGGCCATTTGTGCACAGCTACAGAGCCTTAAGGATGCTTGGGCCAACATGTTGATGACCTCCATGAGTTGCCACAGGTAGGGAATCTGTCTTCTTCTGCGCCGGGTTGGCTGAGGACTGATGACACTGTTGTAATACTTGATATTCTCCATAGTCGTCTGGAGTGGACAGTAGCCCAGTGGAGCAGCTTTCAGGAGAGTAAGAGCCAGGTGCAGCAGTGGATGGAGTCAGTGGAGCAGGAGGTGGGGATGACTCTGCCTCAGCAGCCGGGCCTCAAAGAGAAGTCAGCTTTGCTTGAGCGCCTCAGGGCCATCCAGGCTGATGTGGAGGCTCATGCGGCGGCACTTTCACGCCTGACAGACAAGGCAGTGGAGATGCACGAAAAAACTGGAGACCAGGCATTTGGACCAGAGTCGAGGGCGGAGCTCACTGCACACTTTGCTGACATTTCAGCCGTTGTCAAGGTGATGTAAATACAGGCTTAGATACATACTGGTACTTCCAAATAGTTGCTAAATCCTAGATGATTTATTCAGGGTGACAAAAACAGGAATATCCAAAAACAAACTGCATCTGGTATAGAGACAAATTGTTATTAGAATTTTAGTATATTAAATTGATTTTTAGGGTCTTGACTGGCATCCAACTTTTGCCTGCAGAAATATAAAATATTACTTGGCACATTCATCATATGTTTTTTGTCTGGTAGTAATTTACACTTTCTTTTTGTTCCACAAAGGGTAAAGTCCAGTCCATGCAAAGTATTGTGTCCGAGCACGAGCAGTATGTTGATTCTGTGAGAGACTTCAACGACTGGCTGATTTCAGCAAAAGAGGAACTCCAGCGCTGGTCAGACCTGTCAGGAGACTCAATCTCCATTAAAAGAAAACTCTCCAAGGTGCAGGTGAGGACTTCAAGATGCAAAGAAACATGTTTCTTTGGCTCCTGGTCACCTCCAACTGAAAGAATCGTAACCTCTAAATACTCAAGTGTGTTATCCCAGACCCCCACAAGCAGGCTCCCTGGAGGCATCTTTACTGGGTGTTCAAACCAGGTCTGCTGGCTCCTCTCAGTGTATTAGCAGCTTGACTCAAAGGTCTTCCTGCGGCATTGAGCTCCTGACCTTTGAAGCAGAACCACTGAAAAATATCAACGGCGTGTTTTGTTCACAGGCCAGGGCTTGCGAGCATAATTTATGTATGATGATTTGATTTTCTGAGATTGAGACCTATAGTATGATTAGAAAGGAATGGTGTCAGTCCAAATGTTGCCTGGTACTATATTCCTTTGCAAAGGTGACTGTCAGTTATGAGGATTTCTAAAGTGGCTGTGTCCAAGCAAACACATGTAAACTTTGTCACTTTAGGGATACAATTCCTACTTAGAAGTTTCTTGCACTTACTTTTTTACATGATAAAGGTGACAGTTATAATTCCTTTTTCCCTCTCCCAGGAGTTGCTTGACTCTAAGCAGCGAGGCCGGGAGAGGCTGAACCGGGTTCAGCGGTGCGGCGCAGTGTCAAGAGACCACACTGGCTCGGGGGGCTATGAGGCGATGGAGCGAGAGGAAGCAGCCCTCCTTTCATCGTGGGACCAGTGGGAACGCGGAGCGCTGCAGACGCGGGCTAGTCTGGAGACTGCCCTCTCCCAGATAGCCAGCTCCGAGCAAGAGTTCAGCAGCCTGTCTGCACAGCTGGAGCAGGACTTACACGACTTCAGCCGTCAGCTTAAGGACTGGCGTCTGTGGTTGGCTCAAGCAGAGAGACAAAATGAAGGGGCGGATGCTGTTAAAGGCTGGCAGATAGCCAAGGTAGGTCTCGCCTCAGTTTTTGGTTCCTTAATGAGCTGCTAATAATTGGAATGTTGGTAAATATCCGCGGGTGTTCATCACAGGTTTTTTTTTTTTTCAGGAAACTCTAGAGGAACTTGTCAAAGCTGAGCCTGCGTCTGAGAGTCTGAAGACTCAACTCAATGATCTGTGCCGTTTCTCCAGAGACATGGGCACACAATCTGAGAGAGTGTCTGCTCTCATTAAGGAATACAACAGGTGAGAAAGGTGTCACAGTGTCCTGGCTTTTAGCTAAAAACTGTCGGGACATAAACATTTACACACAAATCTTATAGGTTTATATAATTACACAGGATCTGAACCAATTGTGTTGACCCACTGTAAATAGTGTCTTTATTTAATAATCAGTTCCTCCTAGAATAATATATAGGATATAGGATATTTTATACAGGATATTTTATAGGAAGAATATCTTCCTATAAAATATTTTAGGTTGTATTTTGTGAATGGCGTTGTATTGGACATGGCATGATATGTTTTAATTATTGGTCCACCTTATTTAGAATAAGTGGCATATACATAAGAAATGTTTTACATGCGATGTAGCTAAGTACACAAGATGATTAACAACGGCACGCGGCTTGTTTCTAGTCTGAGTCTCCAAGCGTCCAAGGAGTGCCAGAGCAAAGAAAAGCTGCTGGAACAAGGCTTCCGCTCAGTCTTCAGAGAGTTCCAGAAATGGTTGGTCAATGCCAAGATCAGTACGGCCAAGTGCTTCGACGTACCTCAAAATATTAATGAGGCCTCATCTGGCTTGCAGAAGATTCAGGTAACTTCCCTCAAAGTCAAATATTGCTGAAACATTCAAACACTTAAGCTGCCAGAACTACAGGTTTGATAAGCACTGATCAGAATCAACACTGTGGGTTTTTAAAATGCTAAGACTTGTCTGTAGTTTGTTATTAAAGAATTAAATAAGAATTTCATGTCCTATACATTCATGTTCATCACTATTAACAATGCGACTGAGCTCTGCAGCTTCACTGCTACACTACTGATTTGAAATGTCACTCTTCCAGATCCCCAGTGTTTTCCCCCATCGATAGATTTTAAAAAGGTAGTTAGCTCAAGAACAGTAGGTCAAACACAGCTTAGTCCAGAACACCATCTGAGCAGAGCCGCACCGCCAAACTAAGAGTTTTACTACCTGCTTGTGTAAGGATCTCACCTCTGTTTCTCTCTTCAGGAGTTTTTAACTGACCGAGATCAAGGCCAGTCAAAGCTCAATGCAGTGGTGGTGAATGGTGAGCTTGCCTGTAGCAACGCAGCCAAAGACAAAGTCGATGCTGTTCGGGCTAAAATGAACATGGCCAGAGAGGACTGGAAAAATATGATGACAAGTCTGCACAACAGAGAGACAAGTTTACAAGTAAGTCCATAAATGTCCATTCTGACCAAAAACAGCCAATACAGAAAAAGGTATAGTGATACATTTTAAGTCAAAGAAACATCTTAGTAGTCTTCACACGAATGTCTTTGGGTTTTTTAGAACGTCCTGTCTCAGATGAAAGATTTCGAGGCGAGTGCCGAGCCTCTGCAGCAGTGCCTGCATGCCACAGAGCTGGCTGTACACGAGAGCTGCACAAGACTTCACGATCTCTCAGCCAAAAAGCAAGAGCTTCACAAGCTGCAGGTACTCATTTCCACTGCCCATGGAACACCCCTCATTTCAAGACCATGAGTGTTCCACCGCAACAACCACTCAGTGCTTAGGTGCCTTCACGACTATTCCTGTCATTTGCAGAAACTTGCCATGGCACCTATGTTACAGTGTTTTGGCATTGCTGTTATTCTTTCAGGGAGCAGGGACCACAGCTCATACTAACTCCCAGTTGCTTGTTTGAATTGCCGCCATTTTTGCTTTGCTTCCCTCAGATGCTCTTTTCACAGTGTCATATAATTGAATATTTATTTAAAAGATATTTGCTTTTAGTATCTATTAATTGCTTAAAACAGTCAGGCAGCTCTTGCACGTCATGAGCCTCAACCACCATCGCATTGGCCATTGTCTCTTTCCCTTTTCTTCTTGCCACGTTGCCATCTTTAACCCTTCAGTCTGTGTCTGAATTTCTTGTATCTGTGTGTCAGCTTGCATGCGTCTTTGATAACCTGCTTGTGCTCTTCCAGTCTGTGCTTGAGGAGTTAGCCTCTCAAGAGATTCAGCTGAACAAGCTGAAAGAGAAGGCCCAGCTGCTGTGGGATGAACACGCGGCCGGCAAGGGTTTTGTGCACCGTGTCTCGCAGCTCTCTGCTCAGTACCTAGCTTTAACCAACCTGACCAAGGTACAGTAATGCCTTCCAATCTGCTGGTGCACGGGGGCTTTTCAGGGGGTAGAGATGGAGAGAGACAGAGGCACTAGACTGGACCGAGCTGTGACTTAGTATTATCTAACAGTGATAAACAGTGAAGGTACTAACCCAGGATGATGTAACACTAATTTCTCTCTTTTATTAAGTCTTGAACAGAGAATGTACAAGCACATTTCCTTCATATATTTTATTCTAAATCTGTATTCATCACTAAAGTCACTGCTTGTCAAAATATCAGGTTTTTGCGGGTTCAATTTCTACTGTTGTAATTTGCTTTTTTTGTGAATCTGCAGGAGAAGGCATCACGGATTGAGCGCATAGCCACTGAGCACCAGCTTTTCTCCCAAGGGTTGAAGGAGCTGCAGAACTGGGTGGCTGACACCAGTCACATGCTGCAGACCTACTGCGCCCCCACTGCTGACAAAAATGTTCTCGACAGCAGGATGATCAAGCTGGAGGTACAAAAAATCACCGGTAGTCTCCAGAATTAAAATAAACCCTGTGAATATCCTTCATAGAAGCGCAATGTGTCATTGTCGCACCAGGCCTTGCTGACTGCTCGACAGGAGAAGGAGATTCAGCTGAAGATGCTTATCACAAAAGGAGAGTCAGTTCAGAGAAACACCTCAGCTGAAGGAGTGCCTGTACTCCAAAAACAAATACAGGACCTAAAGGATTCCTGGGATAATCTGCTCTCCGCCTCAATACAATGCAAAAGGTTCATTCTCTGCCACAATTGACAACGCACATCAACAACACAATGTGTTCCAATCAGCCTTTGGTAGCTTCTCACCAACATCAAGTCTTTTCTGAACTTTTAAACAGAAAGGGAATAATGCATCTTAATCCTGCTGCTACTTTTTATGTCCATATATTTGCCTGCTGCGATTTCCTGCAATAACTGCCTTGTCGTCTGACGTTTTTATACTATTTTTTAAATTGACAGTCAGCTGGAGGGTTCCCTGTCTCAGTGGACCAGTTACCACGAGGATGTTCTCCAGTTTGTGGCATGGGTGGAGCGTGTGGAGGAGAGTCTCGACCCCACTGACAAACAATACCCAGAGATGAGAGACAAAACTGCTAATCTGAGCAAAGCCAAGGTATTGCTATTTCCTTAGTCATACTTACTCGTATTAGATAAAATGAGCGGTGCAAGGTAAAGTCACAAGAGGCATTTAACTACAACAGAAATAAACTTCAAAAGTGCATTTGATTGATAGATGAAGCTATGTTGTTTCAGTTGCTGTTGGAGGAAGTGCTCAGCCACAACACCCTGCTTGACACCCTCACTGCAAAGAGTGACACTATTGAGAACTATGTCACTCAACTGGAGCTCCAAGACCTGCAAGAGCGCTATAGCACTATGAAAGACAATGCCATGGTAATGAAAGCAGAGTGAACAGTGAATCTTACTTCAAATATTTATTTAGGCTTTAGTATTTGATGTAGATTGTGTAGCTGTTTTAAAAGAGTCTAAAAAGTAAAGAATCTACAAAACAACAAAATAGGAACATTTTCAATCAATTAGCTATCACATTATGACTCCCTTATCTTCATTGTGTACTCAGAGGGCTGTGGGAAAAGCAGAGGAGCTGGTGAAAGCCCACAATGAGTATCAGCGAGACCTCCAGGCATTTGAAGACTGGCTGGAACAAGAACAAGAGAAGCTCGGCTGCTACACCCAACTGGAGGGCGATGTTGACATGCTGGAAGAGACTCTGCAAAAGCTACAGGTCAAACACTTCTCCCTTAGAAAAGTTCAATATACATTAAATAGATGGAACATTAAATGATAGTTTTAAGTAAGTTTTATTCAGTTTATATATTATCTATAAGTGAGAGCTGAAAGTGCTGAACTACATCTGTGTAACTATAGGAACTGCAGCTGCACTGCACAGAGGGCCAGGCTTTGCTAAACACCCTTTTGGTCAGTCGGGAGCTGGTTACTCCCTGGGGCCTGCCTCAGATCGAAGACCGAGCACTGGAGACCCTTCAGCAGGAGTGGAGGTTGTACCAGAGACGGCTGGCCGACACCCGGGCTCAGCTCAACAGCGCTCTGGCCAAACTCCGGCAGATGGAGCAGAAGTTTCAGCGTCTAGACAGCTGGCTAAAAGGCATGGAGACCAAAGCACAACTGCGTAGCCATAGGCGGTCTGATCGCGCCACCAAAGATGCTCAACTTCAGTTGATAAAGGTTAGTGTTACATGCACAGAAGCTATGCACACAGAAAGGTTTTTGCCTAAATCTGCATAAATACAGTATGTATTTGTTTTCATTGCTGCTTAAGGTGAGAATACTACATTTCAAATGAAAGTGTCTTTCAACAATTGAATTTACTTTGGAACAAATCATTTTATTGGAACTTCAGTATTGTTTTAACATCTCTAATGGTCCATGTTTGGTCAGAGCTGGCAGGAAGAAGTTCTGGTTTATCAAGAGGAGATGGAGGGCCTCAGTCTCTTGGCTCAGCAGGTTCTGGATGAGACCCATATCAGCAGCCGGATAAGTTCCAGAGCTACCCAAATTACAGCCCGCTACCACATCCTGCTCCTGCATTTACTGGTAACAAAGCACATAGTACCACTATGTTTTCTGATATTTAAGCGTTGATGGTTTGATGCATTTGAAATGGTTCCTTTAACCAGTAGCACTCATACTTCCAGTTGAAATCTTTGTTGGTTTTCTCCCCACATTGCAGGAGACAATCAAACAGCTCCAGGAGGAGGTGTCTGTCATTGAAGAGGCACGGTGTGTCTTCAACACCTTCTCAGACTGGCTCAGCGCAGGTCAGAATAACTTCAGCACTGTGGTTATCAGTGTCGATGTAGTGGACCGCTTTGCCATGGACAGAAAGATGAAAAAACTGGAGGTACTCTCTCTAACATAGAATAGATGCCTTCTGTACATTATTGACTCCTTTGTAAAGACCATTCACTGAATTGCAATGCAAACATGTAAGTGCACCAACTACAAACCATACATGTTTATTACAAAGGTATATATTATGTTGCATGTTTAAATGCCGTCAAAAATGCACTAATACAAGTTGGAGCACTACTGTCAGACTCAAAGAAGATATGGTATTTGTGTAAAAACACCATCCAATGTACGTTTCAGGCTCTTCAGGCAGACATGGAGCAGGGTCATTCTTACCTGAAGACGATGAGAGAAAAGACAGAGAGAGCAATGGTATTCTTAGAGGAGCCTGAGGCAGAGCAACTGAAAGAAGAGGTGGACAGCCGCCTCTTCCAACTAAAGGAGCTGATGGAAGCTCTGCGAACACAGCATAGTGCCCTTGAGAAATGCATCTCACTGTCAAAAGACTTTATGGATAAATACAAGTCCCAGGCCCAGTGGATGATGGAGACCAAGAACCTTTTAGCATCAAGTGTGGAGCCTAAAGCTGAACTCTACCAGAAGAAGGCTCAGCTAGCAAAGTACAAGGTAACTTGACACTCACTATTCATTGATTTCTTGTCATTGTGGAATTATTGTGAGAACAGAATTCGTTAATCTGTTTTATTTATTCTTTTTTTATATCTGCAGACCATCCAGCAGACAGTGCAGTCTCATGAATCAGCAGTGAAATCTGTCTTTGAGAAAGGAGAGGCCTTGCTCGACACAGTCCATGACCCCACTATAAGTAACAACATGAAAAAGATGCAGGCTGACTACCATGATCTCTGTTTAGCGGTTAAGGTATAGACACTATAAGGTTCAGAATTCACATATTTGATTTAATAATGTGTTTTGATCTGTGAACGATTATCTGTCATACAGTAACTTGAATATCTGCGGTTTGCCATGTGTTGTGTTTTAGACACAAGTCCAAAACCTTGTGGAGTGGGTAAAGGAGCACGAGGACTACAACAGTGAATTGCAAGATGTTGAGAAGTGGCTCTTACAGATGTCCATTAGGTTGGTCTCTTCAGACTCCATACAGACCAGCGGTATGGAGATGTCAACTCAGCAACTGGCCCGACACAAGGTGCCCATAATCACACTGTCTGATTAAATATTTTTACTGTCAAATGTGTTGTGTTCTTGACATTTACTACTTACCTCAAATACTATGTGGTTAACATTTACATGATTTATTTTGGTGAAACTAGTTTTGAAATAAACGTTTTTTTCAGGCAATAATGGAGGAGATTGCCAGTTTTGAGGAGCGCCTCACCAGCCTGAAGCAGAAAGGAGAAGGTCTCATAGGCAGCTGTTCAGACCAAGTTCAAGCTAAGATTAGTCAACAGGTCCAGGCTCACCAACAAGGAACCAGAGATAGCTACTCTGCCATTTGCAGCACGGCCCAGCGTGTAAGTAATACAAGACAACAACGAGGAAACTTCTCCATTTGATGATAACACCGTACGAAAAAGGTTATTTAAGTTCTTACCTCACCTCGTTTAACAGGTGTATCAGAGTCTGGACCGGGAGCTGCAGAAACACGTTAACCACCAAGACACTCTGCAGCAGAGCCAGGCCTGGCTCTCCACAGTGGAGGAGGAGCTTCCGCTCAACGATCAGGGGCCGTCGGGTCTACAGGAAGCACTAAAGCAGGTGCGATGTTTTCCACTTTTGGAAAGCAATGGTTGAGATAAGTCATTTTTTGCTGATTTATTTTATTTAATGCTTTTGAAAACACAGGTGAAGCACTACAGGGCCCTTCAGGAGCAGGCCAGCACTTACCTGGACCTTGTGTGCTCTGTGTGTGACCTGTCTGATGATGCTGTGAGAGTAACCGCTGCTCAGATCCAGCACGTCAAACTCACGGTCAGTAATTGTTAGTTCTTTATCTATTGTATCTAAAATAATTACTGCATCCAAAAAATGATTTTAATATGATGTTCTCGATTGAGAAATTCTGGTATCCAGTCCAAGGATTGATGGATTCAAGACATAATATTTTGTGTACATATTACAGTCAGTAATAAACAAGCAGCATGACATGCAATGCGATTGTAATTGTTCAATGTATGTGACAGTATAACATGAGTGGCACAGAATGTTGTGTTTCTTGTTATATACAAGGGCATTCTGCCAATATTGACTGTAGGATGGTGTAAATATGTATTTGCAGATAGAGGAAAGGATGTCCAGTGCAAAGGAGCTCTCAGAGGGCTGGAGGGAGATCAAGGAACAGAAGCAAGATCTGACCAGCCTGTTCCAGGACATGGAGCAACAGCTCCTCAGCCTCTCCAGAAGGCCCGCAGAGTTGGAGACCAAGATAGCTCTAAACATGCTGTGTCAAGCCAAGGTAGGAATCAGTATCAGAGTGACTCAGAGTTCTTAATTGTCTTTTCCTCAACTGTACAGTCATTCCAAAAATTATAGTGGTGGTTATTTTGTTATTATTTTCTCATACAACATTTTGTCTGTTGTGTAGGGATTAAATATAGATCTTGTTTGGATGTATTTAGGGTTAACATCCTGTATACTGCCACACAGGAATGCAGCCAGCACCTTCAGTCTAAACAGAGCATCCTGACCAAGATGACGGAGACTGTGAGCAGATTGACTGGTGGCCAGGACTCTCCAGAACATGCTGAACTTGACCGTCTAGGCCATTCATGGCTTGAGCTCTGTCACCAGGCCAACAAGCTGCAGATCCAGAGACAGGAAGACCTGCAGAGGTCTAAGGAATACCATGACTGCATCACTGCAGTAGAGGCGCTGTTTGAACAGATGTCCAAAGAGTGGGACAACCTGGCCAGGTGTGCACATCAAGTATACATCAAATTGAGTAATCATGCTGTGGTCTAATAATCTCCTGATTGGGTCACTCAACACCGGTGTAAAATCATTAAATAGGACATTTATCAAATGCTTGCAAACATGGAGACAGAATTGACAACATACAGTGGTATGCGTCGAGGCTGCTCATTGGTCTTCATCTTCAGAGCAGAAATATATACTTGGAAGATAACATAATGTAACAGGGGGGCTGTGTGCACAAATTTGAAATATGCTTTGTTTAAATATAGTTGAATGTATGTTCTCAGGATAAAAAAGTGTACTCCTTACATTGTCATATCCTAATGTGTTATCTTTTTTGTCTTAAAGAACGGATGCTGAAAGCTCATCCCAGCATTTGGAGGCATTACGGAAGCTCGCGGTGACTCTGGAAGAACAAAAAGGCACTCTTGAGGACCTTAAGGAACAGAAACAAAAAGTCGTCCAACATTTGAACTTGGATGACAAGGAACTGGTAAAAGAGCAGATCAGCCACTTTGAGCAGCGATGGTCTCAGATGCAAAACCTCATCGAAAGGAAAATCCAGGACTCAGTGATGACCCTGGAAGATATGGGTCAAGTGGAGGCCCGTCTGAAAGAGGCCCGGGACTGGGCCGAGGAGCAGAAGCCTGCCCTGTCCGAGGCCATGAAAATGAGTCCTCCTCCTGAGCTGGCCCAGAGTTTCCTGTTTGACCACCTGAGCATCTGCAGTGAGTTGGAAGCCAAGCAGCTCCTGCTGGCACAGGCCATGGCCGATGCCGACAGGGTGCTGGCCCGGCTGGGCCTCAGTGAAAGGCAACGTCTCCAACAGCTTATTGTCGACACTCAATACGAGGTGGAATCTCTGAGTGTGAAGGTTGTGCAGCGCAGAAAGCATCTCAGTAAGGCCTTCACAGAGAGAACACAGTTCCTGATGGCTGTGAGCCAGTCCATTACCTGGGTCCAGCAGAACGAGAAGAAGGCTCAGGCTGAGGAGTACATCGCTTTGCTACCTGATGACCTGGCCAAGCAGGTCAGAACATGTAGGAACATCCAAAGCAGCCTGAAAGCCTATCAGAGCGAGCTGACCTCCTTGTGGTCTCAGGGGAGGGACCTGATGAGGGATGCCAGCGAGGAAGAGAAGAATGAGATTCTCACAAAGTTGCAGGAGTTACAAAACATCTTCGACAAAACATTACATAGATGCGGCCAGAAACTTCAGGAGCTTGAAAAAGTACTTGTTTCCAGAAAGTATTTCAAGACCGACTTGGAGAAGATATGCCTATGGATAAAACAAGCTGATATTGTCACCTTCCCGGAGATCAATCTGATGGTTGGAGATGCTGAATTGGAAACGCAGTTACGAAAGTATCAACAGATAGTCGAGCAGGCCATTGAATATGAGAATCTTCTTTTAATTGTACAAAGAGCTGGCCAGGAAATATTGCCCAGTCTGAATGAGGTAGACCACTGCTATTTGGATGAAAAGCTCAACACGCTTCCCCAGCAATATAATAGCATATTAGCATTAGCCAAAGAAAAACAGGAGAAAATTCAGCAGGCCATTCTCACCAGGAATGAGTACACTTCTTTCATAGACGTGACTCATAAAGCCCTGAAGGAGCTCGAGGATCAGTACAATAATCTGGGCACACAGCCGGTAGGGCTGCAAACAGAAGAGGTTGTCAGTTTGCAGAGCGATTACAAAACGATTCAAGTAGACCTGAGCAACCTCGGCCTAGCTGTGAGTGAACTGAACCAGAAGAAAGAAGGTTTCCGTAGCACCGGTCAACCATGGCGCCCGGAGGAAATGACCCAACTTGTGAGCCTGTACAACAGCCTAAAGAGGTTGGTTGAACAGAAAGTAGAGCATCTGGATGACACCTTGGAGTCATTTGAGGACCACAAGGCCATGGCGATGCAGGTTGACTCCGAGTTAAAGGCCACGAAAGAGCAGCTGGTGAAAGTTAACGCTGAGACGCAGTCAGCAGAGGAGAGGCTGAAGAACTACCACGCTCTGGCAGGGAGCCTCCAGAGTGCCAATTCTCACTTGTCAAGGCTCATGGAGCAGATGGACACTCTTGCACCCCGCGTGGAGCAAGCAGCCCACGATGCCTCCAAGGAGCAGGTGGTTCTGTGGCAAGACGAGCTGCGATCTTTGCAGGCCGCAGTCGGGGATCTGATTGAAGAGTGTGAGAACAGGTTTGTCCAGAGTAAAGACTTTGAGACGGAGATGAAAAGGACCCTGGACTGGCTGCAGCAGGTCAGGGATGACCTCGGCTGCGCCGTGATTGTGGATGTGAGGCTGGAGAGGGTGCAGGAGGAGATCAGAAAGCAGCAGATCATGCAGGAGGAAGTACAGTCCAGACTGAGAATAGTGGCTGCTCTTAGTAGCCGGGAGAAACAGCAGTTTGTGAGCGCTAATGAGCTGGTTCCAGCTCACGTAGATACAAGCCTTGAAGAAATGGCAAAGCTGCAGGCCGATGTTCAGAAAGCACTAAGCTCCAAACAGGTGGGACAATGTCATGTGCATGCATCATTTTAATGAAATGCTTAATCTGCAATGATGTTTTGTGTAGTTACCTAAATGCCTATATACAGTATTTTATTTGTCATTTGGTAAGAAGCAACAAAATAATTTAATCCATAGTAGAAACGTTTTTTTCTTGTTAAGATTGATTTTGTTGAAAGATGAAAAATGCTACAGAGCAGTTTTTCTATGCTGTGTCGATATTTCCATTCATGCATGAAAAATGTAATTGATTAGCACACAGGTACATGCAAATGTACAAAAAAGACTAATTATGAAAATATTGATGAAACAAAGATGTATAAATACAACATTGTTTATAGAATATAACACTTTTTTTGCAATTTCTTTCTTTTGCAAAAGATTACTCTGGAGGAAGCCCTGGGGTTGTGCCAGAAGTACCACTTCAGGATGCAGTCGGCCTGTGAATGGCTGGAGGATGCCGTGTCTTTCCTGCAGCAGGCTAGCCTGGGTGTGGATGTGGAAAACTATGAGGAATGTCTTCGACAGCAGGGGGACATCATGGCCACAGAGCAAGAGTTCCTCGTCCACTTGGAGGAGCTGCAGGGCCTGCTGCCTCAGCTGGAGAAGCTGGTCAACCCCACAGCTAAAGATCAGCTCCGCGTGAGCGTGGACTCAGCCGAGCAAAGAGGCGTGGAGGTCCGAGATCAGCTCCAGTGTCACCAAGATGTCCTTCAGAGGTAGTGAAAACAAAAGAGAGACTTTGCACGTGTAATACACTGTGAGCTACACAAAGGTTTTTCAATAATGGCATTTTATACAATTAAATATTTTTTTTCTCAGCTGTGTCACCCAGTGGAAGTCTTACCAGGAGTCAAGGCAGACTGTCATTGAGCTCATGAATGAGGCTGAAAAGAAGCTGACTGAATTTTCCACTGCAAAGGCAGCCACAAGTCAAGAGGCTGAAGATAAGCTATGCAGTCATCGGGTATGAGAGGCCAAATTTTACATAATAAAATTAGTAGGCCTTATGAATGCTTTATAACTGTTTTAATTGTATGTTACACTATTTCAGTCCCTTGTCTCACTGGTGAATGGCTTCCAAGAGAAACTGAGTGGTTTAGAGGAGCAAGCTGCCCAGCTTGAGCTGGTGGGGAGTGATGCCAGCAAAGCCACCATCAGTCGCTCCATGACCACTGTGTGGCAGCGCTGGACGCGACTACGCAGCGTGGCGCGGGGACGAGAGCGAGTACTCGAGGACACAGCGCAGGATTGGAGAACTTTTAGAGAGAAGGTACAAAGACTGATGACAGACACGCAATATTTGAATGGAAAATGTTTTTGTACCAGAAGCTGAACTTCTCACAATCCTTCACGTACAGATGGTGAAGATGAGAGCTGTCTCCGATGAGCTCCAAAGCCGTTTCCCTGACAGCGCTGTGGAGAAGGCTTCAAAAGCGACCTTGCAGTCTCTGTTGGACCAGCATGAGTTGCTGAGCCAAGACTTGGAGAGAGAACTCTCCTCCCTCACACTGCTGCGCCAGTACGCTCTCAGCCTGCTGCACGATGTGGAGGTGCCTTCACCAACGACGGAACAGGATGAGCGGCCCAGCCTGAAGGGGATCAGAGCGGTCCAAGACCAGATGGAAAGGTAGAGCAGAGTTAAGCCTGGATTGTTGTTGAGTTTAACAAAAGCTTATGTATGGAGGTAACATCACATTTGTGGTATTGTTTTGATTAAAATGTTTCTCTTTGCTTCCAGCCTCCTGACACAATCCAGGACCAAGCGGGCTCAGACCGCTCAGGAACTGAGGGACAGAGAGGAAGTGGAGAAGGAACTTAGCGTCGTAAAAGCCTGGATCCAGGAGACCAGGGAGCTTCTTCTTAATCCAACACCAGACATTGATTCCCTGCTGCAGAAGCTTGAGGTGTAACTCTTATCTAAAAACATAAATATCAACTTTCTTATCTTCATCTCATTTTCTGAACAATTTTACTCAACTATAGTGTTTCTGAGGAAAGGTTACATGGTTTTTTTTTGCGTTTAGGTTGTACACGGAGAAGTGATAACTTATCGCCAGAATGTGGATAAACTAGCAGAGCAGCAACAAAGCAAGTATTTGGACCTCTACACCATATTGCCTTCTGAAATCTCCATGCAGCTGGCTGAGGTCTCACTTGCATTGGGTGCCATTGAGGATCAGGTACGGTGTCATTTAAAACGCTTTCAAACAAGACTCAAAATGCTCTCTTTATTTGCTGTTTGTCAACAATATATTTCATGTCATGTGGCATTTGTTGACATTTGTTGTAGGTTCTTTCAAAAGAGAGAGAAATTCAGAAAACCAGAGAAATAAAAGAGGACTTCAGCTCTAGAATTCACGGCATCTCTGAGAAACTCAAAGCAATCTCAGCTAAATTCAAAGAAAAATCTCCTGACGTTGATCATGCCAAAGAAGAGGTCAAGGTGGGGCAGCTTACTTCAGCTTCAACCAATTGTGAATGTGCAGTTTCTTCTTGCAAACTGATTTTTGTTGTTTCTTCAGAGCCTGGCTGATGAGCTGGACTGCTGCGGTCGCGCCCTCTCAGATATGGATGCCGCTGTTCAAGAATTTGCCCGCAGAAACCCCCTGCTAGCCAAACAGCTGAGTGATGCCATCAGCAAGCTATCAGAGATGCATCACCAAACAACCCGGGTAGCAGACTGTAGGAACAACTGGCTCAAAAAGGTTTGCATTCACAGGTCTCTTGTACAAAAGTTTTTATGCTTCAACATTCAGAAGAGGTGCCCCAGATACACTGGTGCGCATTCTTTGTGTTGTGCTTAATTGGTTTCTCTCGCCTCGGCTGCTCAGGCTGTCTGCTATTTAGATGAGTATGATGAGATGCTGGACTTCATTGTGAGGTGGTCAGAGAAAGCCAAAAGCCTGGTGAGGGCAAACATCATCTGGAACTCCTCTGTTCATCTGCAAGAGCAGATACGAATGTATCTGGTAAGTTGGGGGTTCTTTCTATTGTGATATACAGCTACAGCATTTTGTGTTATTAGGCTCCATTATTTAGAAATGTAAATCAATATAATTGATGGACATGGTTTTAGCTGCACTGTCTCCTCTTCTCAGCAGCAGACCACCCACACACCCTAACCCCTAACCCTAACCCTAACCCACAGGCCTTACATTTACTCCCCTGTCGCCCTGTTCTTTAGGCTGTCCTTCGGGAGTCTCGGGAGCTCCATGGAGACCTGGAATCAATGGCAGAGAAAGTGGATCTTCTTTCTGAGGTGCTGCAGGTCGAGTCCAAGAGCCAGCAAGTTTGTGAACTTAGTCGACTAACTGAGGAGCTTCAACAATGCATTAAGACACGACTGCAGAGCTTGGAGGATGCAGATAAGGTACCAAGTACAAAAAGACATATCATCTATTACTTGTTTGTAACGTTTACAAATATCCTTCTCTTAGTAGTTAGAAGTAGATTTACCTTCATAAATACATGCATCTCATACTTTACACTGATAAATAAACTGTATAATTGACTAGTGTTTTACATGTCCTCAGAGTATGGAAGCCCTGGAGTACGAAGTTAAGGCCTTACATGTTGCTCTGGAGCAGGTCCAAGCCACACTGACCTCACCAGAGTTAGCACGCCAGAGCCTCAAAGAACAGCTGGCTCAGAGACAGGTAACCACACCACGTTGACATAATCTATAATATGGCCTGTAATTTAGCAGAAAGCACCTTTGATGCTTACTTTGCACAATAAAGCCTGCTACCAGTTTCTTACAATGTGAACTTTCCCCGTTGTTGCAGCGTCTGTTGGCAGACATGGAGAGTTTTAAGCAGCAGGTTCAGGCCGTGCAGCTATGTCAGAGTGCTCTGCGGGTCCCGGAGGAAGTGATGCCCAACCTTGCCATCTGTCGCACAGCGCTGCGTCTACAGCAAGAAGCCAGTCAGTTGCAGCACGTGGCCATTCAGCAATGCAACATCCTACAGGTACAGTAGGGGGCTTTAAGATCATTTTACTCTAACTGAAGGAGCAATATAATTATACAGTCATATTGATCCTTGAGTATAAGAAGTGTACTCTTCCTGTACAAAAGAACACTTATTGAACCGGTTCATCAGACACTTAACAAGGCAATATTATCCACAATCCAGGAAGCTGTGGTGCAGTACGAACAATATGAACAGGAGGTGAGAGACCTTCAGGGGCTGATAGAGGAAGCACATCGTGTCATTCAGGACCGACCGATCCCCACAAACAACATCCAGGAGCTGCAAGCCCAGATCCTTCATCATGAAGTACAAACATTAATTCATATATCTTATCTACCTTTTCCCAACAGCAAGGAAGGAATTTGATTTATCCATGAGTTGTCATTTGTGCAAAAAGGCATGACAATTAACGTGTGACATGCTTACATGTGTTGATTGATTGGGAAACCCACATAATCTAAACCATAACATTCGCAAGGGTCCTTTTGGCCCCTTTGGCAGCAGTACTAGATGCATGTCCTATGTGCCATAACATCTGTATTTAGTTTCAAAGTTGTTTTTGTTAATAGGAGTTGGCCCAGAAGATCAAAGGCTACCAAGAGCAGATTGCCTCACTGAACTCAAAATGCAAGATGCTGGCAGTGAAGGCCAAGCATGCCACCATGCTGCTGACAGTGAGTGACGTGGAGGGATTGCCTGAGGGGCTGCAGGAGATGGAAGGGGAGAAATCCAAGAATTCTTCAGCACAAGCCTTTATGGTAAAAGAACACAATGCCCAACATAGAAAAGTGGTGCGCACTCTTTGCCTGGATGTTTTTTGAATATACTCATCCGGCTCTTTCTGGCTCAAGCTTAAATAGTTCTGAAGAGTTGTATTCTTTTATTCTTCTAATGAAACCTTTTTCCCTGCTTTTATTATAAAATGCACGTTTTTAAAAGGCGCATTTTGCCAATTTGAAAATACACATTGCGTAATTTTAATCTTTGCCAATTCCTCTTGCATGTCTGCTCTTCTGTTAATGTTTCTTCTTCCTTCTTGTGTGCCGTGTCAGATGACGGCTGGCCGCTGTCACACCCTCCTGTCTCCTGTAACTGAGGAGGGGGAGGAGGGCACTAACAGTGAGGTTTCTTCTCCTCCCGTGTGTCGCTCTCCTTCTCCCATCACTTACACTGAAGCCGCTATAACCAAGGTATCTGCCTTCCCTTCTCTTGATGCCTTTTTTCTGTCGTTTTGGTCTTTTAGCAATATTTGTGGTTTCATTTGGTAACTGACATTACTTTCTATTTCATCTGTAATCTTTCCTGTCATTAAATTAAGCACACTCAAACTAATAAATGCAATCATGAAAAGAAGAAGGCAAAAATAATCCAAGGGGATTTATTGTCTATGTCTAATCTCAGCCTGCACTTATCATGACTGACCAGGAATTAGTGGCTTTATAGAAGTATCTTTATCTGCCATCTGTTTCATAACAAAATTACCTTAACTGCTCTTGGCACTGTATAAATGTTTTTTTTAGATGGGCAGAGGAACACTCATAAGAGCTCCGATCCAAGAATTGTATGACCCGGCATTTGAGTCTGTGGCCAATTTAGATGACTTGCAGCGCTCATGGGAGACTTTAAAGAATGTGGTAGGTGTATAACAAGATGTCAGCTTGGTACTTTGTTGCATCACAGTGACTGTTTTCAGGGTAAGCACTCTTTGTCCACTTGGTATTCCGACAGATCAGCGAGAAGCAGAGGTCTCTGTATGAAGCTCTTGAAAAGCAACAGCACTATCAGGGCTCACTCCAGTCGATCTCCTCTAGAATGGAAGCTCTTGAGGCCAAACTGAGTGAGCCTCTGGAGGCAGATAGAAGCCCAGATAGCCACATGCAAGCACAAGAGGTGAGTCATCACAGCAGAAGGTTTTTGCATTGACAGGATAGGGAGACTTTTAAATGATACAAAAGGTCATGGTAATACAAAGCATGCTGGTCAAACTATGTCGAAGAAAACTAAATTTAGCTAATTATGCAGATCTGTGAAAAATCTTCGGATCACCCTGTTTTGCATTTATAATATCAAAGTTTACAGTAATACATTTTTCATCTTTACGTTACCTCACTGTTCTATTACTACTTCTAACTAACTATGTTGACGCTGGCAGGATATAAAACGGAACTACTGCTCTAATATCTAAATTTGGAATTTGAGAAATTTAGTCTATTCAGTCACAGTATCAGTATAAATGAAAATAAATATGCAGAATGACCTATAAAACACCTATAACAATGCTATTCACCTCAGAGTCTGACAAAAGAGATGCAGAGCGTGCAGGAGGAAATAGACAGGCTGCAGACGAGCTTCACAGAAGATCTGGCCTCTGATGCTGTAGAGTCAGACGTGGCTGACCAGCTGGCCATGCACTCCTCCCTGGCTGTGTTAGCTGAGAGGATGGCCACTATCCACATGAAAGCCTCAGGAAAACAGCAGATATTGGAGGTATGACAGTATTGGGATGTAAAGGTACTCATGTCATCAAGTAATATTAGCCAGTAGTTTGGCTTTATGGATGAAATGCTTTTTGTTTCTATATCACTGAATTAATTGACCAATGTGATGAATGAAAATTTGCTTTGCTGCAGGAACGTATTAGCGACCGTCTGGAGGGTCAGCAGCAGGAACAGGTCATTCAGCTCCACAACGCTCAGGCAGACGAGCTGGACCTGTGGTTGACCAGAATGCGCGGTGCAGTCACCTTCATCCTTGAACCTAAACCTCTAGACGACACTGACATGGAGGATCAGCTTGCTGAATGTCAAGTAAGAGCTCCTCCTGCTGTTCATTCAGAGCAATGAATGCAAACAACATTTGAAATATAATTTTAACATGAATTTATGAATATGAGGTTTTAATAACATTGATGGCATAACAAAAATTGCCAGGAATGGAAACTTTGTTGGAGTGCTTTTAAAGTAGTTTTTTCTAGATGTTCAGCCATTGTTTCTGGTCTGCACACAATTTGCCAGGGGATCAATTACATCCGTTTTATTGAAGATTTAGTTTTCTTATCATATATTGCTCACCTCAGTGGGATAGGAACCTGTTAGTGGGTAAACAAGAGCATTAGAGGAGTTAGCGGGTCAGTCAGGTGGCTGGGCTGCTAGCCGACTGTAACACAGTCTTAAGCAGATTATGCAGATATCTGTTTGACTGGGGACCGTTAGCGGCATAGGGAGGAGTAGTCAGAGGTTGTGGCTTTCAGACCATTAATAGATCCCACTTCTTGGATTGGTGGTGGTGATAAAGCCGCTAGAATATCCAAGTAGGTGAATCGTAGAGAATGGGAAGGGTGAGGCTGGAGAAAGGGGGAGTGACTCTGCCTTAGAAAACCCTGCTGAAGCTATCGACAGCAGAAGAGCGCCAATGCTTTAGGAAACAAATGCATCTTCAGACTTCGGCACAACATTCACTGTCGCGCGTTGTGAACCGGTCTGGACTCAGAATGGTGATCCGGGGACGAGGATTGCTTTCAAATGTGCACGTTAGCATGTATGCTGAAGAGCATGGAGCGTGAAGGATTAGTGGTAATATGTTGTACAGGAGGCGAGGCCGGAGAGGTGGGCCAAGGATGAGAGCAGAAGGAGAGCGCTCACTGTCCCGTGGCTGAGGAAAGCTGCTGGTGTAGGGGGTTCAGCCGGAGTCTGACCCCCTGTTTGTCTGGACGGTCTGTTGTGTAGAGACCGGGGCATCTGTTGGTCCTGAGACACCATGTTTGAGCTGGCCTCTCTCCTCCTGCTGCTGCAGAACATGCTGCTGGAGATTGAAGAAAAGGTGCTGGCCCTGTCAGAGCTGTCCATGCACAGTGAGAACCTGCTGCTGGAGGGCCGGGCGGAGACCAGAGAGGACGCCGAGCAGTTGGCCGGGAAGTTATGTATGTTGAAGGGCAGCCTTTTGGAGCTGCAGAGGATGCTGCAAGACAAGCTGGTTAACATCCAGGTGAGGTGCTTTCAGGGCTGAGATACAGAAATGTGTGTAGGTGACACCAAACTTGTCTCAATAGTCCCTTTTCACAGCATCCGTTTTGACATGTTATTACAGTGTAAACACATGTTGGATTGATACAATTATTTATGGTCCTCTTCAATTTTGTCCAAAGTTAGCCAGCATGCACAATATCCGAGCCATGACCAGCCTAAATGGAGCAGGGCCATGATCGTTAATTATGCCTTTGTTTACCCTGCAATGACATGCAGAAGAATCTGCGAGATGGGTGTATATCATATGATATTGACCTCAGTCCCCACTGTGTATCTTGTATTCAAATTAAAACATTTCTGAAAACACTATTTTCTTTCAAACTGCACTATAAAGACAATGTTTTATACTCTGTATATATATATATGTATATGTATGTATATTCCAATTGTTATCTATCTACCAGCCAATTATAACAGAACAGAACAGGCCTGTCAAGAGAATATTGAATAATTGTATTGCTAAATCACCTCCTTTGCTTTAGGATTTCTTCACACCCACCATCCAATTTTGCTAATCTCTTGATTCAAAAATTAATTTGAAGCCGTTTCCTAGTTGTGCTTCCTTGCCGATATGCATTATTTAAATATTGTCTGATACATTGTGTGGTCCTACAGGGCTCTCTGCAGGAGCAGGAGGATAGTGAATCAGACTCCAGCCTCTCTCAAAGTCCCAGTGTGCAGGATTGGCTGGTCCAAGCCCGGACCACACGTTCCCAACAACACCAGGACAGTCTGCAGAGACAGAGGGTACATTTGCCAATATTCTTTTGTCCCGTTGTTTTAGTACTCGGGATACATGGCCATGCAGTGTGCAGCCACTGGATAAGATTGGAATCTTCTTTCTCAAACGATTTCCAATACAATCTAAACTGTTTTTACATGTTTGCGTTTTAGGAACTGGAGGAGCAGCTCGCCGAACAGAAAAAGTTGCTTCAGTCGGTGGCCAGCAGAGGAGAGGAAATCCTCATCCAGCAGGCCTCACCCAGCAGTGCCAGGTAGTTGTAACTCAAATCAAATAGTAAAATATAGTAAGTTAACATGTGTAATGATTCCTCTGACAGATTACAAATGGAACATTTATTAATTCATGTTTTTGTCACCCACGTGAAGTACATCAGAGCCGTTTTCACCAGCAGCTTTGGCTGAGAGGGAATCTCAGGCTGCTAGAGAGCAGCTGAGGCAGAAATGGGAGAGCCTGAGATTAGAGCTCAAAACTAAGCTGCAGCTCCTGCAAAAAACCCTGGAGCAAGACCTCAAACAGCCGGTACAAACCCTGTTATTGATTGCTAAAAGTAAAAGTAAAGTGCATTGACATTGTTGTTGGCGTTATTTTTCCAGCAAGGGACTCTTGCTGACTGCCCGTTGTTGTTTTTTGCAGGTTTACTCCAGAGCTTCTCGTGTGACCACAGCCGGATCGCTGTTCAAAGGAGAAACAGAGGCTGGCAAATCCTCCCTGAATACTCTGTATGATAGCTTCAGACAAACAATGGAGGACATGCCCACTCAGGTTTTATTATTTCTCTAAAACGATTACAGATTTGAATCCATTCTGTGTCAACCTGTCCATGGAAATTTGCAACCCCCTTGTGTGTACATAGCCTTGTGGTGACGAGGCACAGGTTGTGCAAATGGAACAGCAGCTCTACACAGCTGTGTCGTCCACCTCCTGCTGGCTGGATGGTGTTGAAAACAACGTCTTCTCTGGCTCAGTACTGTTGGTTGAAAACCCAGAGACCCAGCTACAAAAGCAGGAGGTACAATCAAGCAAAATTGTGCTGCTTCTTTAATTATTAGACTTAAACAGCAGATCTGGTGGTACTCATGTTTAGTCAACGTTCAGTTCAAAATATCCATAAAAAGTAAAGCTACAGTGATACAGCTGCAGAAGTTTAAAACAGTTTATTTACTATGTATTTCATCTTTCCATTTAGCAGTTGACTATTTTCAAATCGTCCATTAACTGTTTCCAAACATTCCTCCAGACCCTAGAGAACGATGTGAGGCATGTAGTAGAGGATGTGAAGCTCAGCCAGGCTCTGCTAGCTGGGTCCCCAGGATTGAGACAAGAGGACCGATCGCTGCTCGAGGACAACCTTGGCTGCCTGAAAGAGAGATTAGGAGCTCTTGGTCACGCCCTGGAACAACGTGGTGACCACATGAGGACCAGAGCACATGAGCTCACAGTCTACCAGGTCTGGACCTGAAAATGTCTATATATCCATATATATATAGAGTACAGTATTATATATTTTTTCATAACTCCATACAACTCAATATAAATTCTGTTTTGTTGACACAGACTGAGTTGCAGCTTCTCCAAACTGCTTTAATCGAGACAAAGTGCCAGATCCTGCAGGCTTTAGCTGGAGCCATGGATAGACCAGCCTCAAAACAACTGGAGGTAATGAAAGCTTTGACATAGACATGCGTTCACACCCCCCGGCTTTTCCCCATCAACTCCTACAGAACAATAAATCATTGTGAATCGTCATTTTTCCTAGGTTATTGCCAGTGCCGAAGAGAGCCTGAAAGACTTTGAACAGAGGATTACGGAGCTAAAAAGCAGAGGGGCTTCCCTTCAGGCGGATCAGATATCAACCAACAAGATACTGAAACTCCAGGTAATGAATATCACTGAGAGCGCTCACTAAAAACTGTTCAGTCTGAAAACCATGCTGCAAAATCTAGCTTTTACTAACTCATGTCCTATGTTGGAGTTTTCAGGATTCCTATGAAGAGCTGGTGATGACGGTGGGTTCCCGGCGAAGCGGACTGAACCAGAACATGGCTCTGAAGGAGCAGTACGAACGTGCTCTGCAGGACCTGACTGACCTGGTGGACACAGCAAAAGACAAGATGGCAGCCGATCAGAGGATCGTTGCCAGCTCCGTGGAGGAAGTCGAGAACCACCTGGACAAACACAAGGTTTGCTCAACTTGTGTGCTGTTAAGAATGAGTTAAGGGATATTTGTCATCAACAGAGTGAAAACACAGCTATTAATGCTGGAGATACACTACTGCTCATTGATGTGTGGGTCTGATTGTGTTTTTTAGGAGTTCTTCCAGGGCCTGGAGTCCCATATGATTCTAACGGAAACGTTCTTCAGAAAAATCCGGCTTCTGATGCTTCCCAAAGAGAGTCAGGCCCTGGAGGAGACACTGGCTGAGGCTCAGATCGTCCTCAAAGAGGCCCACAGTAAAGGAGTTGAGCTGGAGTGTATCCTGGAGGTGAGAGAGATACTTCTATTTGTGTTAACCATGTTTCTTTTGAAAAAATACTGATAAAAATCTGAAATTTTCTATCAAATCTGACAATTGAAATGCTTGCTTTTCTTTTACAAGATAATACACACCTTTTTAATGCTAAATTGTAATTGTTTACATGTACTGTTAATATATGCTAACTTAAAATAAATAAAGATCTGTGAAGTGTGGGGAAACCGTCTCAATGTATTTATGCTTGAAAACTAAAGCTATTGAAGTTTATTTTACGCACAATTTATTGGAAAGCCTGTTTTTAATTCTCAATGATGGAGAAAGAGAGCACAGTAGCTGTTTAAGTGTTATTATGTGTTATGTGCCTTGGACATTGATTCAATGAGAAAGTGTGTCCAAACTTCTGACTGGTACTGTACATCCATTGTAATCTATTTTTCAGACTTGGTGCCGCTTGGTGCAGGATTATCAAAGTCTGAACCACCAATTGGAGGCAGTTGAAGGAAATATTCCTTCTGTTAGCCTGGTGGAGGAGACGGAAGAAAGACTCATGGACAGAATTTCATTATATCAGGTACAAGGTGCAGATTGTAGGATATGCCATCATGATCTTAAACAGCCACCATACTTGTACTGTTACAACACTTACAGTACATCATTTATGCAAGAATGCCTCACTATGATTCACTTTGTATGGTGATGTTTTACTAGGGGAAGATTAGCTTTGCTTTAACTGAATTTACTCACTTTCTTCACCCAAACTATCTGAGCTGGTGCAGCTCCAGCTACAATGTCACTTTTCTAAGATGCAGTTGTCTGCTTCCATTCTCTGTAAAGGGTCTAAAGGGGCGACTGACAGAGTACCAGCACAAGCTGCACCAGGTGCTGGATGAGGGCAAACATCTCTTGCTGTCAGTGTGCTGTCCAGCGCTGGAGAACCAACTTGCGCTGCTGGGGGAACACTGGCTCAACAACACTAGCAAGGTCAACAAGGAACTACAGCGCCTGGAGGCCATCCTAAAGCACTGGACCAGGTCAGAAATACATCAGAATCAGAACTTTTCAGCCATTAAATCCAAATGGTATGCCGCGGGCACACTGAAACATTATCTCTAAGTAGGGTCTTTCAAATGGGTAGCTTGGCAAAGAAATTTGATGACTTTATTCTGTGATTGAAATTCTGTTTCCTCTAGGTATCAGAGGGAGTGTGCAGAGCTCAGCCAATGGCTGCAGTCTGCTCTCGAGCGTCTGGAGTTTTGGAATACGCAGGCGGTGTTAGTGCCACAGGAGCTGGAAACTGTCAGAGACCATCTCTCTGCCTTCCTTGTAAGGCTACAGTTCTTTTTTGTTTTCTTTTACTACCTTATGTATTGATCTGGAGATTCAGGCATTTTGTCAGCAGCAACAGTGCTACAACTAGTAGACATTTATCCAGATTTATACATAACCTTGTTGCTATCTGAGGGCCCATCCTGCACATGTGGCCATATGCAGGCCCACACATCTATATTCACACGCACATTTAAGACTCTAAACTACAGTATACAATTTAAATAGTTTGAATATGGTTTCAATACTAAATTCACATGGGAGGCAAGTGATTGGATCCCAGAGGATACGATCAGAGGCAAGGTCCTTGACCACAAAGGCGGGAAACACATAAGTGCAGGAAGTGAAGACAGCACAGGGAACAAGAAAATAAAATAAGGAATCCAAAAAAACACCCGTGTGACTAAAAGTCCTCCATTCAAAAGCTAAATGTATTAGCATCCAATGGCCCATTTCAGAATGCTATATTGTATATTATTTAAAATTTAAATATGAATGTGTTAGCGTTGCAGCTGGTAATAGTATATTCTCATTACTTAATATTCTTCTTTGTAGTTTAATCTTTATTAATACATCATAATGTATTTGTTTTAATTATCAAAACATAAGTGACCTAAATTCTAAGATATATATGATTTCATGGATGCGTGGGTAGTAATATTTTGTATTTAATTATCATCATACAGTAAGCTAAACCTTTCATTCCATACCAGCTGTTGACTATTGTCCCCTTCCGTCTCAGGAGTTTTCAAAGGAAGTTGAAGGCAAGTCCAGCCTGAAGAGCTCCGTGATAACCGAGGGCAACCAGCTGCTGCGTCTGAAGAAAGTGGACACGGTGATGCTGCGGTCTGACCTGGCACGCATTGACACTCAGTGGACTGAGCTGCTCACACGCATCCCAGTAGTCCAGGAGAAGCTGCATCAGGTATTGTTACATGCAGCACGACTGAGCGCGCTCAGCTGCTCCAGGGCAAATAGGATTTACCTTTTCTGCCGCCTCATTGCTATACAGAGGTTTTCACTCAAGGTGGCCCTGCAACTGGCAGCATGTGTGTCTTTTCTTCCTGGTTGATTCTGCTTCAATGGGTTCCATTTTTTCTCAGATCCAGATGGAGAAGTTGGCATCCCGCCATGCAATTTCCGAGCTGTTTAACTGGATATCACTGATGGAGAATGTCATTGAGGAGAATGAAGAGAACCTCAAGAGTGCAGTAGGGTCAAATGTGATTCAGGACTACTTGCAAAAGCACAAGGTAGTGGCCTTCAAAAAGGTTTTTTAATTATTTTTTTCTATAAGACATGTGTGCCAACTACATGACTTTTCAATATTTTATGAATTGGATGTGTAGGTTTTTGAGTGTTCACAAATTTGAATCGTTTTCTGAATCTTTGATAGCCATTTAAAGAAATTGTATATACTCCTTTTCCTTCATTTCAGGGTTTCCGAGTAGATCTAAGCTGTAAGCAGTTGACCGTGGACTTTGTCAACCAGTCAGTGATGCAGATCAGTGGTCAGGATGTGGAGAGCAAGCGGAGTGATAAGACAGACTTTGCTGAGCGACTGGGAGCCATGAACAGACGCTGGCAGGTCCTGCAAGGCCGCATCAACGAGAGGGTGAGGACAGAGTCGCTGATACTGGAAAGGAGAACAGACACTCTCGTTTATTTGTGCAAAATCAGGATTTTACAGTTTCATTTGTATAAAATACTTGTAGATTCAGTTCCTGGAGAGCCTTTTGGAGATGTGGTTGGAGTATGAGAGCAGCGTTCAGGTCCTGAAGTCCTGGATGGCAACTCAGGAAGAACGATTAAAGAGGAAACACCGGATGGAGGATCTAACATCTGTGCAGAATGCTCTCAAAGACTGCCAGGTAGGCTTTTCTTACTGTGCTAACACTGGTTTATCAAAACATTTACAGTAAATACCCTGACATGCTGTTATTATCATATCATGCTCACGTCCACATTGTTAACCTGTAGGAAATGGAAGAGTTGGTGAAGGAAAAAGAGAAAGAACTAGAGAGAGTGGAGGAGCAGGGCTGTGCCCTTGTCCAGAACAAGACGGATGAGGCCTGTGCTATCGTTATGGAGACACTCCAGGGTGTCAATCACACCTGGGCTAACCTGGACCACCTGGTAATCTCCCCTGTTGTCCTAATACTCTTTATTTATGGTACATTAGTAACAGCCATCTATTCTATTCTACTCAGCTCAGCTCTTACTTGTTCTGTGTGTTTGAGCCTCGTCTTAACAATTTAACAAGGTACCGTCTATTTTTATTTCACTTTTAACAGATAGGGCAACTAAAAATCAGCCTGAAGTCAGTGCTTGATCAGTGGAGTCTATACAAGCGGGCTTCAGAAGAGATCAATGGCTACCTGATGGAGGGAAGGTATTCTGTATCTCGTTTCCGCCTCCTCACGGGATCCCTGGAGGCTGTTCAGCTGCAGGTGCAAAGTCTGGAGGTATGTTAGCATGAGGATTGTCAGCTGGCCGGTTGTGCCCAAGAGGGATTTCATTTCAGAAATGTGGTTGTGGTAAAGTTTTATATTCATATTTATGTATGCTTGATGGTTAATGAAGCACTGCATTTTTCACCTGTGAAGGATTTGCAAGAAGCGCTGGAGAAACAGGAGAGCAGTCTAAGAAAGTTTGGTGCTGTGACCCACCAACTGCTAAGAGAGTGTCACCCTTCCGTGTCAGATTCCCTCAACAACGCCCTCAAGGACGTTAATGCAAGGTGACCTTGAAGTCTAAAAATAAAATAAAGTTTAAGGTGCACTTTTTATTCTTTACATTGACCCATGTCATATTTGTGCAAAGATGGAGCGGCTTGCTGGAGGAGATTGCGGAGCGTCTGAGGAGCAGCAAAGCGCTGCTACAGCTATGGCAGCGCTATAAGGAGCTCTACGAGAGGAGCTGCAGCAGCAGCCAGCTGCAGGAAGAGAAGGCTGACCAGCTCCTCAAGCTCGCCTGCAGCAAGGACATTGCTGATGAGGAAGTCTCCGACTGGATCCGAGAATGCAGCGTGAGTGCGGCCACAGCTGTGTCACTGTTGATTCCTTTTGCATGAGAACAACTGTTCAGTATTTCTCTCTATATTTGGTCTGTGCTTTGTCTCAGGAGGTGCTCCGGTCTCAAGCTCCAGCCCAGGCCTCCCTACAAGTTCTCCAACAACTGGGAGATCAACTGAAGCAGCAGGTGGACACATCAGCAGCGTCGGCCATCCAGTCGGACCACCTCTCTCTCACCCAGCGGCTGGCTGCCGTGGAGCAGGCCCTCACCAGACAGCTCACCGCACTGCAGGTAGAGAAAAGGCTTTGTAACTAGTTTTGACTTCAGGTTGTCTCTATTAAGTAGACAGTCCTCCCATCAGAATTGTGCTTTTTACACCTGTGGATGACTTGAATTTGTCTCCCGCACTAGACCGGAGTTCAGGACTATGAAATCTTTAACGATCAGCTGGATTCACTGGGCCGCTGGATAGTCGAAGCTGAGGAGGCTCTGAAGGTGCAAGATCCCAACGGGTCCACCGACCCAACAGTCATCCAAGAACGCATGGAGGAGCCTAAGGTAGGCTTCTTTTCGCTTTTGTCAGTTTGAAAGAACCTATTTTGCTGATTGTCCTGTGAGTGAGAAATTGAACATTTCTCTCTTGCCCTCTACAGAGGCTCATGCTGAAATTCAGCAGTATGGCTCCTGAACTGGAGCGTCTTAATGAACTCGGTTACCGGCTGCCTCTCAACGATTCAGAGATCAAGCGCATGCAGAACCTCAACAGGAGCTGGTCCACAGCCTCATCACAGACCACAGAGAGATTCAGGTATGACATATGAAACATATGGTAAATATTAAAGAAATAAATGAAGCTTCCCAGGACAGTTTTAGGAAAACATTTAAAACACCACAGATGTTCATTGAAGGCTGAAGATGACAGAATCGTTGGGCATTTCAACTGTACATTTTGTTTGCTCCTTGTAGCAAACTCCAGTCCTTCCTGCTGCAGCAGCAGACCTTTCTGGAGAAGTGTGAGACATGGATGGAGTTCCTCGTCCAAACAGAGGAGAATCTGGCAGTGGAAATATCTGGGAACTACCAGAGTTTGATGGAGCAGCAAAAAGCTCACGAGGTGCGAGTTCCTTTTGAAGTAAGATACTTGCTTGTTTTGTTAATTTGTAATCATTAATCATGATTACGTTGTCTTCTAGTTATTCCAGGCTGAGATGTTCAGTCGCCAGCAGATCCTGCATTCTATCATCAGCGATGGACAAAGGATGTTAGAGCAAGGTCAAGTAGATGACAGGTAAAGAGCCCAAATTATGGTATTTGTAGTCTATTAGTCTAATAATGTATACCATATTTCTGCGAGTACAATATTTATAACACATTTTATAACAAATACATCTACCCTAAGTCTTCCTTTGACAATCAAGCAACTTTCCTGTCGTGCAGAGATGAGTTCAACCTGAAGTTGACTCTCCTGAGTAACCAGTGGCAGGGCGTAGTGCGGCGTGCTCAACAGAGGCGAGGCATCATTGACGGGCTCATGCGTCAGTGGCAGCGTTACAGAGAAATGGTGGAGAAACTGCGCAAATGGTTGGTGGAGGTCTCCCACCAAGCAGAAGCCCTTCAGGCAGGGACCGCCGTGCCTCTACAACAAGCCCGGTCCATGCTGGACGCTGTCCAGGTACGTGGTGCTCACGGCTTATAGAGCACACACCTCAACATACATCACATTTATCTGGGCGGTGCTAGACACACCTTTTAATGTCTAGTCCAAGACTAAGCTATCCAGAGCAGACATTTCTCTTTGTTAGGCCGATTGTTTGTATTGCATTGGATTCTAGCAAAAATGTGATGAACTGAACAGTGACAGGCAGGAGATTGACAGGCCTGTGTGATTGTGCTTTCCGGTTCAGCTGAAGGAAAAGGTGCTGCAGCGTCAGCAGGGCAGCTACATCCTGACGGTGGAGGCTGGGAGACAACTGCTCCTGTCAGCTGATAGCCGGGCGGAGGTGGCCTTGCAGACAGAGCTTACTGATATCCAGGAGCGATGGAAGCATGCCAACGTCTGCCTGGACAGACAGAAGAAAGAGCTTGTCATCTTGTTAAGGGTAAACCATACAAATAGCAAGCAACTTGTGGAGAACAGGAAACCTCGGGGGAGGAGTCTTTGTGTTAGCGATTCAAGTTTACTTTCATAGCTTTTGCTTTTTTTAAACTTAAAAAAGCTTTTACTAGGGGTTAAAATGATATATGCCAAATATATTTAAGGAAAAACAACTTTTATTTTACTGTTTAATACTAAATGACATAGTATTGATGCATTTGCAACTGTGTGTGTGTGTAATGTGCAGGACTGGGAGAGGTGTGAGAGAGGTATTGGTGGATCACTGGAAAAACTTCGAGCTTTCAAACGGCAGCTTTCTCAGCCTCTTCCTGATCACCACGAGGATCTGCAAGCTGAGCAGATGCGCTGCAGGGTAAACAGCTCTTCATTATATAGCAATTTTAAATAAAGGAAAAATACCAACAACACAAGGCTGGATCATTGTTGAGTATGTGTGAGTATGTGTTTGAATATGTTGTCCGATATTTTAAGCTGACTAAGTTATAGATTCAATTGGAATCGTTGTTCAGAACATGAACTGTTTTTTCTGCACGAAGAGTTTGATGTTTTGATAATCGTAAGAACTATTTAATATTAGGACTTGGAGAACACATTTGATGGCTGGACTGGGGATCTGGCCCATCTGAATGTGCTGCGAGAGTCGCTGTCTTGCTACATCAGTGCCGAGGACCTCTCTGTGCTGCAGGAGCGCATTGAGCTGCTGCATCGACAATGGGATGAAATCTGGCACCAGGTACATTTCAACAAACAGTACACTGTGCGCAGCTGATTTTTTTAATATACTGGATACGGCATACCTCTTTAGCTCCTGGAGCGTTATTCAAATAAAAGCATTACCAGTGCTTCTTACCCTAATCCTGTACCACACAGTATCTACCCTTTGGTAATGAGCAGTATCAACTACAGTTTACCATCAAATGCACTATGACGTAAAACAATGCAAAACGTGTCAGAAAAAAGGCCTTTCCTCTTTGAATTTATACTCACATTGGTTTTTGTAGGGTTCAAAACAATTTTTAACCCATGACTATAGTGTTCAATGTAGATGCACTTATCACAACATTTCACAGCAAGTTTAAAAAGGAACATTACTGTACAAAGCAGTTGCTTTGGCATGCAAAGTTAAACCTCAAGGTGGTGAGTTGCATCCTGTGTTGAGTCGATAGAATACGCACACAGGAAACACTCACTCGAGCACACACTCGCTGCTCGATGCAAATCATTCATGGTGCAGCGATTTCTAACTCGGCTTTCGTTTGAGACTTTTCAACACGGATGCGCTTGTTAGATTTTAACTTGCATTCAGCGATGGTAATTATGCACTTTTCACAATGATCTACTTAACTTAATATATACATTACTGTGCCTCCGCAGCTGTCGCTACGCAGGCAGCAGGTGAGCGAGAAGCTGAACGAGTGGACGGTATTCAGCGAAAAGTACAAGGAGCTCTGTGAGTGGCTCACCAACATGGAGAGCAAGGTATCCCACAATGGAGACATCAGCATTGAAGAGATGATCGAGAAGCTCCGCAAGGTACAAAGGAATTTCCAATCAGTTCTTTTGTAAATAAATGCAGCTAATGCTAAACTACTCATCACCAATTGATTGCTTTTGTCATGGTTTGCTTTGTTACCTCTTTAAATATGTGGCTTCACCTCACACAGGGTTGTTCAATTGATAGTCCTGCTGTTGCTTTTAAAGTTCAGTATTTCATCTGATGCTTGTGTTGCGCTGTGTATCAGGACTACCAGGAGGAGATCACTGTGTCTGAGGAAAACAAGCTGCAGCTGCACCAGCTGGGAGAGCGCCTGGCCAGAGCCAGTCACACAAGCAAAGCCGCTGAAATTGAGCAAAAACTCAACAAAGTCAACGACCGCTGGCAACACCTCCTGGATCTCATTGGAGCCAGGTGAAAAAAGACACACTCGCACCTGAAAAGCCTAAATAGATATTGGGTAATTTGCCTCAGCGTTAAGAGTATGTTGCATCACTGATTGCTGAATGAATTTCTTCAACAGGGTGAAGAAGTTGAGAGAAACTCTGGTGGCCGTGCAGCAGCTGGATAAGAATATGAGCAGCCTCCGCTCATGGCTGGCCCACATCGAGACCGAGCTCTCCCGACCCATCGCCTACGACTCTTGTGACTTCCAGGAGATCCAGCGGAAGCTCGATCTGCAGCAGGTAACGTAATGTCCAGTGCAGTGCACAACGTATGTGAAAGATTCGTAGATTTTAGAATACTATTTTAATAATTAGCACGGTTAACCCACAACCTCAAAAAAAGTTTATTTTTCCAAGCACTTATTTAATGGGACCATGTAAATCAAGAACTTATTTTGAAATTAATACGGTGGTCCTCTAGTGACTAATTATAATAACAATTAGTCGGATATGGAAAATGATTCTTCGACTGCATGTTTGGGATTTTAAAATCAAAAGTCATTCCTTAACATTACGTCATTATTTTCCAATATCTCCCTCCCTGTGTTCATTGCCCTATTATCACATTCACTCGCTGCTTCACTTTTCTCACCTCTCAGGAGCTTCAGCGTGACATAGAGAAACACAGTACAGGAGTGGCGTCTGTACTGAATCTGTGTGAGGTGCTTCTGCACGACTGTGACGCTTGCGCCACCGATGCCGAGTGCGACTCCATCCAGCAGGCCACTCGGAGCCTTGATCGCCGCTGGAGAAGTATCTGTGCCTTGTCTATGGAGAGGAGACTCAGGTAAGATGTCGGATGTAAACCAAGAGTGTTTTCTGTAATCGTAGGGATGGAAAATATGCCGCTGTTATTGTTGCATGTGAAAATAATGGTTTTCCTCTGATAGAATTGAGGAGACGTGGCGTTTATGGCAGAAATTCCTGGATGACTTTGCACGATTTGAGGAGTGGCTGGTTACTTCTGAAAAGACTGCTGCTCTGCCCAACTCGTCTGGTGTGCTGTACACTGTAGCAAAGGAGGAGCATAAGAAATTTGAGGTATTACAAAAGCAATCCGTCTGTACCACCAAAAACATTTGCAATATATATATTTTCTCTATGTGGTAGGATGGTTCTGTTGATTAAGAACCACGTTGGTGAAACTGTGTTTCTGTAGGCCTTTCAGAGGAATGTGCACGAAAGCCTAACCCAGCTGGAGTTAATCAATAAGCAATATCGCCGACTGGCCAGAGAAAACCGCACTGACTCTTCCTGTCGTCTGAGGGAGATGGCCAACGAGTCCAATCAGCGATGGGACGACCTGCAGAAGAGGGTGGCATCCATCCTGCGCAGACTTAAGGTACATGCATCATTCATTCACGATTTCTTTATTGAATTGAAAGTTCAATTTCCACACTTTTCCGATCTGCCTGTTTTATTACATTTTGAATCAACAACTAATGAAGCTTACATTATACTATCATTCTAACAGCAGCATCTCTATTTCAATCGTGCAGCACTTTATTAGTCAGAGAGAGGAGTTTGAGACAGCCAGAGACGGCATCTTGGTGTGGCTGACAGAGATGGACCTGCAGCTGACCAACATCGAACATTTCTCCGAGTGCGACATTCAGGCAAAGATCAAACAACTCCGGGTAGGTTTGTCACAATGACCCAGAACAACATGGTCTGGAACGTATTTGCTAAGCATACCTCCCGAATTAATGCATTTATATTGAGCATATTGAGTAGTGTGCATGTAGTTTTAGAAATGTTGTATTTTTAGTAAGTTTTTGTAAGTTTTGCAAGGGGATCGCCTTACACACTTTCTGACTTATTTATTAAGTGAGCCACAAACTTTAAAAAATGTAATAATTTTAAGCCCAACCACTTTTCTTCTTGTGGTGTAGTAGGCCTAGATATATTAGTCTAGATTGACTGATATTACAAGATGACCTTGTCAGTCACGCTGGGCAATACAATGATAATATCAAACCAGCAATTTCACATGAAATGTCATTGAAATAGAAATCGGGACTGTGAAAGTTCAGCCTAAAAAACAAAATGACTGAGGATCTGTTTATCTGTCCTCCTTTCGGTCCCACAGTCTTTCCAACAGGAGATCTCCCTCACTACAGCCAAGGTTGAGCACATCTTCCACCAGGGAGAGGCGCTGATAGAGAAGAGCGAGCCTCTGGATGCTGCTGTCATCGAGGAGGAGCTAGAAGAGCTGCAGCGCTACTGCCAAGAAGTGTTTGGTCGAGTGGAGCGCTACTACAAAAAACTCATTCGGCTTCCCGTAAGACCTGAGATTGAGAGCAGAGCAAAGATCACCAGTCACCAAATGAAAATGTAAACATATTATTCTACACACTTATAACTGCATTCGTTGTGACTGTGCTCCTTCTTCAGCTTGCAGACGATGATACTGAGGTGTCTCTCTCGGACCGAGAGCTGGAGCTGGACGAGCCCTGTGATCTGTCCAGCCTGCCGTGGGGCGAGCGTTTGGGGGACGGCTTCCTGTCCCCTCTGCCCTCCTCTGGCCGGTCCGCCTCCCTGGCAGCGCAGCTCCGGACCGAGCGCTCGGGCAGGGACACCCCAGCCAGCGTGGACTCCATTCCCCTAGAATGGGACCACGACTACGACCTGAGCCGAGGGCTGGAGAGCGCCAGCAGGGTCCTGAGAGAGCAGCACAGTGAGGAGGGAGACTTCCTCCAGAGGCCCAGCTCAGCCTTGTCAGGTTAGTTTACAAACACACATATACATATAAATTCATATGATCTATAAATGTTTTAACGGAAAACGAAGAGCCTCTTTTAATCCGACGGTTCTCTTTTGGGCTTATGATCGCTAATTCACTGTGTTGGTCACAGGTTACATATTAGAGTTGTGAGCTCTTCCGCCAAAGAGGATTGTCCCCCAAATTTGTTTGGGGGACAATCCCCAACCCCCAAACCACAAGGTTATTTCACTAATAATTGTTAATAATTGAATAATTAAGGCCTATAGTAGTAAAACTATCCAGTAGTTCATAGGAAAAAAAGCAAAGATCTGATAAAAGTCAAAACTAAATAATACAAAATATCATAATCATAATCTAGTGAACTTATTCCATGTTGAGTCCAGATGAAGTGTGATGATCTCAAGGTGCTGATCCATTTGACTGACATTTGCTCTACCCGAGGAGGTGGAACTAAAGGGTGTATATAAGTGTTAGAAAAGCCAAAGTTAGCCAAGGTTATTTGTCTCAGCTTACAATTTGGGTTTTGCTAATACTTGACATGGTTTCTTTTAGATGCCGGTGACCGACGTTTGTCACACAACATATTGTCAATACAGTGTCCGTGTGACAGATAGGGAAACTCTAATAGCAGATGAATACCAGGTCAATCAGTTCATGGAGTAAAATACTGTAATGCTGCTAAATGTGTGTACTGTACAATGTTTCTTCCAGATGTAGTGATCCCAGAGAGCCCAGAGGCCTATGTTAAACTTACAGAACAAACACTGAGGTCCTCCACTGGTAGGCAACAGCAGTTCCCAGCTGAGTGATGTAACACTTACGGCCTGATCACTGGCTTGGACTTTGATTTGTGTTGATTTTCTCTCTTATACACACTTTGGGCACACGCTGTCACCAACGGCAACACTTTCTAACATCGATGGATAGGGTCAATTCCATTTTTACCGCTTCGATTCACCGTTTCTGCTTTGGTTTCTAATTCAGCAGAATTTAAATGGAATTCAGCCTAACCTTTTATTTCTAACTGGCTTCCTTACTTTGGCTTGAGTGTGATGTGTAGCTAACCTTCAGATTGGTTTGATGTGCTATTTGTGTTTCAGAAAAGCATGCTGTTTTATTGTCACAATTAAGTCTGAACTTCTTGCAGAAGGGATTGCAGATTTGTTTAATGTATAATGATTAAAGGCTCCGTTCTCACAGAGGCACATTGTGTAGGAAAAATGCTTTTAAGCTGAGAGATGTGACTCCTAATGAAGGCGGGACAGGAGAGTCTAGTGTTTCTCTGTCTGAACGGGGCCTTATCTGTTTTGGGGTGTAAGGATCTTTCAAATCGTCATCATGATACAGCACATGTTCACTATCAAAAGATGACCAGCTGATGTTGTGTCTACAGGAGAGGTCGCCTCTACGGACTCACATGTTCACTCTCTGGATTCCAGCCGTTTCCACCTGCAACAAACGGACAGCGGCCGCAGCCGCACGCCCACAGGCGCAGAAACGGATGTCTCATATTTGGGATATGTACGTGTTGCTCTCACTGCTAAATGAGGCCAAAAGAAACTTAAGCTTTTGTCTGTTCATATGTCTTTAAGCAACACATTAGTATAAGACCTCAAACTAGTGTTTCATGTTATCACCAGCCAATAATGTTGCATATTTCCATAAGCTTGAAAGTCTTATCAGTATATAATATAATAGTTTCCTTGGATTACATTTTCAAACGGCATCGTGTAATCCAACATTGATCCTGTAGACGCGGCTGCTGGGTGAGTGTCGGGGCAGCATTGACACAGTGAAGAGGATGGGCTTTGAGCTGAAGGAGGAGGAAGAGACAGGGTCCGGACTGGCAGATCCCAGCAGCTCAGAATCCCAGACATCAGGTAATACGACACCTCAACCCGCCCTGCATGCATATATCCTACATTACCAAACATTTCAAAGAATGTACATGAAAAGAAAAGGTTATGCAGTGGGATAGTGAATGTTTTTCTCCTACACCCTGTAATCCAGGGGTGATTGAGCGCTGGGAGCTCCTGCAGGCTCAGGACCTCAGCAAAGAGTTGCGCACAAAGCAGAATCAGCAGCAGTGGCAGCAGCTAAACTCTGACCTGAACAAAGTTTGGACCTGGCTGGGGGAGACGGGGGAAGAGCTGGAGCAGCAGCGGAGGCTGGACCTCAGCACGGACATTCAGACGATAGAGCAGCGCATCAGGAAGCTCAAGGTATCGTGGTTTTCTTTTTGCTAGTAGATTTGTCTGGAATGTTTTGATCATTTCCAGTTTTCTCTTTTTAAATCCAAACAGCCTTTTTAAATACATAAACCATAATTGTTTGTCTACAGGAGCTGCAGAAGGCGTACGACAAACGCAAAGCGATCGTGATGTCCATCAATCTGTGCAGTGCTGAGTTTGTGCACTCAGCCACGGAGGAGTCCAAGGTGCTGCAGGCCAAACTGAAAGACATGAACAACCACTGGGATAAACTGGGAAGCTTACTGGAGCAGTGGAGGTCTTCATTACAAGAAGCGCTCATGCAGTGTCAAGTAGGTGCCAGTCATCCATGATTAAGACAGGCAGCAGTTAATGTGAGATTGTTTCTTCGGGCTGTATGCTGTATCAAACTGTGCTGATCCACATCGCATTAACAGGACTTCCATGAGATGAGTCATGGTCTGCTGCTTTGGTTGGAAAACATTGACCGCAGGAGGAATGAGGTGGTCCCCATTGACCCCATCCAGGACAGTGACACTCTACACCAGCATCATAAGACCCTCACGGTAAAGACAATATTGTATTTATACACAAAAATGATATTTTGGGTCATTGCATAACCTTCAGATAAATGCCTTAGTGGCTCTTCTTCACACCTACAATGCATTTTCTTCCTGTTATGAGTTACACTCTATTAGATTTATTAGATAATAGTATTCCACTGCTAGTGCTTTAGAGTTCATGTCTCAAATTCCCAATCGCCCACAGCAAATCCGTCAGGAGCTGCTGGACTCCCAGCTCAAAGTCGCCTCGCTGCAAGACATGTCCCTCCAGTTGCTGGTCAACTCTCAGGGCAGCGACTGCCTGGAGGCCAAAGAGAAGGTTCATGTTATTGGAAACCGCCTCAAACTGCTGCTAAAGGAAGTAACCCGAGACCTCAGAGAGCTGGCCAAGATTCTGGACATCACAAGCAGTCAACAGGTGGATCCTCACTTCCTGTACACACTGCATGGTTTTAGATTTACAAAGATGTACTTTCTTTCCTAATGTAGATTTGATAAACACCAGGCTGCCATTTTCCCACCACTGCCTTGTATTTCACGTGTCTGTCTCTACTGTGGAAACGTTTCATTTGACAGGACCTTTCATCTTGGTCGTCTGCTGATGAGCTGGACACCTCCGGTTCCCTCAGTCCTGCATCAGGAAGGAGTACGCCAAGTCGACGGCGATCGGTAACGTATACGCCTGCCAGTCTATGCTGCTCTATGTGAAGCCGGGGGGCCCCTGTGCATAACAAACCTGTGCCCCAAATGCCCCGATTGAAACCACGTTCACCCCTGTCATCCCAAGATCTGTCCGCACACCTTTCTACACCTCCACAACCTGCTCCACACTCCCTCTCTCTGATTTCTAAACTGTTCTCATGCATGCTGTGTATTCCCAGAGCAAGCATCCCACAGGACTAGTAGGGGAACTTGTTGTTTATTCATTTCTTTATACTTCTATCCCTTGGATGACTTTTTCACTTCTACCCTAGCTTTTTCTCTTCCAGCACAAAACTAAAAAAACTATCCTACAAATCTTCTTTCCCCAATAAACTTTCCTCTAATTTCTTGTCACTCTACTTTCGGTTTGGCCCCTGCAGTGTTACACTCATAATTACTGGTAACCATAAAACTGCTCAATGCAAATTAGAAGCATAAGCTCTGGTATGATGTAGAAGGCATGACATCATATTTGTTTTGTATCAAAGGGTACAAGAATCAGTATTGATTCATGGTGTACCCAGCATGCCGTTGCTTACTACATTATGTGTGTAGACAAATGTCACTGTTAGGAATCAATGCATCGCATTGCATAATTCCTATCCTCCTATTTGCAATAGACAAAGCACTTCAAAGTAATCACGGACTTTGAAAAGGTTTACAAAATCAACCTTCACATATGATTTTGTTGCCGCTCTTCTTTCATTTTGGGAGTTTTCTTTTCATCCGTAGCTTTGTCTTGATTTGCCTGGACTGAAACATACTTTCTTTCTTTTACCCCCCCCGCCCCCCCTGTTCATTGCAAACAGCAACGGGGCAAATGTAGTCTGTCACAGCCTGGACCCTCTGTGAGCAGTCCACAGCACAGGTACCTTTCTGTTGGTTTCTAGCACACCCAGAGGATGATGGAACTCATCCTCCCATGATGCACCTCATCTTAATCGCACCCGACAGTTTTTAAAGATTTTGAATAATTCCAATTTCAGTTTTTGTGCCAGATTAGCAGCTCATGATAGTGAGTTCCATCATGTTCTGTCAGTCTAGACGCTCTGTGACGAGGTGCAATGCAGCCCACGCGTCCTCGATAAAAGGGTTTCACGAGGGATGGTGCGAGGCCTCCTCTGCAGCAGTGTCCTCGGCTGCTTAATATCGCTAACCAGCAGGCATTTTACCTAAATAACACAAATATTTCTCTATATCTAACAATCCCTCGCTGTTGCTCACACACAAACACTTTGCAACTTGCCGAGCCAGTAAATGTCTGCAATGAACAATGCAAAGGCTGCAGTTTCTCTTTCTCTCACTCTGTGACGTTTCTTCTGCTGCTGCTGCTGCTGCTTTCTCATCAACTATTCACCATCCCCACCCTCTCAGTCTGTCACCTGTGAGTCTCAGGTCTCCATTTGTAAAGTGGTAAGGGGCACTTTGGGTGACATAGAACATCCTGAGTATAATTCATTCATCTTTAATGTCCATTCATTCCTGGAACCAGGGATCATTTGAATACATTTAGAGAGTACTGGAGGCCTCTTTTCTCTTAATTTAGATAAATAGACTTTTTCTTACAGTAGGTAAGTGTAAGTGAGCTTCTTTACAATAAATCCCTTTAGCTGGCTTCCACCCTTTGAGGCTAAAAGAAGACTGAGGGTCTTTGCTGAGGGTGATGGTGACTGTGAATTATATAATTAACTGGTATGACACTTTATGCAATTTGTTTTTTTGCTGGGAGCAGAGCTGGAAGCTTGACACAGGCGAGCAGGTTCTCCAGGCTTTCCGGTCCGATAATAACTTCATGCTCGTGCCTCCTTTTAAGAAGGAGAACGGTATCAATCTTCTCATCTCAGCAAGAGACCAAATCAACATATTTCCTTCCGAAAAGCTGATCTAAACTACTTTTTAAAGAGGCTGGTTCTAATTGCTATTGCTCCTCTTGGCTCGGCATGCTTTGCATTTTCCAACAGGACTTTCAAAGAGTCATGCGACTATGCAGCTGATAATCGCAGCATGCATTTTGACCTTTAGCCTAACATCCTTTGCAAAAGAACGTAAGCTTACATGTTAAATGTATTTGTTTGATGCAGGACTGTAAAGTATGTACGCCTTTATGTGTCTTTGTAACTGTGTTTAGCCCCCCAGTCTCAGTCAGCATGTAGATCCCAGTGTGAAACAATGTCCCGACGTCGCTCGTGAACGCAGCATGGTGCTCGTGAGCACTGTCACGCAGTCCCTCTGCCGCTGAACTGAGGTTTTATTTGGATTGAAAATTGGTGGACAGCACCTTGACAATGAGGCGTATGCAGAGAAGCATATTAGATTACAGAAAAGTTCAAGAAGAGTTTGTTGATTCCATTAGACTAATTTCATTTGTAGGTTATTTTCATTGAGTTTATTTTTGTCCAAAGAAAATGGAAACCCATTTAAGGTGACCGCTGTGATGTTATCGCATCACAGCAGTCAGTCTGGAATCGGGGACTCAGATGTGAAACCAGATAGCGGGATTCTGTCCCTTCTGACTGACTGAGGAGAGAAACTCTGTGCTGCTGTGTTGTGAATGCGTGTTTTTTTTCGAGCAGGTCTCGCGACGCTGGATCCGTTTCCTTCCATTCTGACTCTGAGACTGTTGGCGGATCCTCGTTTCTGTGCCGTGTCCTCTGGGTCGCGTTGCCGCTCCACCTCCTCATGCTCCTGTTAGTGGTGTTCGCCTTCATGCTGCCGATGACCGAGGAGGACTACTGTGCTCAATCCAACAACTTTGCTCATTCCATCTACCCGATGCTGAGCTACACTAACGGACCACCTCCAGTGTAGACGGGCTGTACCAGCCTTTCATCTCGGTATCGACGCATCTGAACGACTTGAATTGAAATGACATTGGTGTCTTTTAAAAGGTCAATCATGTTGGGAGAGACAGAATGATCTTGGTCATCCACTTGTGCTGCAGAAATAGAAGCTGCCATCCACATTTAATACCTTACTGTGTAGCACATAGGATCAAGCATCTCCCTTTGTTACTCTGTGCCATGATGTGTCAGTTAAGGAGCTTCGGATCTTTGGTCCAACAAAACCGAAGCTGCAGTGGACACTGCTGGACGAGTGAACTGGAGATTAACTCGATGGCATAGACATGTTGTATTTTAAGGGGTCTGTCAGTGGATAGCACCAAAGGAAAATGCTGAAATATAGCTTATGAATTTGCTTTAAACTCCAGTATTTTAAACAAAACCTTTAATATAACTTACATTGCAATTATTTTTTTACCATTTATTTTTTGCATGCAGTTTTGATCCTTTATTTTATTTTCGTACAATCTCCATTGCCCATTTTTACTTGAATAACATTGATTCATGTAAGAAGATTTTAAGCCAAATAGTGTGGTTTAATCTCAAAGCCAGACATACTTCAACAGTTTAACTTCAACATCTGTCATCCATTGTCTTTATACATTTAGCTGTTTTATTTTAGAATTGAGAATGATGACATATAGAACTGTTGTATATTTTGTACGACTGTGGATATCAAATGTTTAACAGTCCAGGATTATTTAACATGTGTATATAATGGTCCAAAACAAATATGAATAATATACGTATATGCGACCATCAAATACAACGAATGCCAAATCCTATTGTTTGTGTTCGTCCTTCTAATTGTCTAAATTGTTTTCTGTAAATCATATCTATACGGAGCTATTATGAAAACACAAATAGGAAAATATAGTGTTATGATTTGATACTGTACAACATTTATTTTGATATACTTTTGAGACCTCAAGAACAGATCAATATTTAAGTAGAGTCCTGAGAGGATTTGAGAGCAGTCGAGGTGTTGCTGATCCTCTCATGCTCACCGTGTTCAGCGTCTTCTTCATCTTGACAAGCTGCTGTGGGAGGATGAGCTTCACTCATCTCAATGCGATCAATACTGTTCACCTTCAGTGTGTCAAACAGCTGTTCTAACAACAGGGGAAAAAACAGTAAGAATAGATGGAAGACTATTGGGTATTTGGTTAACTACTTTCGTCTGTTGTTTACAGTAACTGGGAGTTGTTTTCTGCAGACTTTACTCACGTGTTGTTTTCCGTGTCCCGGCCCGTCACGCTGCAGGTCTGCAGCTCAGTCTCCCCCCTTGCTGCTCTGCAGGGCTCTGTGTGTTATAGGGGTTATAGGCTCAGCTCCTCTGAGACGCAGCCTGACTTCCATCTCTGACAAAGGCGGCCTCAACAAACGTTGTTAGGATTTTATTCATCTTGGAGAAGCGATGCCTTTTTGAGACACCGAAACCCAAGATTTAATGTGAACGGAAAGTAATTAAATCATTTTTCTCAAGTGCTGCACTTAAGTAAAACTTTTAGGTACTTTACACTGTTTACAGCACTGCATTTATTTTAACAATGTAGGCACTACATACTTTTTAATCAATACTTAAATGTATTATTTACCCATAAATGGTATTTATAAAGTAAATTAAACGACCCAACAAAATTGGTAAAATTACCTTGACCACATGCAGCAATATTATAATGCTCCTTACACTGTAAATATCGGTGATGATACTTTTCACTATGCTAAGACTTGTGATCTCAATAATAACTTTTCTCTGGATGCACCGTCCTACATCATTTTAGAATAATCCTGCGTCGGCTGTTTAAGTAGCTCGTTCAGTGCTGGCAGCCTTCCTCCTCTCTCGGCCCCGTTCATCCTCCAGCCTCAGCTCACAGGATTTCACACTCTCATCCAAAACAGCAATTCTCATCTGCTGCCTCTCCCTCTCAAAAGACTGGTCCACCTTAACATTAAAAAGCATTCACGGGCTATTATCTAATTGCAATACGTTGTAAGTTAAAAGATGGTGAAGAAGCTACGCTGGGGATTAAGGTGCAATTTAGTCCACGTTCAATAGCAAATGTGTGTCATGAAGAGAGAATAATTTCTGTTGTGTTTGCATACCTGATCAGTTTCCATAACTTCAGTTCACTTCAGAAGTGTTGGAAGTGTTGGAAGCATCCTGGCAACACAAGCAGCACCAGGAACGTCTGACATTATCAATTACAATTAATACATCTCAAATGCAAATTAAATGTAATTCACAGATTATCCTTATAAAAACAGTGAGCATGAAATAATTAAACACACGAATAAAAGCAAGAAGATGAGAAGGTCTATTAGGGCTGTTGATTTTAAGAGCTTTGGGTAGCTTAACTCACATCACCATCAAGTTAAATGGTGGTCTAACCCTTGCAATAGTTCATCTTGTTTGGCACAGCTAGTTTAACCAAAACGTTAAAATGACTATTTGATTTGAAGGACATTTGATACAGGTCAGTGGACCCAGTCCGGTCCGGGCTGCAGGCTGAGCAGGCTGAAGAGATGGACAGCAAAGCGCAACCTGCCAGTCAGTAATCGGGACGAACAACAGCGCAACGTCATTACGTCACCACGTTATTGCGTCACCATAAACAGGAAATGAGCTGCAACACATTGGCAAACAGCAAGCCCATGCAGCAAACACAGCGTTTATGTCACTAAAAGAGTAATGTCGCTTTACACGTTAATGAGACCCGTCGCTTTGTGACGCGTCGAATCGGTTCTCTTTCATTTACCGAGAAGCTAATCAGCGGCTACATACCAGCTAGCCTCAATGCTACACGCTCATCTGTGACGTGTGTAACCTTCGCACCTTTACCTCCTCTGTCGGCTTGCTACGTGATGGAAGTTAAGTTGGCTGCCGGTACCGAACCGCAGTTATTTAGTGTTTTACCACTTTATTTGATATGATGCATCGTTTAAACCGGTGATGATCGTGATCTCCAGCTACTGTAGTCAAGGTCAGTCTATTCTCCTATTCTCACATCAACATTTCCTTCTACTGGTCTGAAAGTGCGCATTTCAGTGTGTGTATTACATCTGCAAATAGATCCAGCTCGTGGCTCCAGTGCTTTGTAAAACCGTCACATTAGAGTATAAGACCTCGTGAAGGGACCCTGGCAGCTGTTTGCTGCGGTGCAGCTCATCTGGACAGCTGTGGATGCAAAGATGCTTCTCCGGATGTTGTGGTCCAGATTGGGAGCCCAGCGGCCGGTAGAGTGGAAACCAGTCTGCGTCTACCTCTCCCAGTCCCTCAAACCACGCGCGTATGGATCCAAGTCCAGGACTCACTCAAACCTGTCTGCACTGAGGATCCTCTCCAGGAACTATCATATGAACAGTCTTCACCCGCAGCTGAAGCACACAACACTTGTTCCGCCCGCTTCAGCTGGATCTGAAAGCAATAGCAGCACTTTGACGAGTGACCCTGGGACGCTGACCCCATGTGGAATTGGACCGAAACGTTTTTATTCCACCGACCTTGGGAAGTCAGCGTTGAAACCAAGTTTGAAACCAGCACCGGTGCCCGGGAAGAGGGTTCCCAAAGGACCAAGAACTAAACAACCTTCCAGGGCCAATCAGCCTTCCCTGAACGTGGACAAGGTGATCCAGTCGTCTGATAGTGAAACATTGATGACTCGTGTTTCAGTGATTCATTGCTCCCTGTGTTTCTCTCTAGGATATGATGCAATGTATCGCCTTCGCAACAGCCGATCAGTACCATTTGCCAACACTTTGCCACGACTTGATAAACCACGGCTTCCATGAGGTGGATTTACCGAGAGGTATGATTCCAAAAGTATTTATAGATTAAAAGCTCCTACGGGAATGAATTGTAATACATGCTGCTCGGAGGAACTACCACATTTAATAATAAATGTATGTCAATTGTATTGATTTCAGATGCCTCAAATGTGCTGGTGATAAGCACGGACATGGCTGCAAAACCCGATGACGATGCTGTAATATTCTTCTTCAGGTAGAAATATATTTATATCCTGCTGTAATTGCAGTGTTACTGCAATTTTCTATACATTCTTTGTGAAATGACTGACTTTTTCTGTCCATAATTTCAGGGAAGGCTCAGTCGTTTTCTGGAATGTTGAGGAGAAAATGGTAAAGTGTATATGTGTATATATATATATTATATACACATGTATATGTGTGTGATATTTAATTATTTGTATTTTGTAATGAAATCTGTTACTGCAGCACACATCTTTGACCATGTATCCTTCTTCTGTCTTCACAGGTCAAACGTGTGTTGAGAATACTGGAACATCATGAGATCCAACCCTATGAAGTAGCATTAGTCCACTGGGAAAATGAGGAAATTAACTACACTGTTGGCGAGTACGTTGCTACTTGCTCATTACAAATACATTGTATTTTTTTGGACACAGGACACTCTGGGGTCCCCCCCCCCCCCCCTCCATTCATTGTTTTACCTTTCTTCTTCAGGGGAAACACGAAGCTTGAGCGCGGCAACTTTATCTTGAGTGACAACATGGATCAACATGAAGCAGTTCTGGAGAAATTTGCATTTTCAAATGCGCTGTGTTTGTCAGGTGAGAACCAGCACCCGGATCATAAATCACTAGGATGGGACTTGTTGTGTCCTACACTCAGACTAACCACGTGCTTTATTTCCCAGTGAAGCTGGCGATATGGGAGGTGTTTTTAGACAACTTTGTGGAGTCAATTCAATCAATTCCAGAGGTACAGTAGACACTTAAGAGCAGGCAGGAATACATTCTGAATAATGAATTATTTGTAATGGTTGTTGCAAAGATAGGCTGTGCATCCGTACTCCACTTAGTGCTAATCTCCTTACTTGTTTATCACGTTAGACGCTGAAGTCTGGCAAAAGAGTTAAATTGTCCTCTGCAGAGGTCATGAAGAAGATAGGGGAGCTTTTCACCTTAAGGTAAGTTCTGTTATCTTTAAATAGCAGAGGGAACTTCTTCTTCTTTCTCAGATTAGTGATTATTTTTGTAAATACAGGTTGCATTTGTAAGGATATCAGAAGAAGTAGGATTTAGTTGTTATTTCCACTCTGTGTTACGTTATTCTGCCGATTGTGGCTTTGCTTGGATGAAAGACCTTGTTTGAAACCCTTTACACACTGACAGACACTGCATAAACCTGAGGTCTGACCTGCTCATCACACCTGATTTCTACTGGGACCGAGAAAACCTGGAAAAGCTCTACGATAAGACGTGCCAGTTCCTCAGCATCAGCCGCAGAGTCAACGTAAATAAAGCTGCTCCACAGAATAATATGGCACCACAGTTGGAATGTAGAGACTTTTCTAATCCTCTAAATGAACCCGCTCTGTGTTTAGGTTGTGAATGAGAAGCTGGAACATTGCTCACAGTTGACCGATTTGATGAGGAGCCACCTGAGTGAGAAGCACAGCTTGAGGTTGGAGTGGATGATAATCATCCTCATTGCTATCGAGGTAAGGAGATGAGAGGTCCTTCTCGCCCCTTGCTTTTTTAATATTATTTACAAGATAGTATGTAAATATTAGTTTCAAGCTGGTTTGTTTGTTTGTTTGTTCTCTTGCAGGTTATGTTTGAACTTGCAAAGATGATCTTCTAAGTAGCTCCTCTGTCGATGCACGAAGGACTCTGTGGAGAATGCTGCACTATACAGAAGTAACCGAACCCCAACATGTCAGTTCCCTGTGACAAGGTTTTCTGGAAGAAAATGCACTCGAGAAGGGGACCGGAATGTTTTTTAATTTCTTACATTGCATCTTCCATTTCAGCATTTATTCTATTCTTTTTAACTATGCCTTGACTATTGGCTGAAGGTAATGGCAGAAAACAAAGTGCATCAGTGGGACTTTTTCAACTTTGGGATCAACAGAGTTATATGTTTAACGTAAATGATTAAAACTGCACATTATACGCCAAAGCTTATGAATGACTTAGTGTGAAAGATACAGGTTTTTAAGGGATGGTAGAGACTCCCTTCAACCTGTGACTTTTCATTTCTGGTACGCTAACAGTGGAAAAAAACAAGATGCGCTAATTTATTCCAATGTGTTAAGTTCCAGAACTCCAACTGTGAGTGCTGTATTATAAAAGATGCAATAAAGTGTTTTAAATGTTTCAGAGGTTTGACTGTTTTTAGTGTTTGCATGTAAAATATAAACTCATTAAGATGTGCCAAGTATAATGTCTAAAGCTGACTTGTGATCCTTAGTTTCAAACATACAATAAGAGATTGCAGGATATCCAGGTATCAATTTATTCCGATAAAATATTATTTTATACATAAAATATATGCACATATATAAAGATATCTAACTAACTCAGGTTTATGTTTTGCATTTTGTAGATATTTAACATCAAAGATAAGCAAGACTTTTCCATTAAAGTATAAGTGGAAAGAAATCCTCTGAAGAGGCTTGATGTTTAACTGCTGATAAATAGAACGGGATGAGTAAAGCTGCCGCCATTGTTTAAGGCTTTGCTGATTACAACTGAATTAACGACAGATACATAGCAAAGAAAGGGAAGAATCTTAAAACTTGACATAGTTAAAAAGGTCTGGTAGATTAAACATTAGTGCATGCGCCTGTATAAGCATTAAACCCCCCATTATGTACAAGATAATATACAGTAATAGTAATATGTTCAGCCTGAGCTGTAGTCTTCACCTGCATAGATATCATAGGAGCATGTTTTATGTCAAATGATTAATAAAGGAATAATAACACTGAACATAGACAAGACATTGAAATATCTACATATAGTAATATGCCCCTTTCTGGTCAAAATACATTTGTCCAGTGCCGGGCTCATACACATCATGGATGAATGATTTTCAATACTTTCACAGGTGTATTTGTAACACAAAAATGCAAACAGAAATGCTGTCTTATACTCTTGTATATACATTAATTTTAAAAAAAAGATCAAGATAGATCTCTGCAAAAAACATGGTTTATAATTGAAAACCCCGACGTGATTGGATTGAACATAAAAACAATGCATGAGAGTTACAATACCGTTGAATAAAGGTTTGGTTTGGAAGGAGTTCACTTGCAACCCTTTAGAATGACGCTGCATGCACCCTGAGCCAAGCGTAGCATTTCTCCAATTAATAGATTAGCTGATTAATCACACACATTATGATAATAACATTCCGTAATATCAAAGAAAAGAAAAGATGGCTGTTTCCTAAAGTTCTTCTACCACCGTCTGTGATACTCTGATGTCTTTTTGGAAACTCCTAACAAACTTAATTGACTGTCCAACCTTGAAAGAGAAAAAAGGGAACATTGCATGAATTATTTAGGATATTCCATTAAATGTGGTGTATGGTTGAAGTGTCCTGTGAGAAAGGGACGATCAATGGGAGAAATATTGCAAAACAAGAATAAAGGGAAAGGCTCACCGGTTTGAATTCATTTCACTCCATTGTTGTGACTCTCACAGTTTCAATTTCAGGATGCTCTGGTGCGAAAGCAAAATCCTCACATTCACTATCAGTTCCACATCTTTCTGCCGTCTTGAGCATTTTCTGTTGACTTTCTTCTTCCTCAGTCTTGGAATCAGGAGCCATTTCAACCACGCGTTCAAGTCCCGCCTCGGCCTCTCCTGGAGGTTCCTCCACCTGCAGACGGCACGCATCTGTTTTCTCTTGAGTGTAGACATCTTTCCTCAGCATCCATCCACACATCCTGCTCCTCCTCTTTTTGTTTAGCGGGCGTTTTTGTTTCTGTTTGTTGCTCTGCAGCTTCAGAGAGTCCCTGGTGAGTGGGGGACCCTTCCGTTGTTTCTGTCTGCCCCACTGCTTGTTTTGTTTCGGTGTCACTGGAGGTCACCGTCTCTGCTGGTTTCATTTGTTCTTCTGCTTCCATCGCTTGGACGCTGATTTGCAGCAGTACCGGTTGAGTCGCAGTCACGGATCTCTCCGTTGAATCCATATTTTCCGCTGGTTCTGTGTTTGCTGTCCCCTGAACAGCGAGCCCCGCTAACTCTATCTGTTTGATTGTCGTCACGGGTTCGACCTCTGCTGCCTGAACTCCGACCTCAGACACGTCTGCCTTGTTCGCAGGTCCAGATCTTTCCGTTGTAGGCGGTGGGGAAGCTGGTTTATTTGGCTGGCCAAAATTTATGTTAAGTTTCAATTCAATGGAGAGACATGAGGAGGAGTCCCCGTTACCTACGGACGAGATGACTTCCGTGTTTTGGGTGGCAGCAGGTGTTACAATCAGAGTTTGGATCATTTGTGCTTCTTTGCGCTCTTCTACTTTGGTTTCCTCTGATTCGTCTCTTTGAGGATGGAACGGGACATCTAAACATGCTGGAATATCAGCTGTGGTCAGGAGATCCTCGGCCCCTCGCTGTCCCGTTGCGGCGACATCCCCGATTCTTTCCAGGGAACACGCTCCACTGCCAGCTGTCTCTTTTTGATCGTCCACTTCATTTGATTCGCTTTCAACCGTCTCACTCTCTTCTGTCACATCATCCGGCTGTTCAGCGCCTTCTTGCGTCGATTCGCCTTCTTTCTCTGGTAGGGTTTCCTTTATGTGCAGGATGACTCCTTCAATGGTCACCTTGTCCTGCTCATTAATTAATTCCTCTTCAATCAGTGGAGTTGCGTAGAAATCGTTTTCAACGTCGCCGTGACAACCGTCGATGACTTCTTTGACCCGCGTTATCCCAACCTCGAGCACCGTGTCCACACTCGACTCGGCTGACTTGATATCATCGCCGACTACCTGCACTTGAATTCTGTGATTGTCCTCCAACTCCACCGACGGCACGTGCATCATCACAACCACACTGCTTTCCCCGGCTGCCTCGGCCTCCTCGTCCGGCACCAACAGCGCCGAGGTTTCCACATGCTCTCTGGACATTAGCTCCCGTGTGACTATTTCTCTCAAGGGTTCGGTGATGGGGGATGTTTTCTCTATCAAAATATCAGGTATTGCAACTAAGGCATCTTTTATGTTACACACGACTACTTGCGCCACCACGGCGTGCTCAGCGGGAGCGGCCTTCATCCCAGCGCCTGAACGCTCACTTTCATTTGGTCCCTCAACGGCGTCTTGCACTGTGCTTGGATGCTCTTCGTGTTTGGGTTCATCTGTAACGGCAGCATTGTCTGCTGGAGTGTCTTCAGTCAATACAGTCTTTTCTAGTACCTCTAGGACGTTTACTGCTTCCTCTTTCCCAGCGGATACACAAGCTGCTGTTAATGTTAGTAACTGGTCTACACCTGCAGGTATGTGACCTTCCTGCTCAATCCCAGTATCTGGTGTAGTTCTCTCTGTGTTCTGGTCCTCTGCTTTCTCTAAAGAGGGACCTTCCTCTGTAACCGAAGCAATGACGCTACCAGTGTCTGGTTTACGGACGTCATCCAACCATATTGTTTTCTCAAATCCCAGAGTCGTTCCTCCCTCAATACTTTCTGTGACTACTTGCATACACGTCGATGTCCCTGCAAGCATTTTTGTTTCAGTTAGACTATCTATTACGTCAGATGGTAATGCTTCTGGTTCTTCAGCACGTTCTGTTTCCACAGCTTCTACTGGTGTTTGTTCTAGCTCAACTTGATTTTCCTGTTCGGGCTCATCTGTAATTGTTTCCACTACTGGAATATCCTCAGATATTACTTCCTTTTCAGGTGACAGAAGCATTGCCCCCTCTGAATCTGGTGGGTCTTCTGATTTGACTTCTTCATTTGGTGATTGCATGCTGCCTTCCTCTGAATCTAATGTTGGTGCTGGAACAGCTTCAGAGGCTTGTGGTTCTTTAGCGTGTTCAGTTTTACACGCATCCACTGGCACAACGATGTCTTCAGATAGATATATTGTTCCCTCTTCGGGTTCATCTGCTTTTTTATCTGGAAACATTTCTGATATCAGCTCTTTTTCAAGTGATTGAACGACACCCTCTGAATCTAATATTGGTGCTTCAATGACTTGACTTGGTGTTTCTGTTACTTGAACCATTTTCATAATATTCACTGGAAGTTCTTCATTTCCTGGCTCAACATTGACTTCAGGGAGAAACTGTTTGGGTTTGTCTGTAACGGTTTCTTCCGGTGGAACATCTTCTGATTTGGTTTCCTCTCTTTCTGATGGAACACTGCCTTCCTCTGAATCTAATCTTGTTTGTTGAACGGCCTCAAATACTTCTGATTCTTGAACATGTTCAGTTTTGGAAGCGTCCACTGGATCAAGAGTGTCTTCGGGTAGGCGCGTTGTTTCCTCTTTGGGTTCATCGGTTTCTACCACGATCAGTGGTATAAACTCTTCTTCAAGGGAACGAACACTGTCCTCCTCTGAATATGGTTTTGGTGCTCGACCAGCCTGAAATTCTTCTAGTTCTTGAACATTTTTCATACCGATCACATGTAGTTCATGGTTTTCTGGCACAACACTGACTCGAGTGAGAACCTCTGCTGGAACTGATATCACCTCTTTTTCAAATGATGGCACACTGCCATTTTTTGCAGCTATTTCTGTTGCATCTTGTTCTTGAACATGTCCAGTTGTGGAAGCGTCCACTGGCCCAAGATTGGTTTCAGGGAGAAGCATCATTTCCTTTTGGGGTTCATCCGTTTCTCCTCCTGGAACATTATCGGATATTACTTCCCTTTCAAGGGATTGGACAGTTTTCATAGCATTCACTTGTAGTTCTTGGTTTTCTGGGCCGACACTGACTTCTGTGAGATGCTCTCCTTCCAGGTTGGGTTCATCTGTAACCGTTTCTGCTGGCAGAATGTCTTCTGATTTTACGTCCTCTGTCGGTGATTGAAGGCTGCCTTCCTCTGGATCTAATGTGGAGGCTTTCTCAGCTTCGGATGCTTCTGGTACACGAACATGTTCAGGTTGGACAGCATATGTTTCTAAGTCATCTTTGAGTTCATTTCTAACAGTTTCGTCTGCTGGAATGGCCTTTGGTATTATGTCCTTTTCAAGTGATGGAACACACACACTTTTTGGGGTGTGTTCTTTTAATTCAAGAGTTTGTACATTTGCTAATTCTGACAAATATTCCACCTCTACTGGTTGTTGATTATCATTCTCAGATTGGACCCCCTGCTCCATAGCCACATCCTTAATTTCATCTGCCACTGTTGAAGCAAAGTCTGCTTCTTCAGAGTCTAGTTTAGGGGGCTCAGTTTCAGTTTGATGTGCCTCAACAAGAGACCCTTCATCTGCCAAAATTTTGTCCGCTTCAGCTAATTTAGTTATATTCTCTTCGACATCTTCTAATTCTGTTACGCTGTATTCAGGATGTGCAACTTCAACCTCTTCTACTTCATCTTCAGTCATTTCAGCAGTATTAAACTCCTCAGTAGGAGCTTCAGATACAATCTCTGTAGAAATGGAGTCATTGACTTCCAATACGCTCTCTAGTTGAGTGATGTCTACATTTTCAGTTTTTGTGTCCAGCTCCACAAGCTTTACGTCGCTGTCAATTTTAGTAACATCTAAACTTCTGTGTAATTCCAGAATTCTAGGTTCTTCCTTTACAAATGTTTCCAGTATTTGATGTGAGGCAGAAAAGGCTGTTCCTTCAGATCTTAATTCATATGAACAAACCGGAGCTGCCTCCGGACTTATGCCGATGGTTTCGACAACCTGGTACAGAAGCACATCTGTTTCCTCAACCACGTGTTCTGCTGGGACCGGTGTTGTGTTGCCGGACGTTTTGGAAGACTCTGAAGATAACTGGGAAACTGCAGAGATCATTTCGGTTGCATCTGCCAGGGTGATATCTAAATCCTCTGCAGCAGTAATGGCTTCAGATGTGATCTCTTTCAGGTCGTCCGCTATCGTATCATCTCTAGCCGCCTCCTCCGTGACCGAAGCTGGGGTGGCCTCCTCTGGAATGTCACTGAGTTGCGGTTTACTGATTGATTCTGTGAGATCATCAGGTTCTTCATCCGTAGCACGGTTTGTCGTTGCCTGGTTCTCTAAAGCGTCATTATTTCCTCTGACTTTCTTTGCTTCAGTTTTCAGATTGTCACAAGGTAGGACAGGTTCAGCCATCGGATCAAGAAGGTCTTGCTGGATTTCAGAGTCCTCTTCCTTGGGAAGAAGACTTTCAACGCCTGCATGTGGTTGTGTACAAACCTCTGTCTCAACTGTATCAAACTCAGACAATGGAACCACGGCTGGTGTGTCGGAGTCTTCTTCATCTGAAGCTGCTTCCTTATCAGTCTCATCTGAAGATACCTGGTCCTGCTTTTTGGCGGATTTTCTTTTTTTTCGTCCTGGGAGGAGTTTCTTTATTGACAATGCGCACTCATCTGAGTACCGTCACTATCAGACTGTACGTGTCTTTGCTGTCATCTCACCCTTGGCTTTCCTTTTAAGAGTTACAAGTTTCTTAAGTGATTCCCACGTTGACGCTCCGTTGCCCTCTGAAAGAACCTCCTGCTTGTTTGAGAGAATGTGCAAACATTTCATCAACCTCATTTTTTACGTCCAATTTAGATCCACCGTCTTCAATTTGAGGTGTTTCATCCTCAGAGTCTGACGTTTTTCAGACTTCTTCTCCTTCCGGATCTACAAAGAACAGAGTCCCACGAAACAGAGGAGTCTTTTCGTTTTTTGCCTTCTTCTGTGCTGTGGTCTGACATTTGCCCTCCTTCGCTTGGTTTTTGTTCCTCTGCTGCATCTGGGATTTGTGTCCCTTCACTAGTTAGGGAACATTTTCTTATGCGCTTTTTTGGAGTCACAAGCTTTTTAAAGGAAGCCCATGCACCTTCCTCCTCTCCGGCTGTCTCTCTAGAGGGTTGCACACAACCTTCTTCTTTCTGATTCTCAGCATTCCCAGTAGACGATAGGAGCTGATCTGACTCATCATCTCCAGAGTTGGACAATTTTGCATCACTGGATCTCCTGCTTCTTTGCTTTTTGGATAGTTTCTTTAAATTAGACCCTAGCAGCAGCCTTTTCATAGGACTGGCTTGGACTTTGTCCTTTTCTTGAGAACTCAGAAGTTCAGGCGCAGTGACAATGATGCTTGATGGGTCCGTGGATGCGTCCATCGCCTGAACTGTTGAGACGATCTCCCCTTTTAGTTCATGTTCCTCATCTTCTGTCTGAATTGCAGTTTCGTCAACACCAAGACCAACATCCTCTTTATCCTCTGGTTGGTCTTGTACTGTTTCGTCTGTCTTCTCTACGACCTCTTTTTTGCCTGTATCGTTCATTTCTTTGTCAGTCGTCTCATCTTCTGCAGGCTTCTTTTTCTTCCGTAGTCCAGAAAAGAGTCCTGTCGTAAAAAACCTTTTAACTGGAGATACAGCAACAACAACTTCTTCTTCGGGACTAGATAGAGAAGTGGGGGGTGGCTTTTCTTCAGTTGCGGTATCTTGGTTCACATCTTCTCCTGAAGGTGAAGGCATTGCTGCATTGCCATTGTCAGATTCAACCTCATGTTTGGTTTCTACCTCTTTCTCCTCCGCATCTTCAAGAACTTCCTCCGACGTAACGTCTGTCGGAGTTGGACATGTTGTTGAATCATTATCACATGTCTCCTGTGCCATGTTCACATCAGTGTTCTGTTCAGTAGTCTCACTAGTGGTTTCTTTTGTGGAATCCTCAACCTTGTCTGGTCTGTTTGGTTCTTCTTTGTTGGTATCATCGGGCACATCTTTTGGGATTTCACCTGAGCCCCTTTTAACTGTCAATTTCAAACCAATGTTACTGAAAAATCTCCTAAAACTTTCATTGATGTCATTCTGCTTTGCATTCATTTCAGTAATTTCCAGGGGTATGTCTTCATTAGCATCAGCTTCATTAGGTGAAGATTCCTTTTCATTTATTTCAGCATTTTCTAATAGTGTTTCTTCTTTAAGTGGCGTTTCTGTGTGTGAGACATCTTCGTCGAGTGAGAGGACAACTAAACCAGGAAATAAATGAATTATTAAGTACTTGGAGAGCGAGAAGTGTATAAAATGATGACAAACATGAAATCCAATGTATAATGTGTTGAAAACATGGTGACATTCTCCGTCAATAAGTAGTTCTAGCGTTAGAGCACTTACCCTTTCCAGCAATCTCATCCTCACAGTGACCATTAACTTCTGCTTTAGAGCTGTCGGCTTTTCCATTGATCTCAGAAATCTGCCCTTTGGTTTTGAACGGCTGAAACAAAACACAGAATTTAAACGTACAACTTGCTTTTCTGTCAAAGATTAGCTTGTAAAACAGACAATCAAATCAAATGTCTCATCTTTTAGTAGTCAATTTGAAACATTTCCTTGTATGTGGTAGTGATTTTTAAAAACAGTGGTTTCAGTTTAAACAGATGTGCAGAAACAACTGTTTGCTCATATTCAAAGCGAGAGTAATAAGATAAAGTCCCATTTAACATGGTCCAGTCAGTGTTGTGTTGATTTGATGGTAGTCTTACAGTTAACAAACCTTATTGTCAAATTCTCTAATCCTTGAGCCGGATTAGTGGGGAAAGTCTGAGCAGGGAAACAAGAAACGTGTTCTTTACCTTGAGAAAAACAAGAATTAAGCGCCTACACAAATAGCTGTATGGCTCCAATGGCAACGGCTTATAGCTGCTACGACTTTGTCGGACATTAATTCAGTAGAGCAATTTCTCATTTCACATGTTTGAACACAGTGACCCCACATAACGCACACATATCATTATTTTAATGGCATACAGCAGCATTTGAAACCACCTCTTTTTTTTCAAATGTGAAGAAATTAATTTAGAAATGTTGTAAAGGTGACACCAAACCAGCTTATTCACCCCTAAGTGTAACAATAACAACCCCACACATGAAACAGGACAGTATGCAAAGAGATTGAGCATCACAATATGACTACGGATGACTGTCAGCTGATTTCCAGTCAAAGGTTCACATTTCACATGTGTACTATAGGTGCTGTTAACAGGCATTGCTTTGTTTTAAGTCATCTGTGAAGCAAAATGATTGATTGCCTTGAAGAGAACCGTACTTATTAAAGCGGTTTAACTTCAGGAAACACAACTGAACTTGGGGGTTTTGGGGCTTGACTTTGTAAACAAATATCCAGAATAGTGTGACCAAAAAAAAGCTCTTAGTATGTTTTACAATTTATTTGGAAAAGAAAAAATCTGATAATATTCCTAAACTAAAGAAATAAATTGGAAGAATATTGTGTCTCTGTTTATTTTTACTTATTCTTAAAAACAAGTCATAAGACTTTATTCAAGATTAAAAGATACTAATGACAGTGACATATACTTATTCCATCCAAACATGTTATCACCCAAGTCACAAAGGTTAAAACATCCACACATTCATCTAATTCCTCCTCTGCATTAAGTGATGCTGTAATACACAAGTAATCAATGTTGCCTTCTGCAGCGTGCAGCGAAGGGGAAATTCCATCTCTCCCCTAGGCTTTACTCAGGTTCGTCTGAGAATGAAAGGTCAATATTCCTCCACACTATTTCCTTTCATCCATAATAAATGCAAACAAAACCTTGCTTGATCAATAAAACACTGAGTTTTGAGAAGTCCACTAGCAGCTCCTATACGGCAGACTTAGCCCCAAACTACCAAAGCAAGAATCAATAACCAATGGGACCAATCCCCATAGACAATTTAGAAAGAAACGTTTTGGAAAATGTATCCAGGAAGAGTTGTTGTAATAAATAAGTGAGCTTAATGTGCTCGATGATAATTCAAATGGAACAAGGACTTTCCCTTCCTGCTGCTCAGCTCCTGCACCGTCCGTGCTGACAGCAACAGCACATTGCAGAGTCAGCATTTCAATGACACGTGACAAAATGCTTTGTACCAAAATAATGTGTTCCTGGAAATATGCCCATGGAGACAAAACCGAATTATAGATACGATTCGGCTTGGGTTATCTGCATTATCTGGGGGGCGGCGGGTACCTTGTCTTCGATATTCTGCTCAGTCTGAGCATCATCCACCTTTCCGCTCTCCTCCCCATCCGCTGCATCCTCCTCGCGGTCCCGTTGCGCAGACTGAGCGTCTCCCATTATCGGAGCTGCAGCGCGTCACAAGTGATGGAAAGATCCCAAATGCGCACCGGGGGGGGGGGGAAGAAACGACCCGCTGTCCCTCCGCGAGAGGACGTTCAGCTCTCAAACACAAGCTGGAGGGTGAACTGGTCTTTTATAACCAAACACCTCCCTGCAGGATCACATGAACCCTATGAGCCTGAGCCGAGCCCGCCACGGCCCAGCCCGGCCCGGCCCGGCCCGGCACGCCTCCGCTGTATCACACTAAGAATGAAGGAGGAAGTAGGGGGAAAAAACACGTCTTGTCTTCCATCTCCGGTTTTCAGTTAATGGACTTAAAAGTCATAAATAAACCGCAGAATAATGTGATTAAAATGAAACATCTTTAGCATGAATAAAGTGCATTCTCATGTTGTTTCTTTCATGTATGCGCATCCGCATCTGAAACATTTGAAAGACTGTGTAACTTTTAAGGGGAAGTTGGAGCTTAGAGGTGAGAAACATGTTTGCTGAGTGCAGAGGACATTGAGTGCTTATGATCTGTCATCACCTCTCACATTAATGTATTCACACAAGTTGCTTCAATAAGGGGACCAAAGTATTTTGAAACGCTTCTGCAGTCTAATATTTTATCGTGATTTATGACCCTTCTGTTATAAGCTGAAGAATTAAAAACAGGACTCCTGTCATATTGCAAATTGAAGATAATTAGTTTTTCCAAAGAATGCTTTCTTGATGAACAGCATCTGTGATTTGGCTGTAAGTCATACTGAAATAATTTGTATTTTTAAACTCTTGACGTCACTCGTGGTTGGCCACTAATGACCGACCCAATTTTAGAGATGTACTTTTATGATAAGGAATTTGTATTGTTGAATTGGGCTTATTATAAACATTTAAATTTTTCAATGTCCCAAACCGATTGAATTAAGACACGAATATTTAATGTATTGAATCACGTAGTTACGTTTGTAAAGCATTTCTTAAGAGCTTTATTATTGTGCATTTTACTGGCGGGATTGCGTGCAGCAATGCTAGCGAGGCACGGCCACAGACCTTAAGAGTATTCTGCACTATTGTTCAAGCTGCATTGCCCCAGACGTGCTTCTTATAATGAGCTGACTCACTTCAAGTGAACCGTCAGAAGAGATAGAACACTATCTAATTCCAAATGATAATTTACAAAGAAGCCACTTTGTCTTTGTGATCAATTTATCAGAGCAGATGTGATTTTCTGTCAAAACATTTAGTCTCCTTTTAGAGAAGAGGTTTCTTCTTTCAAGACATTGAAGATTTTAGATTGTATGACTCTATACCCCAGATTCAGTTAAATATCAGAGTCCTCCTGCAGTGGCTTCTTTGTCAGGAGAACTTAAAAACCAAAGGGATGGCACCTTGAACAACGCGAGAGCTTGGGAAATATCTCTAAACTCATGACAGACACATGCTAATTTGGTCAGATGCTCTGAGACACTGCAGCTTTTATGTGAATCTTAGTTTGAAGCCAATAAGTTAAATCAATTAGAGTCACAACATTGGGTAACTGGAAACAGCTGATGTTTTCTTCACTAATTACAGTAACCTGACGACCTAACGGGCCTGATGCAATGTACTGTTTTTTATCCCTGGTGGTTTCAGGATATCGAATAAGTGCACGGCTGTAAACCATGAATGACTCTCTTTTTCATGCCTTCTTCAAGTCCTGCTCTGCACTTTAAGTTAGTTTTGATCTTGAAGTTTTAGTTTTTTCTCTATGTTTTGCAATTAATTAATGAATTTGTTTGAACAGAAAAATAATCAAGAAATTCATTTCCTTTTGTATTCTTACAAATCCAACAATGTTGTTTTATTTAGCCGGTTCATAATTGGATTATTAAAAGACATCCATCTCTTTAGACCTTGATTATGTAATGCAATGTGTTTTTTCTTTTGTGTGAAACTAAAAAATATATTTTAAATCTTCATCTCTAAAAACCAATCTGCAAAGCCATTCCAGTGGCATTTAGAAACAGGGGATTATCAAAAGCAAACATTCTTGGCATATTCAACAGAAAACATTCCTCGGTCTCTTAGTGCTGCGCCTTGAATCCAAAACACAAGTTAAATTTCACCATATGACATGTTCAGTTCCTGAGTGATGAACATGAGAAACCTGCTGCCCAAATCAGAACCAGCTGACAGAAAAGAGTGAACTATTTCAACCTGAACCTTGAGCTGGTCGGGTTGTTTGGCTTGTGTTTGGTTCTGGAAATCAATACAAAGAAGAGTGTAGTGCGTTAAAAGGAATAATCCCCCAAATGTAGAGAGAATGAATGTGTTCAAATGAACACAGTGACACAGCCTTCAGACTTGTATTTCTCTGATCAACAAACGCATGTAAATATAGTTGTGCTGGACAACAATCACAATGTTACTTGCAATTTTCAGCGATTGATTGCAGTTGTTATGGGCAAAATTCATTAAGCAGTACTTTTTATTTTAAATGCACTGCTATATAATGAAAAGTGCAATAACCTTTGGTTTCCAAACACTTTGAACACGTGAGATGCTTTTTAACAGCAGCATTCCCTTTACACAGTCTCAGCTAAATCAAATCAAATGTGAAACCAAAGCTACACACAACGGTGACCCTCAGAACCCAACATAATAGGCCAATTAAGACTGATAAATCTGAACAGGTACCCAGAGAAACGTTTATCTTTTATCAGGGAGCAGCACAAATCGATCCATCAATAATCAATGTTGAGTAGCGGGTCTCCCTGTTAGAGCGACTCCAGCAGTAAGCACACAGCTGAGATTCACCGTCGAGGGACTCTTTGGTCTGTGAAGTTCATGTTTGTACTGGATTTCCTTTGGAGAATCTGAGTCACCTGCTCGCTTCTGTTTCGGCTGCGCCCTCAAAAGGCTCTCATTGGTTAAGACGCCGATGACGCCCCTCCCAAAGCTGAAACCGATCAACATCCCACCCTGCCTGTGACCACGGTTCGTCCCTGTGTGCATCCGGAGCGAAGTGAACAACAGACGTTCAAAATAATGATAACAATACAAAATGCATTAATGCACGATAATAATTGTTGCCGTTAATTAATTAATGCATTGAGGCGATAATACCGAGTTAACTTGCCCAGCCATAGAGTTTAGTGTAAACACAACCTGAGAGTGATTTTCTAATTGCAAGTCAGTTCATAAAACATTTCCTCCTCAACAGCTTGTGTCACTTCATCCGGTTTCACTTCACATGTCAAACACTGTGGTACCGCTGACATCTGCTGGACAAATGAAATACTCAGTTATGAAGTAGAATGGACGAAAATACAAGTCTGATTTTGTTTTAACAAAGAACGTTGACTCAGTCTTGTGGGTTGAGAATTATAGGCGTTAAACCTATAAACACTTTTCTCTGTCAAAAAGCACTAATCAGACCAACGGATCATACAAAGTCTTGATTCCCACACCAAGCGAAATGGAACAACTTGTTTGAGGGGAAATTTTAACCTCATTCATGGAGTCTTTTGTTCCCTCAGAATCACGTTTCCGACACTGAAAAATTGACACATAAAATCTGCTATAAATAACCTTTGTGGAAAAAAAGCCACAGTGACTCGATTGTAAATGACTAATGACATCGTGCCACCGATGGCTGTGGAGATGACACAGAGTCACACGACTTCCTATGCATCAACTGAAAAATAGATTTTCTTTAAATACACTTGTTTTTTTCTGGCTGAATGACTTAGGACGACAGTTGGTGGTTTCACATTGTGCACTGCGAGAACGAGAACTTGAACGCGTGAGATGAAACTGAAAGGAAAGGTCGTGCTTCTGCAAGACGTCGTCACTTGTTATCACGTGAAAGCATCGTTCAACCCCTTCTCAAGATAACTTATCTGAAATAGTTCCTCGTTATTTTTATTTAGATATCTTAAAGCTATCATTTGTATCTTATAACAACCCTTATTACACACTTACAAAAGTGTCCATGAGTGACAGTTGAGAATATAGAAAACTGTAAAAACCAAAGTATGTCCTCTTTATGAAGACTCGCTGAATGTCACTTCATGCCTCCATGTGACGCAATGGGAATGTAGAAGGTTTTGTTTCCTCCTAAACAGGTGTATAAGCGAAGATAGTTCACTTTTTTTTAGAATCGTCCTCTCTTAAGTGTTGCCACGCTGAAGATCTGAACTATTATTGTTTATTTAATGATCAGCACGAAGAGCCGGCAAACTGCATCTACAGATAACAAAGTCCCACCGGTGTACGGTATGGTGCTTCTCTCATTATAAGTTCACGTATTCCACGTTTGACATTTTAAGTATTACAAAAAAAATACTGTACAAGTGAGAAAACCTCAGAACGAGGTATCTTTAAACTTAGTCTTGTGGGAAAAGTTTGAAAATAAGGAGAAAAGACAATCAGATTGTTGTAAAAAATAACTTCCAGACTCACGAGTTTCTGCATTGACCCAAAAGGGAATTACACACATGCTGAAATACTTTAATACTTTTATGCTTTAAAATTAGTTTGGTAAATCCTGAAAATGTATTAAATGTCTCCATAGTAGAAAATTCTCACAGCTGATTCACAAATTGATTACAGAAGCCTTTGATTGGTGTGTGCGCGAGCGACCGAGTCCAGGCCTGATGTCTTCACTCCGGAAACGTAGAAGCTCGTTTGTCACATTCACTCCTTCTCTTTTTATGTCTCTGGTTTAGTTTATATACCAGTGTTACCTTCTCTAATTTATGTCAGGAGCCTTAAAAGTCTTAACTTCCGGTGTCAGAATCACTGCTCTAGATCACAAGCATGGCAGATATGTTCTTACACCGAACTAAATCAGAACCTTTTCTCTCTCGTCGTCCTTCCAGCCATGAAAGACAGGCTGAGTCACCTCCGCCAGGTGGAGACCGACCCTGAGGGCGTCAGCGCGGTGGAGCTGGACTGTTTGTCGGCGCGTGCAGCCGCAGCGCATCCTGACCAGGACCTGGACGGTGTCCTGCAGGAGGCCCGGCACATACGTCTGGAGATCCAGCAGATCCAGCAGATCCAGCAGATGGCCAGCTACAATGACGCCGAGGTGAGCCACAGGGAGGCCTGCGAGCGACACATCCGCATGCAGATAGTCCACTGATGGACCGGGAGGTCAGCGGGCAGGAGATGGAGGAGATGATGTCGAGCGGGGTGTTGGAAGTGTTCGGCGCGCAGGCGGAGGGCGAAGCGGCTCGCTCCGCTCTGCTGCAGATCCAGAGTCGGCAGGAGGAGCTGCTGGAGCTGGAGAAGAGGATCCAGGGGATCCAGGAGCTGCTTCTGGACGTGGCTTTGCTCACAGAGGAGCCGCAGACAACATCCAGAAAAACGTACAAAACACAGAAGTCATGGTTCAGGGCGCCGTGGTGCAGCTGGACAGAGCGAGGACCTTTCAAAGAAACAGTCCCTTCAAGAAGTTGCTTTGTTGATGTTTTACCAATTAGGTCTGATGAGGGTCAGTGGCTCCATCCTGCGGCCCTCCAGTACAGCTGGTTGTCTGATGTTGTGTTTAAAGCTGCACCAATGAATACCAACGGTACAATGAATTAAGACACAAATGATCTGTATCTTGAAAACACAAACTCGATGATGGCTGTTCTGGAGCTTATGAAGATTGTATCGTGAGACGGAATGAGCCTGATCCTGCGGCTCTTGGTGAGCGTTGAGGCACAACGACCACAGTGGATGCATCTGTTAAACAATTCAGTGGAAGGTTTAAATACTGATATTGGTGGTCTGAAGTTAAACATTTTGCGAGTTACAAACAATCAATAGAATCAACTTAGTATGGCTCAGTTAGCACTCACCATATCAGCAAACAGCTGTTCGGTCTGGTAAGTAACTTATAACATCTGGCATGGAGGCCTGTTAGCATAAAGCCAGCAGTTCTGAAGCTTTGGATCAAATAGAAATTATGTTGTTTCCAAAGTCAAGAATTTATTTTAAATATTTAGGCCAACAGGGACATGATGTCCTTCGAGGTGTTGAAAGGAATGTAACCATGACAACTGAGGCTCCTTCTGCCGATGAAGGCCATGTGACAAATGCATGAAAGCTTATGTTGGAATGTAAAGTTGCTCAAATGATGAGCACATATGTTCAAATTTGAGATTGTTCGAGTTGACGTGTGTTTCCTTTCATGTTAGTCCAGGGGTCTTCAACGTTTTTCAGGCCAGGCCCCCCAAACTGATGGCGAGATGGAGCAGGGACCACCTATATTCTACGGGGTTTGGTCCAACATCTTTTATTTTTGAGCTTCACGCTCTTTAGACGTGAGCATGAACGCGATCTGATTGGCTGCTGTTGTGTTTGATGAAGATGACGTCTTCTCCATCAATTTATCCGTTCGCTACAATATGTTGGATTCATGTTAATCTTTATTTAAAAGTCTGATTCTGATTAGGAAGACATTTAAATTTGTGGAAATAAAATTGGTTGGAAAAAAAAAGAAAAAAAGAAATTGTCTTATAAACCAAAACTTTCGCGACCCCCCTGCAGTACCTCCGCCGACCCCCTGTTGATAGTCCATACTTCTCCTCCGCCAATACAATCATTTGCAAACATATGTTTATTTGTGATTGAAAGTGTAACCTGCAAAACACATAAACTGTAGTAGTAGTAAATATTAAACTACCCCGAAAGGGTGTGACTGTTTTTACACCTTAATATATATAACGCGCTTCACGCTCAAAGAGCGCGATGGTTGCGTCCTTCCTGGAGTCACAGGTGGGTGTGTGTTAAATGTGTGTGTGTGTGTGTGTGTGTGCGTGTGTGTGTGTGTGTGTGTGTGTGTGTGCGTGCGTGTGTGCGTGTGCGCGCGCGCGCGTTATCTTCCGCGTTGGTACTCGCTGCACGTTGTGTCAGTGTAGTGTGCGCGTGTGCGTGCGCGCGAGCAGCCGGAGGATTATCTTGACTACATGTTGAAATTCAACACATAAAGTGAAGAAAAAGAGGAAATGAGTGTTTCCGCGGCGGTGTCTTCTGCTTCAGCGGGTGTGAGTGAGTAGGACCGGCGGAGGACACGCTGCCAGCAGGTACGCGAGCTTCACTTGTGCGTATTAAGTCGTTTTGTGTCGCTGAAATATAAACACTTGAGGTTTAATGCCTTCATGGGGTCATAAAGGACTACAGGCTCATTTCAGAGCCGCTTGTGTTGTTGTGGATAATTCATTTTCGCTTCACCCCTACATCCTTTACGCGTTTACTGGTGCGGTTTCTCTCCATAAATACAACTTGTTTAGCGGCACGTTAAGTAACAGTTTGTCTCGATGAGGCGACGCTGTCATTAACATAAAAGTCCCAGCTGAGGAAGTTACCATCAGTTTCCTGGTACTATTATGAGAGGGCTACAAGTATAATACGGATTCCTTTTCAAATGTAACAGTAACATTTTCTAGATTTAAAGTTATATAAGTTAAATATTAAAAAGGGTTCCAAATACAAGTAATTACAGAGTAATTTGGCCCTAAATGACATTTGTCAAAATCTAAAGGGCTTAAATTCTTCCAATTAAAATAGGATAAATGTAGTGTAGGAAGAAGCATTCAGACTGTTTACGTTGGTTGAACAACGCTACTAGTTAAAGTCAGCAGTATTTTTAATCAGCAAACTGTCCTTAAAATTTAACAGTCCTCAATCTGCCGGAAAAAGGAGACCATGGCTGATTACTGTGTAGTGTTATCGTATTTTACACATCAGTGGATTGTGAATAGTAATGCAGGAGTGTGAAAGCAGCATCATGATGTGCAGCTGATTGAAGATGTTTGAGCTTCACAGCTCCAGCGGTTGCCAAACGGGTCAAAAATGGAAGTTTGTGAAATATGGTAAAAGACGGAAACACAATGCCTAGCAGCTTTGGCACCACGTTTGTAATGTTTACGCTTTTGTTTGGTACAGATTAAACAAATATCAGATATTTAGGGCTGCTTTGTGGATTGTCCATCACCGAGTGAATAAACAGATCCCCCCAGATCCTCTATTTGTCTGATGAGTAGAGGTCAGTAAAGGCTCCCGACTCCTCTTGCAGGTGAGATGAGGGACCGAATGTGTGAGCTGGTGACCATCACCTCCAATCCAGCAGAGGACCGCGGGCTCGAGGAGAACCCCGACAACACCGGCGAGGATGAGGATGAGGAGCTGTCCCAACAGGCCATCGTGTTCGAGGGCGAGGACGTGATGGACAACGTCTACAAAGAGGCCCAGGCCATGAGGAAGGACATGCAGCTGCTCAAGCTGGACGTGAAGCGCCTCGGGAAGCAGAACACCAGGTTCCTCACGTCCGTCCGCAGGTTCAGCAGCATCAAACGGGACTCCAACGCGCTGGGGCGGGAGATCAAAGCCAGGGGGGACGCCATTTACGCTCGGCTGGAAAAGATCAGGAAGCTGAGCAAAGAGCAGGAGGAGGAGCACGGCCCCGCATCCGCTGTGGCCCGCATGGCGCGCTCCCAGTGCGTGTCTCTAACCAGCGCCTTCCACGACGCCATATCCGAGTACAACGAGGCGGAGATGGTCCAGAGGGAGAACTGCAAGACTCGCATCCAGAGGCAAGCGGAGATCATGGGCAAGGAGGTGAGCAGGGAGCAGATTGACGAGATGATCGAGACGGGCAAGTGGAACGTCTTCTCCGATAACCTCCTCCTGGAGGGGAGGACTGCCAGGTCTGCTCTCAGTGAGATGGAGACCCGGCACAAGGAGCTGCTGGAGCTGGAGGGCCGCATCAGGGACATCCATGAGCTCTTCTCGCAGATGGCCCAGCTGGTGGAGGAGCAGGGCTGCATGCTGGATAACATAGAAGCCAACGTCGGTGCGACTCAGGACTATGTCGTCAAGGCCACCGCTCACATCAAGAAGGCCGTGAAGTACAAGAAGAACAATCCGTGCAGAAAACTCTTCTGCTGTTGCTTCCCTTGCTGCAAGTGAGACTGCACCAGTGTTACTTTCTAATTTGGCTTCAGTTTAGCTTCCTATGCAAAGACGCCTCACATAGATGGTTTTAGTTTCTAGTTTGTGTATTTATTTAAGTGAAATTAAGCCTTGACGTCACTGTTAAGCAGAAGTTGGGTCCACGTTTTCAGCCCAAGTTGCCAGTAGTTTGAGCTGTTCTGAGAAAAGCCCCCTATTTCAAACCACACAACCATACACAAATACAATTGTGTGTTACTTCCTGATGGTTACTAAGAATGTGAGCATGATTGCTGTAGAGACATATATAGTATAATGAGTAACCCTCCGTCTCATTCTTCAATATTCTGCTGTTTTGCTATGTAAGATGTTTAAGTAGTGTACATATGCACAGCCTGAATGTAGCTGCGATGTTAACGGAACCTGTCGGTATGTCTGCTTCACACTGCAGCCATTACTAAACAAGCCTTAGGAAACTCACAGCTACTAGTTGTGGTTAGCTGTAGAGGCGAGATAGATTGCGCAACGGCGTGTCGGCCATCCCCGTGTTCTGCATCCTCATCATCGGCTTTAGGTCGGGCTTTGGGTTTCTCAAGACCCGTTGCTTCACGTGAAAGACAACACTCTTTGTAATGCCTCCACTTTTCAGACATTAAACTGTGTCATCTTGAAGCTTTCCTGTAACTTCCCTGATCCCCCCACTCACCCTGTCCCCGACACATACACACACACACACACACACACACACACACACACACACACACAATCAGTCAGATTTGCTTTACGGGGAAGGTTTGCTCAGATTGTTTCCGTATAAAAAGAGGCACCGGAATCAATGTGTACATGAGTGTTTGCTCAGGTGGAGAATGGGAATCCAGTCAGTTCTCTCTGTTTGCACAGCAGGCCTGTCTTGTTTATAGAGTGTAGTCGTAGCCAAATTGAAAATGTCAATGCAGTCCATCATGCACTGGGGGATTCCCAGTTGCCACCAGTAAGTAGACAGAACCCTAGAGACCATTGTCATTCTCCATCCCGCCGCCCACACGTACTGCCACACCAGTGGGTGTTTTCACAGTTGCAGTGTTGCAATGACTGCATTTACTCGTCACCACTGAGCGGTTAGTGGTGTCAATTTACTGGAAGCATTACTAAGCATTACTGCACATTCATGCCATGACGGTACAATTAAGTATTTTTACTTCATTGTAGTATTTAAAATATGTTATTTCACAGTTCTTAAATCAGTGTTTCACTCAAGATGCAATGGATGGTCTTCATGGGTTCAAACCCCACTCCTGGTAGGATGGCGTAGTTAATGTGAAATTGTCTGACCGATGTGTAATACGTTGGCTTCTGTCACAGTTAATTTGGTGACATGCACTAATTCAACCTATATGTACTTCATCGTCGTTCTGTTTCATTTAACGTTACACGAACAGCAACAGGTGCATGACAGTTGGTCAATGCTAACGAGCTAATCAAGTCACAGCTGCAGACAATTAACAGCGGTTCAGACGCAGAGAGCCTGACACACAGGACCGATACTGCAAGGCCGCTGCAGGCAGGTAAGACTATGACATTAGGTTCCTTTTTTGCAATAATGGGTAAATGTAGGCAGCATATCTCACCGTTAATTCAACCTTTGAATGAATATTCTGGCCCGAATGTAAATAAAAGTAATCCAACAACAATACTCCTACCAACAGAACGGCTAACGGTTCAGTTGTGATAGAACAGGTTGGCATTTTATTGCCACTGACATAGTTGAAGAGAAATTTGAATTCATTCTTTCTGTGTGATACGACTCCATGTGATTCATTTCTACTTAAAAGAACAATTTTACCTTGATTTAGCATGAACTTACATTAAAATGATCCAAAAAGCAAGCGACATGCTGATCTGTGGCAGGAGGGTGTTGACTTAACAGTTCCGTCTTCAGAGAAACCTGCCCATCCGTTATGTTGAGCTATATGTTGAGCTCTGGTGCCATCTAGTTGTGAACAGATAGAAACCACAATCCACACAGCACAATCACAATTATAGGGAAGCCTTGATAAAATACACAATACAACGTAAACCCCTACATGTCAGCCCTTTTATTAAAAAAGTTTGAACGGCCACGTATTATGTTATTTGTCTCCATGGCCTCATTGTAAGGTAGTCATGAATCCATCCATTCATACATCGTCAAACCGCTTATCCTGCACACAGGGTCGCTGGAGTCCATCCCAGCCAACTTCAGGCGATAGACAGGGTTCATCCTGGACTAGGCGCCAGCCAATCGCAGGGCTACACAACCATTCACACATCTACGGGCAATTTAGAGTCCCCAATTAACCTGATCCCCAGAGCATGTCTTTGGACTGTGGGAGGAAGCCGGCGAACCCAGAGAGAACCCACGCAGACACGGGGAGAACATGCAGACTCCACACAGAAAGGCCACTGGGCGGAATCGAACCCAGGACCTTCTAGCTGTGAGGCGACAGTGCTAACCACCACCCTGTAGTCATGAATATTTATATTAATTCATCCCTCACATGGTCACATTGACCATTAGGAGGGTTCAATTATTCCCCCCCAGAGTTCTGCAAACTTGAATGCAGCGTTGAACTCCTTGCGTTTTCCTTTTTATTGAAATGTCTTGTTGCTTAAAGTGTGCACGGCTACCTCCCTACGATTTGCACTATTAACACTTATGCAAAACCTTTAGTGATTTGTTAAAACCAAGCCATGTGAAGCATGTGATCTATAAAAGAAATACAAAAGCATTTAAAAACTGAGATCCTCTTTATTAAAATATTCAAAGTCAAACAAATGAGGCTGGCGTATTGTAGTGAAAAACACACTTCAGCAGGAGTGAAAACAAAGTGCCCGCAGTACATTACAAAAAGGACTAAAGACCAATTTAAATGTCTAGGTCATCCACTGGACTCCACCCACTCAGAATAAAGACATGCGATCAGATCTGGCTGAGTTCAGTTGTTTAATATGACAAGTTTAAAAAAGAAAAGTTGAAAATGTGACTCACTGTTCCTGAGAACTAATCCGTAAATATTTTACAAAGGTGTCAAACTCTCATGCAAAACACGTGGGAAGGAAATTCTGGTACTTCGACAAAGATAACCCATCAGCCTTCTATCTCAACTTGTACAGTACATGCATTGATGTGCAAATCAGTAATTCAAATTAAAAAACAAAAAATCTACAAGAGGCCATTTTTTTTTCTCCAAACAGTACCTGTACAAAAAAGAAAAAGACAGACATGGATTTGGACACATTAGCGTAAAAACACAGCTTAGTTGACATCTTTTGGGCTTTACATCCAACTTCAAAAATATATATTTTTTAAAACAAAATCACACAATTTCCTTCAAAGGATTATAACCGTTTCTTAGCAGTAATCGGTTACTTTTGCAGTGATACTGTCAAACAATCTCCAATGCGCAAAACATGTTCACATAAATGAGCCAAATGTGGTTCGTTAGACCGTGTTTCTAAATCCAAACAAGAAAAATAAGGTGTTCAAGTGTGATCGCTTCACAGAGCGTTACCGAGCCTTAAAAACACGACACTGATGGCAAACGTGTCGTTCGTTCGTTCCGCACTGAAAAACACTAATGTTTTTAGAATACTGAGCGGCTCACCGGTCTCCTTAGACCCCGTAATAATCAAGCAGCTGACAAGTCGTCGGACCGCTGGTTGGCTGGCCGGTTTTAACGACCACGCGGCTTCAAAGCTTCATGCTACGACCCTGAGACGGCAACGCATTTGAACAGCGTGGACGTGTAGTGAGAAAAATCATACAACCATGATAAATAGTAACACGATTAGTGGCGCTCATTACCGAGGGGAACACCTGGCCTGCAGGGTTTCATCAGGGAGCGAGACCGAGCTGACCGCAGTCGCTGATGGATTCTTTTACTCCAGCAGTACATTCATCATTTTATTTGCTACATTTGTTTTTGTATAAAACTTTCACACGATTGCTGGTTAAATGTAGCCGGTAGAAAGAGACCAACCACAGCTAAAAACTTTTGGCTAGTGAGTAGTGTTGCTTCCATCAAGAGGTGCGATAAAAGGAAGCCGGACCGCATCCTCTTACTGCTATAATGTGACGGACCACCCTACACTTAAAAACACCAAACGCGATGATGGGGGGTGTGCTTGTGAAAAAAAAATCAACACCCACATTGGAAACAAAATCCAGTGATGTTGCTTACCACAGACGTTTGGTCTTAAATGTAGACTAAAGCCATGAAATATCTATGAGCTCAAAGCAGAACACATGTGGTCACTGCGTGTCAGGATAAAATACAAAACCGTGCAAGAAAACAGTAAACTGTAAATCTCACTGAGATGTTTAACTCCGTGCCCACAAAATCAAGTTTCATAAGTTAAGGCTGTACTCTTACCTCCATTGTAGCGCAGTACTGCAAATAAAAATCTACATCTGTTTTTTCATACAATGTCAGAGCAGATGAAGGTAAAACTTACACTGGTAATAAATCCATTAGAATGGAAGATACAAGGCGAGCCTTTTAATGTGCTGGTTTACGATCTGGATCTGTGACATGGGAGACCATTACTTCCAACGTGAGGCAACGGGCAAAACACCATCTAATGTTTCAACCAGGAGTTGTTGTTTTGAGGCAGAAAGAGACGTACGTCTGTAAACACTGGAGGGAAATGCACAGGTTTTTGAGTTCTAATGGTCGCCGAAAAAAAAGTCCAAAAGATGTCTTTGTCTTTCGGGATCACTTAGGCTACCGGTTTGAGAACTGAGCGTAAACACCTTCCTTCTTTTGTGAGCTCTCTGGTGAAGCACATGCACGGCAGAGGGATCGCCTCCTCCCGGCGGGCGACCTTGTTGAACTGGCACTTCTTGAGGTGGTCGGCCATGCTGGCGATGTTGGCAAACTTCCACTCGTTCACTGTACCAAAGGCCGTGCTGAATCGCCACACCTGAACGACACAAACGAGACACAATGGATCAGCTACAAGAGAAGCCAGTTATCAAACTTCTTTCTAAATGGCAATAAATCAACCAACCTTGTCGGTGATCTGCCATGTAGGAGACCCGTCGGCACGCCGCTTTTTCTCCCACAGCAGGACGACCATGCCGCGCATCTGAAGCAGACTGGCGCACACGTCCCTCATGGTGCGGGACACCCTGGACAGTTGGCACAAGCTAAAGCTGTCCAGGAAGCTTGCTGCATGCTGCAACACTTCGAACGGGAGATTGCTGAACTGATCGCACCGAGAGCCGAGGCGCCGGGGTTTCCGTGGAAGGTTTTCCCCAGCATTCAATGGCAAACCCGGCTTGACCCCGAATGAGCCGAGGTGCCGGTCGTGAATGATTCTGAAGCCCTGTACGGACGGGCAGAATCGCCGCTGGGAGTAGGTGCAGCCGTAGTAAGCCAAGGGGCACCGTTGCTCCATCCAGCCATTGAGTCCCGCGTGAATATCCCCGTGAACATTTTTGAAATGAGACGAAAACTCGTCTCGCCGGAATAGCTGCCCACACACAAAGGTGAACATGGAGCGCTGCTTTGTTTGGTATCGAGCCACGCATTCGAGCACCAGGTCCAGCCTGAGGGTGTGGAAGGGGCTCGGATTGGAGAGCTGCGGGCTAGCGTGATCGCAGGCCGAGGCTGAAGCGATGTCTCCCACCATGGTGTTGGTGGCCAGAATGGCCGACGGGAAGGAGAAAGTCTGGGTGCCGAAGTCAATGTGGTAGCCGTCGACAAACCTGCTGTCTGAGATTCCCCGCCCTCCCGGAGAGTCGCCCAGGCAGAAGAGCAGCGCCGCAGTGATGAGGTCGATGCCGTGGAGGCCCATGGGGTCATCTGCTACTTCCAGGTCCGACGTGTCTACTGACTTGTCCTCCATCTTTGCTCGAAACAGGTACGGGTCCGACAGCAGCGCCCGGCGTCCGTTGAATGTAAACATATTCATCCCTCTGAGCACTTCCACGTTCTGCAGTTTACGCTCCAAACACCTGTACCGCAGTTCAGTGGGCAGCTGCTGTAAGAAGTTATTCCTCACGTGCTCGGACAGCAGGAATGGCATCGGATGCGGAACTTGAGCTTGTTGTGGCACAGGAGGTTCCAGCGCTACAACCGGCATGTAGTCCTCCGGAGGCACCGCCGGCCAGACGTGGTTGGAGTCATTTACGGTCTGCTCGACAATGTTTTCCTTCTCTTCAAAAAACAACTCCACAACATCATTTTCTTCTACCCAGCCGGTGGCCTCTTCCTCTCTTCCATCCGTCTCGACTGCGCAATCCACTCCGCCCACCGCTCCGAGCTCACAGTCTGAATCAGAGTCGCTCCCTTGCATATCTACGTTCCTCCCAACCTCCGCGACATGACCATCACCATTTTGGAGTGGTCCATTTTTCCCCGTCTTTTCGCCATTCAAATTTCCAACAATAACTTCAATATCCTTGCCATTGCTGAGGATGTCCAAGGCAGCTGCTAAACTTCTGCTCGTCTCCACTGAAGCTCTGTACAAGCCGCTATAGGGCTCCTCCTCCATTTCCACTGTTGCGGTACCAAACGCTGTCTCTGGCAGACTCGACGCCGTGGCCATTTTATCACTTTCATCTGCCGCTTTATTGCCATTCTTTGACACGGTGGTCGTGACTTTCAGGGACTCCAACAGCATCCTCTGATCCTGCAGAGCCAGGGCCATGTCTAGCTGCTCCACCTCGTCAAAGTCTTTGCTCAAGTTTTCATAGGACTTGCGATCAGAGTAGCTCACGGGCCAACGATTCCACTCCATGGTACAGCACACTATGCTGGCCGGGCACGTGGCCAGGTGCTTTGCCATCCTGATCCTCGCGATGGTGAACGGGCAGCCAAATCCGCTGTTGAGGCACGCCAGCCGCTCATACGGGCACAGTAGACGGTGTTCCTCTTGTTTGCACGAGTGAAAAACCGCGCCGCAGACAAGAGGGCAGCAGATGAGGGTGCAGCACACGCCCGCCTCCGGTCTCAGCATGCATCTTCTGTTGAAGCACTTAAGGCAGTGGGAGTGCAGGCCCTCCATGTTCTGTGTGTCGCTCCTTGCCCAACTGGTTCTAGCAGGAAAAAGCGGTTCGACCCTGAAAAGTCAACAATAATGGTTACTTCACGCTTGTTGAAAGTAAACGCCAGCCATTAACAACAAAGCATGACGGCGTCACGTGATCCCACGAACACTATCGCAACCCACATACCTTCTATTCCGTAACTCCCACACGTGTTCTTTCTCTGCGTGTTTACTAGACGTTAAAGACGGTCTCGTAATCTTTCACAACACGTGTTGACGCCGATTCTTTCGTGACTAGGTATCCCTCTCCTTGTGGCTCTGAGAACTTTGCCTCCAATTGAAGAATTTCAACCTCCGTAAAGCCTCCGAGTAACGAGCCTCGGGCTTAATTGTTTGAAGGGATTTGCAGGATAACGAATGAGTCAACAATGTCCACAGTCATAGTAAGAACCCGCAAAACCCCGCTGGTGAACTATTGTCATGTTAAAGTCTGAGCAGCCACGGTGAGCAACACAGTGTTAAGTTACGACCGCAACTTAGCAAACAGCTAAAAACACAAAACAAGGACACAACCGGCTCGAAGCATTCGACCCGAGCGTAATCTCAGTGGCAACAGCATCGACCGGTCTGAGATATTGTGTTAATTAGTTCCCAGGGTCACTGCGCAGGGAGACAAGTGAGTTCAAAAGCCAACACAACTTTTGAAGTTAAACAAAAGAGCATCAACAACATGGCCAGTCACTTAGCATTAGCGGCTAAACTTCGCTAGCCTACTCAGTTAGCCGGTTAGCTGACATCCTCAAGAAGCTGCTTACCCGGGTTGCGGGGATCTGCGGAGGAATTAAGTCTACACTTCTTCTACTTCTATCCGCCCCGTCGACATCCGCAACGTGAAGACGTTCGCCGTACAAAGACCCGACAGCAGAAAGTGCGTCCAGATGTCCGCTTGATACGAACTGGCTGCGGCTGGTTCCTCGGCTGGGACTTCTTCTGCTGCTCCGAGTCGGCGTCGGTGTGGATCCTGCTGGTGGGGGGACGTCGCGATGCTACGTCATCACGTACGTGTCGCTCGGTTTGTGACCTATAAAAGGTCACTGAAGCGGACGGAGCGGGGAATACCCCGAGGACAGTTTTACATTTAATCACTGGTGAAACGTCCGTGCGCGGTTATTTATGGTTGCAGACTCTTGCCAGGCAATTCAAATGAGTTATAAAGGATGGAACAGTCGTTATCAAGTGTCCTGGTTATCAAAAGCTTGATGAAGCATATTCCTCTGTGCGACATACCTGTTATTGTCACAAAAAGCAATATGCATAGAATTACATCCCGTCAGTACCACGGACTTGGGTTGTAGTTGATTTTTATATAATCGATTCAATATTCCTTTTCCTAAAACTAAACATAATTCATTCCCGTAACTAAAAGGAATTGTATGAAATGGAATAAATCCACGAAATCCTCAAAATGGTAAATGAATAGACACTTTTTTCCCACTGGATAAATAAAAATTGAGACAACACCTCCGGGAGAGCATTTATTAAAAAAGATTTCTTACAATCTAGGAAAGTAATTCTATGAAGAGAAAGGTAAGCAAGTTCATTATTATAATCATAAATCACACCTGTACATGAGTTTTATCATTTCGTGTTTGTTTATTTCTTTGACGAAAAAAACGTTTGTGATCCCCAGATTCACGAGGCCACCTCCGAGATGTTGTGAATGTTGGACAGAGTGAGCTGCGCCTCCCGCGCCGGATAGAAACGTCTGGAGCGAAGCCACAGTCTCCCAAACACTCCAGTGATCAGCAGCAGCAGGACCAGCAGCCCTCCGAGGACAAACGTCTCAACCTGAGGGACTCCGCCTCCATCTACACAGAAAAGGATACAGGTGAAACCACACTTGCTTATGAACAATTATATTGAATGTCTCTCAGATTCACAGCAGAAGAACCAGAGCAATAATTAACTTACTCAGACTGGGCTTTTCGCCGTTAAGTAGTCGCCTGATTGGTCCATAAGACACTGTATGGGACAGAGGGATGTCTCTGCGCGTCCTGATTAATTCATCTTCACTGGAACAGTTCTGTTTAATGAGTGAAACAGCAGAGAAACACAAGTCCCAATGTCAAGCTGTGCACATTGCAAATTAAGACTTGGAGCTTAACAACTCAAGATCATATCGGTGGAAAAACAGTTCTAGGCCAATGGGTCTATATCAGGGACATAAGCTGCACACTGCTACTTGTCCCGACTGGCCTCTGAATACCAGTTTGGGGAATGGGGGTTGCACGAGCTCACTCACAGGCTGACACAGCCCCGCGGTGTTGTGGCAGATCTGGACATTGCAATGGAGGAAGACGTTGGCGTACGAGCTGCCCACAAACTTGAACATTTGTATCCTGAACGTGGCCTCCGGACCCCGACCATTCCTCAGCACACTGAGGGTCTGTTCGTTTGACAACACCGGGCAGCTATGGGAAGAGACACAAAACAACCCAGGACGGTAGTGAGACTCAAATACTGTACTTTTAAGAAACCGATTCCAACTAAACTGCAAGGCTTAGAAGAAATGTTAATACTCTTCAACTTATTCAACAAGTGAAACAGATTTTAGTTTCCCTGTGGCATTTTGAGACCATTGTGGATTTCATTGCCCTCCTGTAGCCCTCAGTTCCAAATACTGCCTGGTTGTCAAGGACATGCACAGCTGTTGAAGTGAAATGCACGTGGCCTCTCAGACAGGAGTCACATGACCAGACTCTCTGAGTGTCTGGCCAGTTCTCTCGGCAACAAATTCTCTTATTTCAGATTTCAACAGTGCTCCTTTTAATGTGTGTGGAAATAGCACAAATCGCATAAGCAGGTTTCAACATAACAAATAGAAAGTATCTCAACCTACAGTATTTCATACTTACCTTTTCTGCTGCTAGATGATAAATGGAAAAGGCCAAGCTACGCCGCCTACAGCGGCACTATAAGACATTCTTTTTCTTCCTCATTTCGAATAAGAATTCTCCATTATTTTAACTGGTCCGGGGTCTACCTGTCTCTGATGAAGGTGTACTGAATGTTGCTGTATGGATCACTGGTTGGAGTCGCCCAGCATCTCTCCATACGCAGCCTCAGGTTAGCCGGTACCTGTCACACAGACCGAGAGAGTTGAGTCATTCTTTTTGCCTTCACATGACCTTTCCAGACTCTGCCACAAACTGCTGATTCATAGTAAGTAAACAACAGCTGAAGGTACCAATGTGTTATAACAACACGGAAGAGAACAGGAGCAGCTCTCAAATGACTCTGTGGGTCAAGTGTTGGATTCCATCCACAGCCAATTGCTTAACATTGTGAAACAACACGCTTAATCTACTCCAGAAATAGCTCTCGGTAGTAAGAATACTTCAATGTGTATGCTGAGCATTGAAAAACACAATCTCTGGACTCTTATTACATGTTATGACAATTATCCCTTCATGGCTTATCATCCAAAACTCAAAATGTTACTCAACGTGATTAAATTGTGCAAGTTCATCAGGTCATTGTAGGTATTTAGTTGAACTCATCTAGTACGACTTAAGGGGCTTTACCATGAAGACTTTCACGTAGATGTCGTCATCCAACGTCAGCGATGGAACGGTGGTCCACCTGTCCTCAAACGCTTTGTCTTTGTAGAGTAACATGGACACAGAAAAGTTCCCATCCTCCGTGTTCAAAGTGATGGTTCTGTAGACGAGCGAGGATTAGACGAGTTAAAACCCAGGAACCAAAAACATTCAGGAGTAGATTAAACTCAAACGCAACACTCACCTGACATCCACTCTTATCATGTTTTGACCGTTGGGCTGTTGGACCAGGTAGTTTATGGGGTAGCGGCATACAAATGTTATGTTGATGTAGTTCCTTGTAATAACGTCTGAATCATTGTTGTGTATAGTGTTCATGAACATGATGTGTGTATCATCTGAAGCCTAAGGAGAGAGGAGGCATACAATAAGTCAATTTACACTAATCAAGTTAAACATTGTTTTCCTTTGCCAATACAAGAAAAAAAATGCACTCTGCTATGCAGTGAAATTGGCCGTGGATGTTCAGTGAAAGGGAGCTCGGAGAAAGCAGGTGTCTGATATCAATGGGACGTCTCTTCTTACGTGTTTCATTTAATTTGGTCCTTTGAAACCTCAGGCAGCTCAACAATCCTGCCGGTGACCCACTGACCAAACATTACACAGCAACGGCTTTCCAACCTTTTAATTACACACCGGGCATTCAACCCACGCTTATACAAGTAATCAGTTTTCTGAAACAGACAATTCATCGGTGAATAACCTGCTGAGTATTGCTTAATTGGGGTTATGTAAATTGTTAATTATCCTAAAACCCAAATGGTTTCATTTGTCTTGCCGGGTGCAAATGATGAAGTGACTTGAGCTCTAACATTTGAGACATCTTTTACGACCTCTCGGTAAACGCACACCTATTAGCACCACTGACCTAATTCTTAGTGCGTCTCAAATGCAGAACTGTGGCTGAAACATGACCGAGGAACATGACCGAGGACGCTGCCATCAGAAAACTGCTTACCTTTTAAACCCTGCAATTCCCTAATTCCCTCTTAAAGGCAGGCTTGAAGGTGAAAGCGAGATGACCGCTATGGCATTCTTCTCCTTTAGCAACAGCCATCTAATCCACAGAAGGCTTATTTTTCTCAGCTGCTGTGCAAAAAAACCCTTGTAAAACTGCTGTGGTGGAGCGCGGGGAGATTTCCTCCCAGTCTGCGGATACGTTAACCTTTTGCTTGCTTCACAAGAAGAAGAAAAAACCGTCATGCATTCCAGGTCAGCAACTCAAGGACACTTGTGTGATGAAGTAGGAATTTACGCTTTTCCAAAATGAATGAGTGGCTGGATTGAAATAATTAGGTGGCTGATTGGGCAATGATTTATTGTCTTCCTATTCAATGACATCAACAAATAATAATTTAAATGTGAATCGTGCTAATTTAGAACCACAAGGCCTTTCAGGCTCCCCTCGCTGCTTTGAACAAGGATCTGCACTGTCGCAGGGAAAAGAATCAACGGCACTTTTCTCTCTTGACGTACATGCCACCCCCTTCTTTTCTCTTCACTGGTTTCAGACTGGTCCACATTCACGTCACAATTTGAATAAGACCAGACACTTTTCTGCTATCTTTTACTGTTATGTAAAGTGCAATAAATTGTCTCAAGTAGCTCCGTTTTTGGCAGTGAAGAGACACTGTTCTGGGGCCCAGTTCCCACGACAACCGTAGACATCGTAAAATAGTTGATTTATTATCACGGGGCTCTTAATGTTGTCAATAATGGAGATACCAAGTGTAATTTGTCTTCATCCTTTGTTAAGGGTTGTTCTAAATGTCGGACTTCACGTGCAATATTTGATTAGTTAGTCCGGCCATGTCAGCAGGATTTAAAGAGTCTAAGAAGTCAGAATAAGATAAGTACCATTATTGTTCCACAGTCAGAGAGATTTGTCCTGATGCTGAAAACGTAGTCGTTTCCAACCTCAACGCCGCGGCACGCCGGATCATTTAAATGCAAATCCCAAACCTAAACAAACAAAACAAAAAATTAATAAATGAAATATTAGGACATCTGTGATATAATTGAAAACCCCTTTTGGGATTTGTTGGGGCTCACTTACATAGACTGGAGGCACTTTGTTGAGGAAAAATTCACTGGGAATAACAACCTCCATATGGTTGTTGGTACAAATGACAGTGTCGTTAAGCTCTAACAGAAAGAAGGAAACCGATTAAATC